TAATTAAAAGCTTCAGTAACATTTATTCTACAGCAAACCGTTTATATAGCGTTCAAAACCTTTTATTTTGACTCAGTAATGGCCGTTTCAGCATAGTTTGTTGCAACCAAAAGTTTTAAGTATCTTATGCAAGTTATACCTACATATGTATGTTGCGAGTATTCAATGTTGTTTTAAATTTAATAACAAGTACGATATTACGTTGTATTCCTATTAAAAAATAAGTATAGATTATAGAATCGCTAATTCACTTGTTATATTTTATTGTGATTTTATTATCGATAAAATATTTTGAATTCAACATTTTTATTTTCATATATTTAACATTCCAGTGAGCAAATAGAAATTATTGAATAAATTTTTATATTGAAAAGAATGTTTATTTCGTTGTTTACATTAAAGTTATTGAAATAGGAAACCATATAAACACAACGCTGATGCAATATATTTCTGATAACAAAACCAGCTACGAGAAAAGGTTCTGTCACGAAAACCTTGCATGGAAGGAACAAAGTGATATTGATCAAGAGTTTCTTGTTCATTTCCTTATCGATAACGAGTTCACATTGTATTCGCATAAAGTGCAGTAAATATCATACCTCATACTGACTACATTCAAACGAAATGAAAACAATTTTAATATTCCTCTATAAGTAAAGTTTTCGCATTGTATGTACTATCCCGAGTATCACGTTTCTGAAAATTGCGTTTTATTATGTTGTAGCTATGTTCGTACGAATAATGAGTCATTCCCAATATTTATTTTCAGTGACGTGTGTAATTTTCAAATATATGTAGTTAAAATAAAAAAATAAATATTTCATTTTAATGTTTCATTTACAATATTACAAAACTTTAAAATATTTCAACGCCGTTTCTGATAAATTGACCGCATTGCAGATTTTGTTAACTTTGAATAAAAGTGTTGCGTATTTGAAAGTTTATAGTGAAATATATTTAATAAATTATTGTGATTATATATATTACTTACAATTATATGTGTTTATTATTACTTGAAATAAAGAACTATGCAAGATTAATTCAATTTATTTAACCCTGTTCTTTTACTACGACCCACAAACAATGTATGGTTACAATCTTACCTTGATTTGTATTTAGATTCCCTCGACATACAAAGTCATAACGGTTAAATGAAAAGTAAATATTAATGCTGGAGGCTAATGCTATTAATAGTGTTAATCCTATGTCGATGAATAAAAGTACCGAAGCAGAATTTTGCGTTTATTACAACATTACAATTAAATAAAAGCTCTACGAGAAAATAATTGATGCAGCAATATAAATAAAACAACAAATTAATCTCACTTCAATTACATTATCCATTTATACACCTCTGTCATACAAAAAAAAATTCTTGGAACGGAAGAAGGAAGAAGAAGAGCTATATATCCAGCTAAAATTAAATATTGTATACATTGGTTCAGAGGTGTTTGTTAATAATTCCAATAAAAGAAAACAGTGTGAAACAAATTGTTTTCTACGAATCTTAAATGACATAACAATCAGTTCTACGAAATTGAGAGCTATTCAAAACTGATGTTGAGATTATCATTCAAACCATGCGTTATATCATACTCCTTTTATATCTTTGTAATACGTATCATTTATATGGGGTTTTTATATATTTTTATTGAAATTTTTAGTAACATTACGACTGAAATAGTAAAAGCCTATATAATACCCAATAACATGGTAAAAAATATCGCATAAATAATAAAATAAATATGTACAAATCGCATATTTATAAGCCCTTAAAAGAACGCTGTATATAGGATGCTAAAATTTAAATACACTGGTAAAACGTCTGTTGGACGAGACAAGTAAATAATTAACCTTATTTAATATATCCAAAATAAATACTTTTATAAAATTTATAACAATATATAACGGTACATGTATATATTAGTTGATAAACCCAAATCCATAATATACCCCTTTGTTTTTTATTTGAATATTTACTTGAAACGCATATCTCTTCCTAATTACTTCAACTTGTTATAATCAACTACTATTTATGTAATACTTTTATTTTGTAAAATCTCAGCAATTTGACAATTGTTATAATTTGTTACATTTCTTTAACTTTATTTAACTATTAACTGTAGTTTTTGTTCTAAAATAAATTATTATTCAGTTATTTTATTTTATTTAGTTTCCTAACCTACACATATAAAAGTATTATAGAACATTGTTACAAACAGTGCATAATTTGAAAGAATATTAACATTTATTGTGCAATACATTAAAAACGGACTTAATCATTCTTGATGAAATCTCGGCCTGCGAAGTTGCTATCGAAAGCTAAATCTCCGGCAGTAGGTTTTAAATCAAAAGTTTACAATTTTAAGATTTGTAACTTTAATTGAATTCGAATGCAAAGAAGTCTCCATTGTATGAAACTTACATCCAATTTAACCTACCAACTTTAGTTTGAAACTTTTAAAGTGAAGAACTGAAACACTTTGGGAACATTGAAAATATGCATTACGGCGACATACGAAAAATGCTTCCGCTAAAAACTTGCATTACTGATGCACAGATTATAGTACGTAGTTCAGTTATATATAGAAGTTTTGAAATAAAATAGAAAAGAGATATATGTAGTTTAATGGCACAGGCATTCTATGCATGATTGATACAAACAACTATTGTCTAAGATCACTTGTAGCAATTGAAAATATATAAACGAGATCGAATAAAAACAAAATCAGTATCATCGAAACATACAATTTTATTAATTGAATTATGTCTGATCAATAACTATAAAAACTCAACTACACGTTTAAGATGTATGTGTAATGTGTATTTATATCAAACATACATATGTCTAAGTTTTAAATCATGTTGCTTGATTCTACATGAAATGTGTATATAATGCATGAAAAATGACCTAATAATGATACTTCTATTATAAAATATAAAACAATAGTCATTAATAAATCATATAATATAACATTTACAAAGTATAATACTTCAAATCAAGGGATTTTATGCTAAATCGCTCAAAGATTATATACCTATGTGGCCACACGTAGTGTATGCTCTTAACCTCAGTTACCTGATACACCAAAAACCTTTCAATGTTAAAGAACTGCAGCCTCGCATTAATCAACGAACCATATAGCAAACTACACTCTCAAGTGTAAATAAAAAGAATAGAAGATTGTTATTTTAAAAGACATTATTGATGAAGGTGTGAAGCTCTTTTACTTTTTTCTGGTATTCCTTTATGGTTTGACTGTTCAGACAAACTTAATTAAAAAATAAAATTCTTAAAAACACGTGAACAGATAAATGTCTTGCCTCCCTTACAACCAAAATAATTGTCAATTATCATTATATTTTTTTGAATAGGTATACTGCCAATATATTTAGATTACTTTCAAAATGAGTTTATAAAATTTTGGTTCACTTTAATTTATTTCACTCGTAAAATTTTACTTCGTTTATTTTCCGTTGTGAAACCCACGAAGCACTAAATAATGTGATAAATGTCCAAGTGAGTTTAGTTGTTTGCGTAGCCTCCGCACCTTGACTACAAGGAATTCGTTATGAAATTTTGCACATGCTTTGCCACAAGGCACGGAAAAGGCCGTAGGGTATCCCTTCCTTTATAAAACTTCTGGCGTGTGTTTGCATCTGTGAAATAACACAATTATATGCGAAAATTTACAAAGGATCACCAAATTAAACATTTTATAAATTTAGTAAATCGGTTCGAGAAAGTCTTATTATTGTAATAAACCTGTAGGATATAAGAAAAATGATTACAAAACAAAATGTTTTTATCACGACTCAACATATTTTACGTCGACGAATCAAATGTTCAGAAATAAATATCATCGGTACATGAATATACTGTTAACTGTTAAAGAGGTGGTCCGACCTTGAAATAAGAATAGACGTCAAGAACCGCACTGCGGTACTTTAAACTATGATAAAATAAAATGAACTTTTGTCTCTTCTTTGTTTTAGTAAAGTTTAAACGTAAAGGTCTCTCATTTCTAACCACTCACGTTGCGTTTCTATCTATATTCTTTCAATGAAACTTGAGTAACAAGTGAGAGGGAAAATGTATATGTTCACTATTCAAAACCCATAAAAAAATATTAAATAGCTTTAAGAAATGATATACAATTATTTAAAGGCACACATTTTGTATATTAAGAGCCTTTTGACTACTTACTAACCTGACTTTTACACTCCTTCCTACCTTTTGTACTGAAATGTTCATGATAACAATACCTATTTACTACTACAAAATGTTATGCAAAAGTTAAATACATATTCACGTGGTGAAAGCATAACAAATATAAGTGCTCTTGGGCTCATTATAACATTAATATTCACTTTGGTTTGATTATTACCTCGCTTCTGCTACCGCAAAATATATGTGGAAATCAAATTTTTACTACATATTAGATAGTTCTATGAAATTGATAAATTATTTTAGCGTATATTAGATATCAAATTTTGTTTTATAGTTTATAGTTATTTTTGAACATATTGCAATACAAATGCAAATATGGGATCTGGCTATTAAATTGTCGTATCCTAATTAAAAACATCCATTACCTACATTACATACGTATACGTTTAAATATCATTTTCTCAGCCAAGGTCTACTCATTAACCTAAATTAGGTAATACGTGTTTTACCGTTTCATATCTTTGAAGAGTAGTAAATATTTTATCATGTTTTTTTTATAAATAAATCCTAATAAAATCTTATACAAAATTATTTTAAATTTTAAGAATAGTTGAGAAAATATCTTTTATTGTTTTTCTATCTGTAAACTATACGGCCAAAACTGGCCATGTAATTTAATAGAATAGTTTCTTTTAAAAATTGTGAGACTTAAGTCAAGTAACAGAATAATTGAACGCCGAAAATAATTAATTAGTGATCAACTATCTACAATAGTCTTATATTTTTTTAATATTATTTAGATATCTCATACATTTCAATTTTGTTACAGAATGCTCCGTGGATATTTGTATAGAAGAAACTCGACCAGAATTATCGACCAATCCGCTAACAAGTAAGTAGAATTACAAAAGTTTTCTAATATCACCCGATATAGAATATTCGACTGTGACGACGTAGTATGTAAGTTTGTAGATGGAAATAACATAATATGATTAAATTTTATAATCTATACTCAATATTATTTCACTTACAGAGTAACTTAAATATTAAAATATCTTACAATAACTATGTGCTGGAAATGTTGCTTTTGAATTTCCTCCAAGGTAACACATCGGATATCCTATGCGTTTTCCTTCCTTCCCAGTGCTCCGGTGAATTTACATATATGAAATCATCCAGGTTCGCAGAATTTTGTGGGAATAGTTTCAAATAACAAGATATCCAAAATATAAATAAGGATCGAGTATTATTAACATACACATTTAATTCATACTTATATTATTATTAAATAAAATATGTATTTAATTCATAACCTTCTTCTAAATAATTAAAATTTCAAAAGACCGAGCAGAATGTATAATTTAATTGAAATAATTTGAAAATATATGTTTTTTTTCAACTCTTCTCGGTTTTATAGTTTACATTATTATTTCAATAGATATTAAAAATGAGAAGTTCAAAATGGAACAAAAGGTTCTTTACTTATTATTTATCATCTTTGTACAAAAAATTCAAATAAATATTTATGACTAGAAAATTAAGGGCTTGTAAAAAAAGTCTAAATTAAAAGGGAGGTGTCCAGACATTAAAATTTTGTAAGCCAAAATAATTACTATAAATATCCTTTTAACAACATATATTATCTTAGTATTTATCAAAACATTTAAACTTCATCTCGTAGCCTAAAACAGTCAAATAAACGGTCGAAATTCATAATTCTTATGGTAATAGGCTAAAAAAAGTGTACAATTACATTATGCAAAAAGGACAAAAAGAAGATAAATTATCATGTAAACGTTTACTTTTGTCAGTACGAAAAATTATTACTTCGACATTTGCGTCACTACTTATTTAACATTCAAGTTTCTGTGAAAGCAATTGTATGATATTTTTATACCCGAATCGTTAATACTTTATATATCAGCAGTCTGAATGTTGTAGTTTTGGTACAGGAACTCATACTAACTTACATTTCCGGAGTCTGGCCTTCACAATTGTTATAGGATCCTAGTTTGGCTGATACCAAAATAAAACCAGCCAAGCGAAAATCAATTCGTACCGATATTTCTTTGAATATTTGAGTTTTTGTACCTGTCCTTATAATAGTAACATAGTTTATAATAGTAACATATATTTGTTTTTTTTTTTAATGCCAAAATGTTTTTTTTTAAGGGAAAAAACCTTTTTTAAATAATTTAAATATAAAATTAAACCATGGATTAAACATTACAGAAAAATTATTCAATGTTGACCCAGAGATGATGACGGATACTTGATTTTATCGCTTACATCCGAGCTTTCATACAGACGAGTAGAGACGGGTTTCAGATAAATAAGATTTCTTTCTGGGAAATTTTATTTATAACTTCATTGATAGATATGGTTTTTTTTTCTTTATCAGAACATGTCGTACATAGAAGACTATTGAAAAGTTATATACGATATAAAATAATAACCTATTAAATACCTTTAAAAAAGTCAGACATAGCGATCAACTGAGATGAAACCATTTTCAATTCTAGTGCAAGATATTTCATACTTTTAATGCCGAGCGACACCGTGGCAAAACGCAAAATAGCTCAGTCTCGCCGTCTGGCTACTCGAATGCCACTTTTATTCAAATAAATAAAACCTTCATTCCGACAGAAATATAGTCTAAAGTTATACCAAATACTTAATTTATAACTACGAATTGATTCATTCTGTCAAACCTTCGAAAGAGAGGTCGGAGGGATTATAGGATATTAGATTTTTTTACTACACAAGTACAATTAGAAAATACTTTCAGTCGCTTGATCGGTGTTGGAACGGTTTTCACATTGAGTATATTAGGGACTTCGACTTCGTGTTATAGATATTTTTAATTATAGGTATATGTATATATTTTTTAATAATGGAAACCTAAGTTACTCCTCATTTCAATAGCTATGTTGTTGTGAAATTCAGTTAAAACTGGTCTTGTTCCTTTACAAATGAATCGAAAAACAATTATAATTTTATTGTTTTATAGGTAGTGTATACACGTATAAAAATCTCGCTCGCCAAAATATCGCTTAATAAAAAGCGATATTTTGGCACAACAAACAGATACCCTCATACAACTAAATTAATATTAATTATACAGTCATATAAGTGCCTAGACAGAGAACATTAAAGGAGATCTGGTTAAAACATTTAATTTACAGCGAACCTGAAGCACCGGATAACTTTAACGCTGTATAAAATTTTATGTACGAACAATTTATCTATGTGAATTATTGAATGACAACGTGTAGGTTAGTACGTTTGGTGAATAAAACCTCAGTAAATAACCCATACGTATAATATACTCAACAATACAACACCTACATGTATTTCTTCCAAGCCATTGAATTCTAAGATTCTCGATGCGCGTCAGAGTTATTTCGGATTAGTACGTATAAGGGTAGTATTGTTTGTATTCGGAAATAGCTTAAATTTATTGGAAAGTAAAATTTATTTTAGTAATTGCAATGATCGTAAGTGGAATAAATCATAAATATGTATCCAAAGATTACTTATTCATGTTTATAAAAATACCTTTTTATGTCAAAATGTATCAAAAAAAAACATAAATAAATAGTGATGATAATGATAACTTTAGAAACAAAACAATATACAGATTTTTATATTACAATAAACAAGTAAACATTATATTTTTTCTACCTTGACTTAAAATTGTCCTTCATCATAAACAGAATATTTTAAACGATATTTTTATATTGATTGTGTTTACAAAAAAAACCATCGCAAACGAAATAAAAATAGAAAACATCATAATTTGTTACCGAAATGGTAATTGTATTTTTATTTAAAATATATGTGTATTATAATAAAAGCATATTTTACAACAAGTGTTACAAAAATAATCCAAAATATTCAACTTAAATTGGATGCCGTATTCATTAAAAAAACAATAATAATAAATTGTAGCTGTAAGAACAACATTTTTCATTGTAACAAATAAAGCATTGATACTTATATATATATATATATATATATATATATATATATATATATATATATATATATATATATATATATATATATATCAATTAAACATACAAATAATATACGAATATTTAAATTGAAAACTGTTATAACCTACAAAACAATCTACTACAAATTGTATAATTAAATTATGTTCTATTTACATGGCTTCAAACCACATAAAAAATGGAAATTCTCGTCTTGACGCACTACGAGACTTTGCTATGAGGTTTAAATAGTTATTATTTAAGAGCCTGTGAATATAATTTGTTATAAAGTAAAGAAAGATAATTTAAAATAAAAATATTGAAGGAAAATAACTGTATCGTTTAATATACATATTGTTAATGTATTTTTCATAAGAGACTTGGGCACTGGAAACGTCAGATTAATTCAGAAACGTAATGCAAGAAGTCATATCTCTATGCAATAAATGGTTATATTTCAGCATAGACTCTATGAATTATTAATGACAGAAACATTATTAAGCTCCACACAGTAGTTTTGGCAACGGTGCGCCAGATATAATATCAACATTCATATTTACAGATTGTAAATATTTACTTACATACTACAAACATATTCCTATATTTAATTGTACTTATATATGTAGATACATATGTTAGTTATATTTTATATAACCACTGATAAATAACCACTAATAGCAGAAAAGTTATCATATTTATTTTTTTAATAATAATATGTATGTCAGACATAATCTTCTATATATATAAAAATGGATTGCTGTTCCTTAGTCTCGCTAAAACTCGAGAACAGCTGAATGGATTTATCTTATCTTAGTCTTGAAATGTTCGTGGAGGTTCAGGGAAGGTATAAAAGCTGAAAAAAATTGATTCATTACTGGGAAAACCATAAAAACAGCCCTTTTCTATTTCCCATACAAACGTTTTTTTTGACATAAGATTTGACAACTAACTAATATGTCAATCATTCTGTCGTACTTCAAAACACGGAGATTTATGGCTTACAGGTAAACTCCAAAAATATAAATAAAAAAACGTAATAGATATTTCTTGATTATAGGGCGATACGTAGTTCGCCAGGTCTTCTAGTAAATAATAAATATAATAGTTAATATTCATGAAACATCTTAAAAGTTGAAAAGTTTAGCAAAACGCTGTATTTAATCACAAATTAAAATTGAATAAACACAAACAACTTTCAATAATAAAAGTTAAGAATTTCTCATCACCTGTAAATGAGATAAGTTAAAATAAACTAAACAAATTTATTTAATAGAAAAAAGTTTAACTTGTGCTAAAAATTATGGTACAGAATATGTGTGTTTACAATGAAGTTAAAACATACAAAAGTATAATATAGTCACAACATTGAAGAAAAATATGTGACTATAAATTTTACTAGAAAAATGACAAGATTTATTACCAATTATCATATAAAAATATAACTATCAATAAAGGTCGGACTCAGAATAATGCTTATTTAGAATTTTTGAAACGTTACCATAAATTATGATAATGAAACGTAGACAAAGTAAAATCATTGTTTCAAGGTAAACTTTTAAAAATCTATAGATAGTTATAAAATATAACACAAGTTGCATTGAGTTACAAGGGAAAACTTGTCAAATCATCACCTTAATTTCATAATTGAAACTTAGTTATAAATTTATAATATTATTATAAATATTATCACCTCTTATAAACATTTTACCACACTTTCAAAGCTCGTATTAACTATTAATTTATTATTTGAAAAGCTATATATTATTTGAGATCTGATACATATAACTTATTCTAGGTGAGGAAAGTGACACGGGCGAAACAGAAGGTCGAATATCATCGGAGAATTCCCCGTTAAGACAACGTCGCGCGGGAATATTGAAGGGAGGGAGGCTGTGGAAGTCTCTAGAAAATGATAAAGATGGCTACGAACAGGTATTATGCTACTTATCACATATTTTTCACAATTCAACCGAAAATATACTGACCTCATTTGGTCGAGAATTTTTAACAAAGAAATTATAACTTCTACTATAGTACAGACAAAGCGGATTGTAGTTTTTGTCCCATAGATCTAGAGAATAATTTAACTCGTTAGTAAACTTCAAACACGCCAGCAAAATCAAGCTAAGTAAATATTATTATTTTAATATAATAAAAACCGTATTTCCAGAACTTCACTTCTATGATTACATTCTCTTTGTTATAAAATTAACAGGAGTTCGTTAGCAAGTACAACGTTATCATAATATTTAAAATGAATATTTATTTTCCTTGTGTTCTTATGTTACTTAAACACGTTTAATGAAATCAATATACATACATATTCATATTTGAGATTTATAGCAAAAGTATGACGATTCTTATATATGTATACAAAAAAATCTAATAATAGTTCATATTTTAAAACTATAAAACAAACGCATTCGGTTTATTCCTTAAAAAAATAACTGTTAGGAATGTTAAAAAAGCTACTGTCAGAGTTTTTGTTCCTACGAACATCATTTTCTGATTTAGAAGAAGCACTTCTTATACATATGATATTATATTTTTATTAAAAATGCGTAAAGATGCAAAAGGCTTTATGTCAGCCAAATAAGTATAAATTTTGCTCAATAACAATTTACTCAAATATTTTTTAATAGTGTGTAAAGTTACGAGTTGCTTTATTTTTAGTGATATTGTTGTCAATTTTGTATAAATATGTTTGGATAATTTGAAGTATGATAGAAACTTGCTAGCTTCAGTCATTCTAGTTTTAATAAAACAATTAAATATTGAATTCTCTGAATACAACCAGTAGCGACCAAATAAAAAGGATTATCCTTTAACTTTGTTAAAAGAATGACGACCAACGTTCAACGACTACAGCGAGTGATGAGGATGGGTCAGTTACTCCAAGGTCGGTCCGCTTTGTTGAAAAACCCAAAGACAGTGATGAAGAAGTTACTGATAAGCAAGAACCAGTACCATCACAGGGTCCGGACTTAGAAAATAGCGGTCACAGAGAACTTACAACAAATGCACACAGGTGACTGATTTTTGATTGGATGTTTTTTTTAATGTAATACAATATTTACTATCAATTCCCGAAACGAAACTGAAGAATTTAGATTTAATTAAAATGATGTATGTAATCGTTAAAATATTTTCTCTAACAGATTGGAGACACCACTTATCCTGACGATTAATTCTCCGAAAGCCAATTCAGCAGTTCAACAGTTATTCAATAGTAGCCGGCCACCGCCGCCCGCTATAGAACCACAATTGGTCACTTCAGAAACACTTAGGTCAGTGACAACCACGTTTATATAATTCGATTATGGTTTTAACCGTTCTTCCAAACACGATGAAAACTGTTTATTTTATAAATTAAAAATTTTGTTTATGAAATCTTTCTCAAAGACTGTCTATAACAAATAATCCTGACACAATGTTCAAATTTTATAAAATACTTAAAACAATACAGTTATGGTTACATTCTATAATGATAGTTACGTTTATTTTTGTATGATTATTAGTTAAACCATATTTTTATGTTCACACATTTTTCACGTACAATATGAAATAGAGGACATAAGTGATTCACCAATAAAACCTTATATGAGCATCGCCCTTGTTTTCAATGTTAATCGACCTTATTACATATAAAATGACAATTTAAAAGATCATAAAATTAAATCAAAAAAGTCTAATTTAAAATAATATTATTAAAAAAGTACATATATTTATTAATATTATATTATATTTTGACCAGTTTGATGTTGCTTGTTGAAATTACTTACACATTTGATTTTTAAATTGAAATTAAAAATTGCTAATCTTCATAAGTTTATACACAATTTATACATACAATATAACCATAATTTATGTTTTATATAATCATTTACTTTACGCTTCTTTACACTCCACCCAGGAAGTTTTTCTTAATGCTTTTCGATTTATTCTTTAGATATTTTTCTTTATTGAAAATTTTTATTTCAATAGAGCTTGGGATGCCGGTGTCAGACCCAAGCCAGAAGACGTCGCGGTTCGTCGGGTTGCTGAAAGGAATGCGTTGAGATGCTCTTTACTTCGCAGTGAGGCGAGGAAAAAACAACAACCAAAGGTTAAGAATTTTTATTATATATATTTTTTATTTAATCATAGATAAGAATAAAATTAATGATTTATATCATACTGATGTTATAGACGTGTCAGTTTGTTAGATTATATGGATAATTGTTACACTTTTAACGTAACTTAATAGAAATGTAGCTTAGTAAGAGAAAGCTATAATTTATCCTGAAATTAATTACGAAACAAAGTAATTAACAAACAATGCCAATCAAATATGCTTTCCAATATGTACCCTTTATGATTTTACATGAAAAACATTTTTTAAAATTTTTATTTTAAAGATATGAGGGATTCTTTATTTAAAAATTAATACATTGTTTACATTCCATTTCATAATTGTTTACAGAATTCATTATATTATATTCATGACATTTAAAGTAAAAGCTAGTGACTGAAAGAACTTTATGCAACGTTTATAGTATTGAGCTTGAAAAAATATAAATTCTTTAAAAATATTCCAATGCGGAGTTCGTTTTTAATTCATTAAACTTTTTTAAGTTATTTATTACACAACAGCCATCTTGTATTTTTGTTTCATGTTTTAATGATAAGTTATCTTTGTTACCGTTTTCCGGTAATAAATGACGATTGAACTAAATAAACCTATATACTTTCTTATAAAACTACTCTTACAAGGGCAATTGAAAATGGTTAAATGCGATATGGTTTACTTTTACATGAACGGACCTCATTTGGTCGGCGGACCTTACTCGCTTACCATTTTGCAAGCACTCGTGGCATAAAACAATCACCGTTTCTTGTCATATTTTACACTTTGTTCGTTTATCATACAAGACTAACATTCTTATTAAAAAACAATCTTACAATAGGGAAGTCCATGGCACCCTAGGAAAAAGTAAGAAGCCATCCAAAACTATGCTCTGCCCAGTTGCCATTTCAACTTTGTCCTTAGTATGGATCTCTATGCATCCGCCCCTATTTCAATACGTCACCGTCCACCTACCACCATCTTACTCAACTGCTTGATTAGTGTTATTGAACCCAACAAGAAGGTTCAGCACTTCAAAAGATCATGCTGTGCTCCCAGGTTTTTTCCACCAAGATCCCAAGTATTAAAAATTTCATAAATCAGGCGGTCGTTATATAAATTTGTAGTCCCTTAGATAGCAAAGTTCTAGCAACAGACTTGATATTTCTAAACACTAAAGGTGAGCGACGGAGCTAGTGAAGGTGTAATAGATTTTTTATTTTAAAGTATACGGTCTAAACAAAAAAACTAATAAATCTAGTAGCAAATGTATTACAAAGTATTTCGATATGTTTTCCATAATAGGTCAAATTAATTAATAATAGACTTAAAACGACACTAAAAATGATACTGGATATATCTGTATTTAAAGATAACATTGTATGCATAATATTAAAATTGAGCAAATCATATACAGTAATTTAATTACGAACTGTTTTGGAATTCAACACAAACATTGAACATGAATGTCTGATTGAGAGTGATAATTTTCAGCATTTGCTTTCCGATTTGAAAGGTGATACGCGTACATTTAATTCACTAGAAATTGTAATTACCGAAGTTTAAACTGCTCATTTAATAGAGCTAGTAATGCCTATTATTACTTTAACAATACGATTACTCATTAGTTGTCTGTGTGATAAATTATATTTATTGTGTTTCTATTACTTAAATGGAGTTTTTAAAGTATTGACTCTTTTATTTTATTTGTTGTCGTAAAAGAGCAAGTTTGATGGATAAAAGGAAAAAGGTGAGGTGCTGGTGATTCTGTTTATAAATATAGCAAGATGAAACCTTATAATAATTTCCTACGTACATATACGTGCACTGATGTCGACGTCAAATACTTAATGATTGCAAAATCTTTACTTGCTATTTAAAGTAAAAATAAATGTGATTTATTTTAAAGTGGAACATAAAATATTTTTTACTAGTAATTACTAACACTTAAATATAAGAAGTGATTTTTTTATAAGCTTAGGCTCCTTAACATCTTATAAAATCATCTCACTTCAGTATATTTATATGTATAAATTAATATCAATAAAACTATTTACAAAATGTAGTAATTTAATGTTTTTGTATAATAATAGATTTAAACAAACGAAGGTAATGAAAAAGCACTTAATATTTTCACCAAAACAAAATTGAAGTAAGGAAATGGTATAATTAAAAATTTTACATATGAGCCCACGCTTTTGCACGAATTGATACTTAATGAATTTCCGATCTGCATTTATTTCCTATCATGTTGATATTTTAATCACTATATCAACGGCCTCTATAAAAGTTAATAAAAATATTTGCAAAATTATTATCGATTAGGCATAAATGATAATGTTCATAATATTTATTTCGTGTAAATTAACATTAGCAGTACTGTTATATTAGAAGTTATGAAGGGAATAAGAATTAAATAATAGTTTAAAATTGATTTTATATTATTAAAAATGATAATTGCTTTTGGATAATTAAAATGTTCATAATAAACCTTTATGTCAAGCTATAGTTAAGTTCACGATAGAATAATGTGGAAAAACATTTTGCCTCCGAAATTTGCCTTATTTTTGGAACAACATTTTGTTTTAGAAGAAACGTTAAGTATCAAAATGAATGAAGTGAAGTAACAAATATATCAAAGAGGCAATTGGATGTAGGGATTTCGTACACATCTAAATTAATAAAAATGAATATTTAGTAAAATTTAAGGCATTCAATACATGAGAATATGGTTTCTTTTCCCATATAACGCAATTTTGTTATTATTTTTATGTTATTTTAATAAAGATGAATTAAGTTCAACCATTCCTACAAATTAGGATACTGACAAAAAATTTATATGCCGTATCATTTATGTAGCAGGAGACCACATCATTATCCGAGAGGATTCGTCTCCTAACTTGCGACGTTGATGACGATGATGTCCCAGAGGACCAGCGACAATCACCAGCCGGAGCCAGCATCGACAAATTCTCTAACAGCAGTGACAAATCCAGCGACAAATCATACACGAGTATCGATAAGAACAATGAAAAAGCCTTTGGAAGCGCATCTTCAAGTTCCTCTTCATCCACTTTGTCAGCTCCTGTACCTACTCGACAACAACCACCCGATTTAGGAGATGTCCACCAGGAACCGCAAAAGGTAAAATTCATTGTACATATGTGATAGAAATTTACCACATTTAAAATATCCCCTTAAATACAAAAAAAATAATTACAACACTTAATTACATATTCTAGATACTAATTAAAATTAATTTGAATAGAATATTTAGCCTATTGTGGTATGATACGCATAATGTTATGAAAACCTTATTTTAAGTTTATTTAAGAGAAAAATATACAATTAATATTAATTCCATAATTTGATATTTGAAATAATTACCACAAAATGGGCGATTAAATACATTAACGTAATAAATTTTCCACTCGTCAATTTATTAAATACGTATTTTACATGCATCAAACATGACCCCTTTACAGTGGTTGTTTAAGCGAACGTTTCAGAATGTCTCTATTTGAAAGTGCATCTGAGTAATTCTTAGCGCTCTGAAAGATTCTTTTAAAGACTTTTTTAAAGTGCTGTCGGGCCACCCGTTGGGCAAAAGGTCTAAGTTTCTCCAGTAACATATAATTCGACTAATACAACTCGTACATGGCTCTTAAAACTATTATACGAAATGAAAAAGTAGAGGTGGCTAAGTAATACTTCCATTGAGTTAAATTTCGCACGTGTAGTTATACCATAAATAAAGATGTTTGTGGGACATGAGTGATAGCTTTATTATAACATCAAAGTATAATTGTAATTACGAAGGGTATAATGATTGTGTATACTTTGACGTCGATATACTTAAATATTTTAGCTCTTATTATATTTGTATGTACGTGTGGAAATAGGTGTTTATTAGTAAATTATGCATATACTATACAATTGACATTGTTATACTTTGACGTCGATATACTTAAATATTTTAGCTCTTATTATATTTGTATGTACGTGTGGAAATAGGTGTTTATTAGTAAATTATGCATATACTATACAATTGACATTGTTATAAATAATTAAACAATAACTCACTTCTTACCTAGTACTTCCGTAAAGTATAGTAATTTAATTAATATTACAACTTTTCTTCAAATTTAACAAGCTTTCTGTATTCAAGGAAAAAGATAATAAAGAAAAAAAACATTTCTTTATAACAGGGTAACTTAGAAAGTTTCTACGTAATAAGATTAATGGTAATTTATAGAATTACGGACAACCTAAAAATGTACCATGAAAATAATATCTAATCAGATTGTAGCTTTTAATATCTTCAGAAATCACTGCCACACCAGCCATTTCTAAAGTTTAAACTATTTTTCTCTAAAGCTCTTTTATAATAGAAATGCTCAACATCTACAAACGTCCGTAGCTATTGCAATGGCTTTGCTGCAAACTTTCTTATAGAAAATGTTCAAGTTTGTTTTCATAATTTCTCACAAACATAATCTCTTCATCTTTTCTTCCATTTCTTTCAAATTAGTTTCATTAATAATTTCTCTTTTCATTTTTTTTACGTTTTTATTATATTACAATACATTAAACATTTTAAAAACATAGTCGACACCTACCAGATACCTAAATAATAGTTTATTATTAAAATAATTAATATTAAATATGTAATAAATTTAGATTTTTTTAAAGGAATTTAACAATAATTGCTGTTTCAATAAAACAAAAGTATTGCATGTTTAAAAATTTATTAGTGTAACAGGAGAAGATTTAGTATTTTATAATATTAATTGACGTTTGAATATTTATATAACTATAACTCAATTTTATTTTGTTTCGTACCATTTATTTTGTCATATTTTAGAAATGCAGACTGAATATTTCATAATGAGCAACTTGAGTTCGGAGTTTAAAAACTATTATTATTGTTTTGTGCTTATAGTGTACCCACCATTAAGCAAAAGATTTAAAAATAATACCTTAAAAGCACATGAAAGTGTTCACTTAAACACCTACTTGAATAGTCTTTTCAGTAAAAGCTGTTAAAAGAATAATCCTTTTAAAGAAAATATTTCTAAGAAATTTGCGAAGTTTGTCTTCAGTTCTCTGACGTTTAAACATCTTAGTGGCTATTTCCTGGAAATAAATTTCGTATAGTAATGGTGATAAAATAATTTTATATTTTTTATGCAAACGAATGGTTTTACTTATAATTCTACGAACAGCCTCGACCAGAGCCCAGGCGACAGTTTCTGTCGACTCTTGCACCATTAACGGCCTGCGTAGGCAGCACAGCCCACCACGAAGGCTTCTATTACCTTCCTCCTGGTGACCGCAACACTGGCTCTGCCACTAACATAGACCTACACGAACACAACGAGGCACCAGCTCCAGACGTTGTGGCCGGCACTCCAGGTAAGCTTTCGTTTTCATTAAAGTAGAAACAGTATTATAAAGTTAATAAAATTACCACAGCAGTTGTTTTTTTTTTTGATAAAAAATTTTCTTTTTCGATTTCGGATCGAATTAGATTTTATAACATCATGCTCATGTAGCAGCTGTTTAGGATGACGTACATTAAGGTTTTCTTTTACATATAGCTTTAATAATCACTTTCAGTTACTTTCAAATTGTTAAATGATAAAAGTTAATAATTTTATTCAAGTAGTTAAAAAATCGGCTTACCGACGAATTATGGCAATTTTTTTTACTTTTCAAATTTGTAATTAACGTAGAAGTAAAAGATTAAAATTTAAGGTTTATGCAAAATATATATGAAATGGGGGTGCATATTGAAAAGAAAAGTATTTACAGGTGCCGGTGAGAGTGATGATAGTTTGGCGGCTTTTGCACGTGCCTCAGCACCTAGAACTGAAAGACTTCGACAACGTTACGGCCAAGAGTCTCAACCAGTCAGCAGCGACGACGAACACGACGACTATGGTGACATTTTTTATTAATTTTCCTTAACAAATCTTCACATACATACAATACGAACATTTCAATAGTAAAAATATATATTTTTTTTTTATTTTTTATTAACGTATTCTGTAATATTTTTAGAATCATCACTGTTCCTTAATTATTAATAATGATTTATATATTTACTACAACAACAATATATTTTATTAATGTATGACTCTTTTGCGAAAAGTATGTACAAACAATTTTATTTTAGAAAATATGGTAGACGTTTTTCAAGTGTAGTGCATTATTTTAAAAATTAACGAAATAAATCCAAGTCACAAGCACACATTGAGTAAGCAAACGAAAAGAGTAAACCCAGTTAGAAGTGACTCACTCACAAACTACATTCCCAACTAGAATTGTTAGACGATCGAATTTCAAATTGAATTGGACCAAATAATAGTGAAATTTTAAAAGCTTGCTTTAGACAGATACGTCGAAATGAAAATTTTGAAAGGTTTCGGAATAAGGAAGTTTCATATTTCATAAAAACGAATAAAACCAAAAACAAATGTACTTCCACCAAAAAACATATTTGATTTTTATTTTTTATCAAAAAATGCGTACAGTAAATTTAATTTCGAATAACGTTTTTATATAGAAAATGTTATATATGTATTTTGTATAAAATGTATTATTATAAGGCTGATATAAAAAGGCCTTGTTAAAAAATGTTAACCTTCCTACAGTATTATCCGTACAAATATGTTCACACAACTAACAAACATCGAAATTTTGTATCATAGTATTCGTATTACCTTTGAATGAAATAAAAAATACATACCTTTTTAATCAAACGCTGGAAAATATCTTCATTCAATTAAAGCTAAAAACATTTACAATCGGGTCAGTGTTCGAACCACTCGTGGTATAAAACAATTTATCACATCCAATCGTTAAGACCCTGGTTCATATGCAGTTCACATCCTTATTTAATTTTTTTAAAAACTCCATAGCTTTTGTTTATTATTCTTGATTGTCTGTTCTCAGTAGCATAGGATCTAAACTAGTAATTGGGCAAACCTATGTCTACAGTATGTATACAATAAGCCTCATCTATAATAAAAACATATAAAAAAATAAAATATTTATTTACGAATACATAAATTTTTATATTTATAAATATAGAAAATTTTGTGCACATTCTTCGCACCTCGCGTATAATAAATAAAAAATAATTAATATGAACGAGGTGTGAAGAATTTTTATTGAAGAGACCATAACCGCTGGGCATTTATACCACGTTATAATTAACGGACATTAAAAGGACAGACGCCTGCGGTTTAAGCAGTTGCAATCATATATTTTCATCCTCTATAATGCGAAATAACAGACAGTATTATAAATCCTTTCAATTATATTTATTAAAATACTATCTTCACGTAATTAAATTAATTTATTTCTGGATATATTTAAATTGCTTATACTACTCGTAATAAAAATATTATTTATTTTAACTTTATTTTAGAAACATTTTTGTTGGTATTTTAAACTGCCTGAGGACTCGAACTGCAATTCGAGGTACAAAAAGACCAGCAAGAATACCGTCGTAAATTCCGAACGTTCTTTAGGTTTCCATCGGCGACCAGCAGTACGCGGGATAGCTGTTAAGAAACAGCTTGGCTCATCCAATGAGATACTGCAACAGATGCAAAATGAACTACAGCCTACCGCTACATCGAGTGCTACAAGTCCGATGCCCGCTCACGCTTGCCAACGCACTAACTCAAACTACTCCTGGCCATACTATTCTGAAGCCAATCTTAATTCGCGACCACAGAGCAGGTCCAGCATTAACACTAACTGGTAAGTTCATAGGGATTTCACGATTTTTCAAATTATCAAAACTTATCTTACTTTACTAAAATTGAGGAGAATTTACTTTATCCCTATAGCTCTCTTCCCTTTCAGTAGTTCCCTTGAGCTGCTTATTTTAACATATTGTAAAACTATTTTACAAATAATAACCAGAACCTTAAAACTTAATTAAAATAATGGAAAGCTTCAAAATATTCAATGTAATTAGGCACCGAGTTCCGCATCAGTGACACGAACAGCCAAGTTATACTTGTAAGGCGTACTTTTTCAATTAAAATCGAAGTAAATCACAAGCTGATATCATTTTATCACAGTTATCATATAATCTTTACATTCTAATATGTATATTAGTTAGTGTCATAGTAAAGATTCCAACAATTACCGTAACAATATCAATTTATTGTTATCAAGTCCAATGCCCATATAACCTCAGTCATTACAATGCTACTACGATTGTACTCTTTCATTTCTCTTCCATTTACCGAGGCTTCATTGATGTCACCACAATCTACATGCATCTAGGGCAATCAACGGCTTTCAATTAACCTGTAGTAACAGCCATACGTACGTAGTAAATGAATACATTATAAAGCAATATTTTGCTTTAATTTATTTACTTACAATAATATTTACAACCACATAATTCTAATTAATTTCGGGAATTTTGTGGTTGTATACATTATGTTACGTGTTATTTCATAGATTAAACGTCATCGATGAAAAAGTATTAGAATCGGTTGTATTCCCATTTGTCTCGCTATAAATGTCAACTCCTTTTCAGACTTAACAAGTCCAGCGGAAACGGACCGTTCTTAATGCACCAGATAATTTGGGATTCTTTTAAATTTTTTTAGATAAGGTATCACAAAAATAAATTTGGTGTCATATATAAATTTAAATATAAAATGAAATGCATCATCTTTATCCCTGACTTCCCTTTTAAATGTTCGTTGTGTTTTTTAAAGTAAGAAGATACTAAACACAAAAATAAAATTAAAAAACTAAGAGGTAAGTTCATTTTTTACAAAGGTCTAAATCTGACTACGCTACGACACGTCAATGCAACAGTACCCCGGTGCCACAACATAGTGATGCGTGTTACGCCCACGCACAGAACATGGCATACCATTACCAGAGACAACACGACAACTTGTACGGGAATTGTTCCCTTTACGCTAATGTTGGGTAAGTATGTTAAATAATCACTTATCTATAATAATAAATAAACATCACAAAGCTAAACAAAATGTTTATTAAAACACTTTTTACATTAAAAAGAGAAAACATAACTTGAAACAAACAGCAGTTTTTGCAGCTATGAAAAGTAAAATATGAAACACCCATAATAAATACCCTACATTAAATATTAATTATGCAAACGTGTCTGGTTTTTGCAATAAATATGTAGAAGAAGACTTTATAGAAAAGTGTAGCAAACGGATTTAATAAGTAAAAACTCAGGCTCCGCTTCGATGTGGCTTAAAATAAAATAACATGGAAAGAAAGAAAGAAGTTTAACAAAAGAAGAAAAAACTCGACTTGCAAATAGACGTTCCCGTTAGCTACAAATATTTACAAACATTTATGCCATAACACCTCACCATAAATATTTATTTTATTTAGATTGTTAAACAGAATATATGTATATATTTTTTTCCTTTTTATAACTTTATTTCCAACCGCAATAACTTTAAAACTTTTTCATAAACTATTTTTATTTAAGATCATTTGTGCTGGATATTTTTATATCTGCTGTTTACATGTGATAAATTTGGACTTATGTGGCCTAAAGAATTTTTATTGTCTCCTTTCGTATTTCTTTTCTTTTCTTATCTGTTATTATCTTTCGTTCTATGCATAAAGGTGTTCAGATAGCAGTCAAGAATTATACAGCTCCCAAACAAGTTCAGAACAAACGTCGCCAGTCCGTTCAGGTCGATGTAGGAGACCGGAGTCACCACCGCCTATTAGAAGCCATCACCAGCTTCTCTACGTACCATACAATAACCATTACCACTATCAACAGGATTACGCTCAAAATTGGGGCACTAACGACTGTGAGTATAATTAATCACGAGGTTCATGTCGATTATTCATTAAAAGATGACGTTGACACATTGCCGTTGGTTATATCAATATTTTTATGTAAATTAGTAATTATAATTATAGTAATTATTGCATTATAAATATGATTGAATAATTATAGTTAAATTTCTTACACATTATTGGTATTACATCGATGACAGCGGTGTTCGGTTTTGCAGATAACCGCATGCATTACTACCACCAACATCAGCAATCTATAAGTGGAGCCAGTACGCCGCAGCCAGCCATACCACAACGAGCTCATTACACACATGCCTTACAAGTGCAGGTGATATAAACATACGAAAATTTTACTGTGTTTAAAACTGTCTCAAAAATCTTAACCATACGAAAGTCCAATCATACATCATAAAGTATGTAATTGCATAGAATTAAACGTTAATTTTTTTTCGATTAGCTCATTAATCAAAATCTTTATATTTAATTCCAAGAAAGTAAGTTACCACTTATATTAAAAATCAGTAAATTTATTACATTTTATCACTAGCCGGTACATATAACAAAAATTTTGGCAGCCAACCGAAATTAAAAGTTATCTATATTAAAGTTTCGATTTTATTATTTTAAGAATTTTTTAGAAATTAAAACTACATATTCTTTTTTATACAAAAACTAACATAAAATATGTAAAAACTTAACATGTTAAAATTAAATATATATATACATGTTATGATACATATTTTAATTAAAAACCGTTCATGAAATACCGGTGTCGACATCCAATACGAAATATTTGGAGCGTGCGATTCTATAGAGACAGTCGTGAAGATTGTTTGTATATTACATACATGTGTACATATAGTGTATACCAATTAAGATCGAACAAAGCAGTCCGTAACTTTGCAAACAGAGAGGCTAGCGCAGCTAGGAATCAATTCTGATAGATAAATATAATTGGAATATACAACCTTACTGTTCAATCAATTTGGCATAGATTTTATAAGAATGAATATTGAAACGTTATCAATAAATTAAACAAATATTTGTACACCTAAAATTACATACGATATTTAACAGTAAGCTGAATAGCCTTGTAAACTGTATTTGACCCCATTACAGACTCTCTGCCCGGCTCCAGCAAGATATAGACCAGTGCCGGCGCCGCAACCTGGTGGCGGCAAACAAATGATTTGTTATTCCGAAAAGGTATATTTTAGAATAGATTTATATCCCTCTAGTACGTTAATTTCTTCAAATATAGTACGCAACATCAATATAACCTCACAAAGTTGACATAAAATCCAACTAAATACTCTCGACAAACTTTCGCGCAGTTTCAAAACTTTCTGTTATGAAGTTCGTAGTCCACGTGGGTTAAACTTTTCATCGTGATTGCTTTATACTGCAATGTGCATCTGAACGCCATCTGTGAACACTAACAGCCAACAACTTTAATTATATGACCTACAGAAATTGTTCACAGATACGAACCATGCAGTACTCACTTTACTTACTGAATAAGTACTATAAATGATCACAGGTGGTCTTATAAATATTTTTTTAATATTCAGATTTCTCATAATTTTATACATTGTTTTAAAACAAGTGAATTGTTAAATGAAAGAAATTGGTGATATTTAATTTTACTTAATCACTAGGATAGACTGTATTTAAAATAATATTTTTAAAATAACACTTAAATGTGTAATAAGTAATTTAAAAGAAGCGCATTGTCCTGAAATTCTTGTATTAGCATCTTTTATGTTCTGTATTTTAAAGATTTGTAATTTCATCAATTAGAGTCTATTTCTAATTGGATGAAAAGTGAGAAAGACAAAAAAAGTTAAATTCTTTTTGCCTACTTTTATTTCTAAATGCTTATATCAAATATTTGGTAACGAATTGAAGCCTAATATTTCTTTATACTTACACAAATACATAGAAGACTTAGTGAAAAACCTTATGGTTGTAAGCACACAAAGAAGTTATAATACCTTGTTGAATTATCCCAAACATATAAGTTTTTTTAAAAATACCTATCTAAATTGATAACATCTTAAAAAGAGTTTACTTATATGTATATACTTGCATGATATTATATTACCTAGTCTTTTTCTTATGTTATACGCGGTTTAAAAATAATTTCAAATATTTCTTCACTAATGAAAGTTAACCAATCCATCCTCAGGTTGCAGCCCCACTATACCAGCCAGCACCCGGGTCTCCATCTCGAGCGACCCGTGGAGCTCCCGAAGGAGCAGCTGGATCGGCCCAACAAGTCACCTCACCCATGACCGCACCTCAGAACCCGGTTTATTACGCAATGAATGTCTGACGAGGGGAATAGGTAGTAAAAAACTAACTAATTGTTTTAATTATAGGATTGTAATTTATAAAATGAAACATAAGGAATCCCTTACATAATATAATTTAAATATTAAATTATAATTTATGCCTTATATCTAAATTATTTATTCTAATTTCAGTTGCAAATTATACTGGGCCACGACAGGGTCCGGATTTGTATTGAAACATCAAAGCCTGCTGATGAAGACAAGAATTAAATATAACCAAGTTACCAAATGTGTATAAGAAAATATGTATATGATGTGAACTGAAATAACAAGTTAAAATCGTGCAGTTAAAAAATAATAACACCAAATTTTCAAGGACTGCGTGATTAATATAAAATTCTTTATGACTTGTTTTAGATATATGTAGATAAAGAGTAGAGAATCGATAATTAAGTGTTGATACCAAAGACGTTGCAAGATATAACCAAAGCTAAATAGCTCACAAATTTGAGAAAAAAGTTTAAAAGTAAATAACCTTGAGAACGGTTAAATATAAAGATAAAAAGAAATGCTTCACGATTTGCTTACTTTTGAAAGAAAAACCGTCTAAGAATTTAACATACTCGCGGCTCACAAGCGACTTAGGCTATACTAAATAATTTCATTTTAATTTATTTTTTATCATTGACTATGACTTAAACCTTTTAAAGTCAGCTCTATTTGTAGTCCTTAAATAATACACTATTGGGTTCTTGATTTATCTAAATCAAAAGGGAACCTATAAAAACCACCTAATTTCTTTATTTCATGTGCTATTTAAAGTAACAGTAACTTTAAATTGTTTCTCTGATCAACAGATAAATAAATTATAACCGCCCTTTGTATGGACCACATAACATATACCATCGTGCAAATGTGATAACATTGAACACAATAATTTTTTAGATTTATGTACATAAGTCATAGTACGATTTATACATGCTTCCATTTTTGAATTATTTGTGATGTCCTCAACGCTTAGGTTAGTTTGTATACAATTTAGATGAGTAATTTACGTGCCAAATACAAGCGTAGTCGTTGTAGAATACTTAGTTATAAAAGCGAGCCGTGTGTATAAGCAAGATAGGATTTTCCAATATCGGCCTAAGCCTAACGAATCATTTATAAATTTTTAATATACCTAAGTTTAACATAAAAACGTGAAATATCATTTTCGTCTCTACACAAGAATTCCGTAGGATTGTTGAAGTATATAGACCGTAGTTGTTATATTTTGTTTTTATTTAAATATAATAAATATATGATGTTAAAGTTTTATATTGCATGAACAAAGTTAAATGAGGCTAGTCTAATTAGTCATTGAGCTTTTACGATGAAGTATCAATAAAACAAGCATGTGCATTCGAACCTACTTAAGATTTTGAAAAAAAATACTTATATAATCATCTGATATGTGATTTGATATAAATATTGTCGGTTAATTTTAGCGACGTTTATAAAAACCAATTTGATATATTTTGTGGTCCATTTTTTTTATTTTTCATAGCCACAGAGCGTTAGATAAGTTAGGCGTTATTAATTAATTAATTTATATATTTTATTTGTATATTTAGTATGGCATGCATAGTTGGAAAATTGTTAGTCAAAGGTATGTAATCGCACAAATAAACACTAAATGAGACCAAAACTAGAACCTCATTCCAATATTTAAAAGTATTTTTGAGAAATGTTAATAATATATTAGGCATTCACTCATAATATATAAATATTGCATAAAGCATTGAATAGACTGCAATGATTGTTTTTATGACATTATACCAAAATACTTCAAACCTAGTAATTAGCAGTCTAGCATTATGTTACGAATAAAATACAAGAATTGAAACTTCGATGTACATTTAACATTTTACCAAGTACCGATGAACTTCTTTTATTAAAGGCTTCCACAAAAAATGCACTGTTTTGAGTGTTGTTTTAATAATCATAAAGTAATTTGTTGCTGATAATGTTTAGTCACTATCGTATAAGATTTATTTTAGTTTAAATAAAATATTATTACTTAAAAGTAATTTTTAACTTTAGTTGTACTTTTCTGTGTTTTATATTTCAGATCTCTTGTATTAAATATAATTTTTTTATTAATATTAACTGTTTCACGGCGTATATTAAATTTGTAACTGTTCGAAGCTACTGACACAAATGCTCATAAAAATCAGTAAGACATAAAGAAACTAGTGAGCAAAAATAATGATAGTTAGTTTATTACCAGCACGTATGTACAAGCTTTAATAATTGTCATAACATACCTACTGCGTACATGACACGAAAGTTAAATTTGACATTATTAACTTACATTTCAACCCGTCAGGAGTACATAAAAAAGTATTTCATTATACTACACGACAAAAAATTAGTTAATAATTGACGTTACAGATAAATATTTCTACATCTAATTAATGTTTATAATTTGAGCTAAAATTGAAGCTTTTAATAGATTTGGCTTGACTTCTTAATGAAATATATTACGATCCCAACTCTTTGAGTTGGAAATGACCACGTCTTAATTGGACAACTTTAGAAAACCATAAATTTATGTAAGACATTATTGTAGTCCTAAATATGTAATATAAGGTAGATATTTTATTTGGTGATAGATAATTTATTTTGAACATGTGATATTGTTTTGCTACTTGGCAGTTTTTGTACACTCAAATATTTTTATGTATATTAATCTAAGATTTATTATTGTTACTTTCGCCAAGCTAGTCAATAATAAGTATTTTGGAGTTGAAAAAAGATGTATTTAAAATTTTTGTGTATTTAATAGATAAGAGAATACTAAAATATTGTGAAGATTGCAATTGCAAATGAAATAAAACAGTATTCATGATAAATAATGAGAACATTGCATTTAAAACCAAAAAATATTTAGATGAAATTACTTATTAGAAAAATAATTTAAAGAGATAAGAACTACTATTTATAGAAAAAAATTGAACAGTAAATCTTTAGTTTTAAGATAAATAATACCTAGTTAACACATTTCAAAAACAAATGATGTGACAAATTAACAATGGAAGTAGTGTATTGGTGTAGTAACACTGCGGCAACAATGTAATGTTACTTAAAGTAATAAATGGGCATAATCCATTAAAATGGTAACTTTCAAAAAGTTTAGCCTGATTTGTTTTAAAGTAATTTGTTTATCTTCAAGATATTTCTAGAGGTCTATTGGTAATATGTAATAAATAAGTCAGAGATCTATTATAATTTTGAATGATGTAATACTATGTAGGTATAGAAAAATGTGTTGTTATATTTATATTGTTTCCATTTTTATTTTTATCTTAATATTCAATAGTTTTATTATTTTAATAAGCAAAAACCTTTAAAGGATATCGTCATTGGATTTGATGTTGCTTTATATAAAAGAAGCATATTAAAGTGTTATTAAATTCATATACTAATTTCTAATATGCAAGTAAGTCTTGCAACAAATGTTTTGAAAGTGACTTTTGTATATTTAGAACACAACTCTCTTTGGTAGAAAATTGCAGAAAAATTGCCATAATTAATATTTTGAAAAGGTACATCTAATTGAAGATTAGATATTACAATGAACCGAACTTGTGGACTGTTGAAACAATGAATATGTTTTCAGTTGACCAATTGATTAAAATATTGAACTTTTAGCATATAATAATGTTAATGCTTTTTATTTGATATATCATTTGTGCACATGAATTGTTTGGTTGTCCTGTAGAAGATTATCATGCTTCGCCCTGAATTATCTTTTTAGCATCTTTAAGTATATTTAGAATGTCTTAATATGAAGTTTATAGTAGTGACGCAAGTCAAATATATTAATTTGAGTAATATGTGTGTTAGCGCAAGGATGTCAGTTTTTCAATTTACCCATGTACAAATGTATTTGTAGATTGGTAAAGCAATAAAGTATTATGAATATTAATTGTTTTCATTCTCTATTCCATTTTTGTCTTTGAAAAGCAATTTGTTCCAATAAAATAAATTAAGTAATTTTTTCTTATGTTTTATTTATGGTTGGGACCAAAACTCTATAATGTTTTTACAAAATTTAAAATTATACATATATATTTTGGGTCTGTGTTAAGGAGTCATCAGAAATGATACAACACATTCCTTAACAGCTGATAAGAGTTCATTAACAAGATCTAACAATTTGGGTTCTGATAATGAAGGTTAAAAAAATGCCAAATTTCTCTACATTCTAAAAATCTGATATTGAGATTTAACAATGGTTCTACAATTTTTTCATTATATTTTAATTTAGAAAATGCATTATTATTTTAGGTTTTCCTACATTTCATGATTTATCATACAAAACTAATTGACAAAAAAATTCATCAAAGAAAATCCTTAATTTCTATTAGCTTACATTTCAAAATGTGCCTTATAAATATAATTGTTATTTTTGAGCTACCAAAGAGACCCATGCTTAACCTTCTGAGTACCTATTTAAAAACAACCAAATACATTAATATATTTGAAATTCTCATCATATTTGGAACAAATGTCTTGATATTTGTCAAATGTATGGAAGTGTTTTTAATATAAAATCTTATACAAAAATGTGCACTCTGACATTTATTCTACTTAATGAACAACCTACTACTAAATGTTATGCAGCACCTGCATCTATGATCAGTATCACAGCAAGGTGCAGTATCATGCACCCCTAAATATTTTCAAATAAGATTTGATACATTTTCTAAAATTTGTATATGCTCTTTCACTAAAAACAGTTAATGATTTATGTAACTTTATTCTTTGCATCAATCAATTTATTCTTATTAACAAATATTAATGATACTCAAATACTAAAATGGTATCATGACATACCCAACATGGGTACGGCAATTTAGTTTTAAGTCTACTAACATCCTTTTACTTCCCAATTAGTGTTTCCAAAAAAATGTTTTTATAAAACTAAGTTCGTCATGTATATAATGTCTGCAACATCTGTGAATTAAGTGTAGGATTTCCCTATGTGTTAGAAAAAAATTATACATATTTATTCTAACACAAACGGTCTGACACCTCAAAACCGTCATGAATGTCGGTTATTAGTTTTTATTCAGTTAAAAATTATGGGAATCAAAGTGCCTATTTTTTTTAAATTATTGAAATATGAAATAAAACAAAAACAATTTTTGTTTCGAGGTTCGAGTTAAACAATAGTAATAAATCCAATTTTGCACAAAACTTCAATATCGATCTATTCATGACAGATTAAACTAAACTTATGATATTTTGTTGCAATCATCAAGAAATGCTCAAAAGAGTGAAAACCCGATTTGTTATTAAATTCATGTGTAATTTTGTTCAGTTACGGATATAATATGATGACTCATTTATATATATAACAAAGTAGAATTACTTATACTTTTCTTGTTATGATTTCCGATTTTATTATTTCCGTTATATTAACGATAATTGTAATGAATATATAAATGTAACCGACCTTAAGTTTTTTAAAGTAACGTTACTAACCTTTCATGATTTAACCAATAATATAAAATTGGGCGGTAAATAATTATTTGACCAGGAATGATTTAAAAACAAAACAAAAATATGTTCTGAAAATTATTTTATCGCATAGTTCGCTGGCCAAAAAAAGAAAATATATGTTAACCTTTTATTGTCCGTTTTTGTATTCGTTTATGTAAATATATCATTTTATTTTTTATATCTAATAATATTTTTTTAAAAAATAATCTTATTCATAGACAAAACTGATTAATAATGATTTTAATATTACTTTTTGTTCTATCTAGTCTATGTTTACCCCTGCTGACGGATCGTAATTTGAAGTGGGTAGAAGCTAAATGTGTTATTTTTGTGATGAGTGTTCGTATTATTTTTGAGGTAAGAATTTAAAAAAACTGTGCACACAAACATTATCCTTTCGATATAGATGTAATTTCGTTATGTTGAATTTGATGTGTTTATAATACTCAGCATACAGACTGCTTAGGTGGCAATTTCCTCATGTCATTTTTTTAGAATATTCTCGCTTTTTATAAAATTATTCTAAAATGTTAGTCAAATTTAAAATATTTCTAAAGTAAGTAACGTTCATATACCTAATTAATTAGTTAGTGATGCACACTTTTATGCGTTGTAAAACATTGTATATGTCATCATTAAAATCAATGACGAGACGATTTTGTCAATCATAAATCGTTATTTTGATATAATATAGCAATAACAAATTCAATTTTAGCCTAATCAATTTGACTAAAATAACCAAATTGTAATCATCTTTATGAAGAATCAAAGCTGTGTTTGTTGGTAACAAAATATTTTGCTTTATCTTACATTGACCCTAACAGATATAATGCATAAATTTTTATTTCTTTTTGTAGATTTATTGCAATATTGTAAGATTTTTAATGCAAATAGAAAGCATTTGCCCCATACAGGATAACAATGAATAAAGAGTATTCATAGTGTGGATTTTTGTTTTTGTACTTTACTAGTAGATAAATTCTTATATTCTTTTATCTATTGCCACAACTGTAAAAATATATTTGTTTATTTTAAATTGTTGTATAAGATCATTATTTAGCATTTTTATCAGTTCTGTTATCTGGAATGGTTGAACAATCTGATTCTATTTTTGTTTAGTTATTATTATCAATCCTACCTTTGGTTACATACAAATCAATGCTTTGAATCAATGAATTATATTTTAATTGGTTTGATGTCATGTTATTCTTCAATATTCACATGCATTAGAAAAATATTGTGTTACTTTTTATATAACCTAAAACTCATGAATGTTTCTCTCATATTTGAAAAACCATTGTGAAACTAGTAATGAAGTAAATAAAATAATGCGTGAAGTGTTGCTTCATTAACTCGTTACTTCAATATAGGAAAATTAGTACATCGTGAAATGACACCAAGAAGGTAATGTATGTGATGTGACAATATTTGAATTAAAACTGTACTCATATATGATTTTTGAAATTATATGGTTTTTACTCTTTAATTATGTCTTCAGTAAAATATTTCAAACAATATTCATGACGTTATACAATGGTAACAGTACACATAATGTGAGCAAAATGTGTTTACGCAAAAGATAAGATCACCTTGGTCACAGTTTTATTTTCATTCAAATGTTTATTCTTCATAGATTAAAGAAACAGGATATTGTATCATTCAAAACTTTAACTTTGTTTGATAAGTTTATATTTTATGTATTATTTTTTTTATGGTTGTATTTGTAGTATAAACTTCATTAACTACTGTTGTTATAGAATGCCAATTCAGGCGCCACAATGGGCGGACTACCTCAATTGTCCAGTGTGCTGCCGAGACTTTGGCCCCGCGCCAAGGAGCCCCATCAGCCTTGGATGTGGTCACACACTGTGTGGGCATTGCATTAAACACCTTCATCGTAAACATTGCCCATTCGATCAGGTTAGAATAATTTTTATAACCAAACAAAACTTGATTAGTTTCAATGAGGCAAGAAAAATAGAAGCAGAAAACATGTAAATTACATATTAGTTATAGAGAAAAGTCATAAAATTTTCAAACGATCCACTTGCTTAGTCTCAATACATTTGGACATAACTGTGTTATCTCATACAGTTCTAGTTACCACCCAAATATATTTATTGTTTAACAATTATCTGATTTGTCATGCTCATGACGCAGAGGCGAAGGAAGTTTGGATATTTTAGAAGAAAGTGCAATTATGCGAAGGTTTGAATAATTCTGTAGATATTGTTTATGAATGTTGACATTAGTTGATGTTTCATCAAATCTGATTATGCTTTGAGAAATCAAAATAGCATTCATATTGGATTAATTTATTCTTTTCTTAATTTTTGTTAGTTTAGTGCATGTAAAGTCTATGAAATGATATCTGTTAATTACATGCCCTTTCTACGTACTATAGTCCTCACATACTCATGATTGACTGTTTAGGATGCTTCTTCCAATTCTATCTGATCATTTTTTGTGTTTACAAAGAGTTATTTTTATTGTAATCTGCACAACCTATCTGTTACCCAAGGCCTGATTATATGTGAATGTTTCCAATAGCTTTAACGAGCTTATGTGGAAGACATAATTTTCATCATTCTCTCTTCTTATTAAAGAATTTTAAAAGTAATAGATGTTTCATTCTATACTAGACAATCATCCATCCAGACCCTGAGGAATTAGTAGTAAACACGGCACTACTACAGATAGCGGGTTACACTCCGCCAGCGCAGCCCTACCACCCCCCAAGTATCCAGGCTCTGCCTGAGCGTGACAGGCATGCATATGATGTTATAGTCCGCAGTCTTGAACATCTCGCCATTTATCTAAAACTATGTGGTAATGTTTGCTTTTTCCTTATGATTTAGAATTTGAATAACACGTCGGATTATGCAAAAAATATAAAATATTATAATAAAGTAAACAGTTTGCAGTTTTTCAATTTTACCTGGGATTTTAGGAATGTTCTGACAGTTTATACAGACATTGATTATCTCTTTTGCACTAAAATGTTATTTTCATACCTCTTATATAGCGACTAGTAACACGGGTAATCGTCTGTCCCGGCCCATGCAGCGTAAGTTGGTGACCTTACTACAGTGCGCTATAACTGATGAAGAAGGCCGTGGCAGGGCGGCGCGGGCTGTTCGCTCACTCGGTGAGAGGACAGTCACGGAGCTCATACTACAGCATCAGGTTACTTATTCGTTACTATTATTGTTAGATTATATGGGGCTTATACAGGGTGACTGGTGAATTACTATCGATATTTGAGGACGTGATATTTGACGATCATATATGACAAAATAAAAATTAATATAACATAAATATTAATAAACTTCTAAGTAAAGTTAACCAAAAGTTATGTAATTAATTACGCATCGTATGAACACCCTACAGATTAGGTATACACACACACTCACACAGACGCGGCGGCGGCGTAGTGTTATATCAGCACGCCGCCGCACGCGTCCACACTTGGAACACTTGGAACGTGTACACACTTTATTTATTTATACGGAAATTTAGTCAAAAATTAAGTACCTATTTTTTTTACATAATTCGAATGAGAACCATGTACTGAGTATGCTCCTTAAATATTGATAGTAATTCACCAGTCACCCTGTATACAACTTGCTTATTTTCATGCCATAATTGTTGAGCCCTGAATATACAAATTTATCATATTTTGTTTACTTTCAACCATGCTTATAATGAATGTGTTGAAATTCCTCGTCGAATAGAATCCCCAGCAGCTCAGTGCTAACTTGTGGGCGGCGGTCCGTGCTCGCGGCTGTCAGTTCCTTGGACCAGCGATGCAAGAAGAAGTTTTAAAGTTAGTTCTTCTAGCCCTTGAAGATGGTTGTGCACTTTCTAGAAAGGTGATTATTTTTACGCAAACAATGAAATGTAATTTATAGATTAATAATTTTAGTTTTTTGTTGTTAGGTACTAGTGATGTTTGTTGTCCAAAGATTGGAGCCCCACTTTCCTCAGGCTTCAAAGACGAGTATCGGTCATGTAGTTCAGCTTCTATACAGAGCCTCTTGTTTCAAGGTGAGCCCATCATATAACATGATCGACGTCGTTATTAAATCGTCTACGTAACAATAATGTTATGGAATTGTTCAGGTATCAAAGCGAGAAAGTGATTCATCACTTATGCAACTGAAGGAAGAGTTCAGAACGTATGAGTCGCTACGTCGTGAACACGATGCTCAGATAGTACAAATAGCGACCGAAGCCGGTTTGAGGATAGCACCGGATCAGTGGAGCGCTTTGCTGTTTGGAGACACAGCTCATAAGAGTCATATGCAGAGCATCATAGATAAACTTCAAACGCCACAGTCTTTTGCGCAGTCTGTACAAGAGTTGTTTATAGCTCTTCAAAGGACCGGTGACCCAGCTCAATTGGTCGTTATGAGCATGCATTTAGATAGACTCGCTAACATCGATGCCAGCCCCGGTAAGTTAGCATTTTTTATTTATAGAAATTTTACGTTTACATTTTAACACCTACGGTTTCATTTAGAAGCTCTAGCCCGTCCATTTTAGGAAAAAGGAAAAAATTTAGACTATCCAATTTCTGTCATTCTTATATTCGTATATAATTATAGGGACAGTTTTGTGTATGATTAATTCTTTATATGACCAAAGAGTTTATATATTAATGAGCTTTTCAGATGTAATTGAAAAAAAAATTAAGAATAATTAATTTTTATTGATTAAATCATGTTTCATAATATTTTGTATTAATATGTTTTAATTTCAAATGGTTGTAACATATTTGGCAACTAATGAATAATGGAATTTTGATATGTTTTATATACATTCCAATTATTCTTGTATCATTTAGATTTTAGACTGACGTTATGAGAATCTGTATAATTAAGAGCCCGGTTATCGAGTATCTGTTATAATGTTGTTGTAAAATATGTAGGTGTAAAAGTTAGGAATTTATAAATGTTAAACACATTTCCTCACTTTGCCATTTGCAAGTATATTTTTATTTGAACATAATTACGCAATAAAATATGTTCTAAATATGGACGTCTTGTAATGTTATGATATGGCTGTATTATTCAAAGTGCTTTCTTATTTAAGTATACGTCGGGACTAGTAAAATGGTTTGAGAAAAATAAAAACATAAATATAAAAACTTCTTGCGTACTTGACATAATAATCTCATTTCTTAGCACTTTTATGCTCTACATCACACGTTAGAGTGAATTTTCATTTGCTTTTTCAAACTTTACATCATTATCGGCTTTTGTGCTCGTTAATTTTTTTTTAAAACGTCTCATATATGAATTTCGAAGCTTCTCACATTATTATTTTTTTCTATGTTATATTATTAAGTATATGATCAATCCAGTCATGATGCAAGACTTTTACAAAATATATGTATGACGTACATGTGAGAATAAGCAGAAGCTTTATGTGTAACTGTAGCCTTGACTTAAACTGTCTAAATATGTAATATTTAATATCAGATGCGAAGTATCCCAGCTGGCAGTCCCTGGCTGAGATGATAACTTCTATAAAGGAGGTTGTCGCTGGTCTGGTCCACTACTTACAACATCAAACCGGTGGTCGAGACGCTAACCACAACCAGAAACATTTGCAGGTCCCAATAGAACCTTCGACAAGTGAGTAGTCTTACAATACATTTTGTTTCATAACATTTTTTTTATATTTGTCATAGAAAACTCTTACCTCAACATTTCTAAGTAATTTATATTGTTTTTGATCATAACTATTTTAGTCTTTGGTTGCGTGATTATAGTATTGGATATTTAAAAAGAACCAACTGTTACCAGTATTGATTGAAATCATTCTTTTCTTACTAAAACGGATCGTACTAAATATGTGATAGAAATATTAAGACTTAAATCGTATGTATTTTGTAGGATGTTTTTTATTCAAATATTCTTATATAGTTAGGAACGCTATGTCAAAACACAATTTAGCTGTTATAAAGTAATAGGATTTTAAAAGAGCTTACGTGGATAAGCTGAATTACTTTAGGGACTAGGTATTTGTGAATTTTCATGTTCTAAGTTTTCTGTGAGCCAAAATAATATTTATTATTTTTATATAGACTACCATTAAACTTCAAACCACATTCAATTAAAAAGAAATTTAGGATTATTATATAAATTTGGATATACGATTTTCATTTCATGAAATTCTTCCATGTTTGTTAGTCAATGAAGATACATATTTTCGAAACAGCTAATAAATTATTCATTGGTATTGATATATCAACACTTCAATCTTAATAAACTAGTGTCTAGGATACTGATACATTCATTTGTTTTCATTGCCATCATTGCACAACACTGTCCATATACACAACATAGTAAATAAATAGACATGATCCTCTTTACGGCTTACAATAAAGCAACCACGGATTGCTATAGGAAATTTCCATTACTAAATATTAAATAATTTATAAAGATTTTTGTCTTCCACTCATTTATCTTTCAAACCAGATATGAGATAACTCGGAAGGCATAATAATAAAATTAATAAACATTTATAGAGGTCAAGTTGGTTTTAAATTGAAATAAATACAAAAAGCAATTGTTTTAATATTTATGATGAAGGAATCAAAATTATGATAATAATGTTGGCAGTTTAAACGTGCTAAAAATGTAAAAGATTTTCTACTTGTTTTCTAAGTTATCAATACTAAATACGTTTCAGCCGTATAAATCGATTTTTCATTATGAATAATCTTGACAATGCCCAATTTCCTGTAAGTAGGTATAATTTAGTTATTTTTTTAACATTTTTTGTTGAGTTGTGAGGAATAGCGGAAATGTAAGAGAAAAATTATGAAAACAATTTGGTCTAATGTTTTAAAACACAATTGTCATACTTTTAACGCTGAGGCCATATTTATAAAGTGTCGCTTAAAAGAGAAAGCAATTCAAAGGTTTTCTTTCAAAACTTTACTTAATTGCTGGCCGCTTTTAGGGATTCGTCTTAAATGTATTCTTTTTGTCCATAAAAATTCATCTGTATATATATTATAAAAATCTAGAAATATTTAATGATAGTTACCACCCAAAACAAGAAATTCCAAATAGTTTTATTGTATCAATGTAACCATTTAAACTTCTTTTTTTTATGAAAATCTTTTTCAAAGATTAATTTCGAATAGAAAAAAAGGTGGGGACGTAAATTGATAAACTGTATTCACGCCTTATTTCCATGTAATTCAAAATGTAAATGAATTCTGAAGAGTCACACGGAAACTTAAAAATATATGCATATATTAAAGCTGAAAGTTATACGTTAAGGTCATACGGAAGAAACATTTCTTGACTAGTCTTAGTTCTAAATATATTGGGCCTCCTCACAGAAGGACCTATGTCAAAATAACGTAACCGAAATATTTTATCCCAAGTAGTATGAAAAGAATTTTTTTTAATTGTATGGGAATTATATTTTTAGAGAAACACTGCAAAAAGTTTTTAATGGTTATATAATCCCACATACAAATGTTCTGTCCGTGCTTTTTAACGTACCCTAAATTCTAAATATTATTTTTCAGGTCAGCCATCCACGCAAATAGTGACAACCCCGACCCACAAATACAAGACCTCTATGTGTCGTGATGCCGTCACACGCTCGTACTGCCCGAGAGGCAACGCTTGCCCTTACGCACATTATGAAGAGGAACGTGAGAGGTAATATATAAATCTATTAAAATACTCACATGTTATCATTAAATCTATTGTTTAGAAGAATGTTCAATTCCTGTATTATATATTGCGTATTTAACTTTTTATTATCTATAGCAATGCGATGTATTCATACGTTAAGCTACTTTGAATATAAAAAATATTTTGTGAGAAAATTATAGCTATATGCAATCGTATTGTATGCTAATAATATGAATATTGAAATATGTATTTATATAATGGCGACTAGATTTGTCTGGAATTTTCAATAAAATTTATTGTTGATTATCTATAGCAATAAACGTAGTCATTATAAATAAGAACAGTAAATACTGAACGTGAAAAAATTGTAAATTATAGTAAGAATAATTTTAATTGCTATGCAAATAATCTTCTACTTTTTTTAAATAATCATTCGATAATATTATTTTTTTATTATTTCCCTCTCCGTGTTTTTTTGTTTGTTTACATATGTGATTTCATGAAAAATCTTAGTTTAATCTGAGAAAACAAAATAGCAACAACAGAATTATTTTGGTGTAACTTTATGAAGATGTTGTTTAAATTTTATTATTTCCTAAGTTTTGCTTTTAAGATAACAATAATTAGCAATCAAATTCATTATATTATCTTTTGCCTTTTGCAAAGCGAAATATGTATCATGTAAACATTATGCCAATTTATTTTATATCATATACAATTGATTTTTTTTTTTTCAAATAAATTAAACACCATGTTTTTGTTTGTTATTTTGAGTTTTTATAAGTTATTCTGAGTAATTTTAGACTGACATATCTTTTGCATAAAGTTAAAGATTATCACAAGAGCCACCCATATGGTTACCACTAGTAATAAACACGAAACCAAAATTACGTTTACTTACACTGCGTATACAATATACATTTTCTATGTGAAAAAAGTTTAAATGTGGTCAATTCAGTCTTATCGAACATTTTGTTTTGATGTCTTTGAATATAAAGTAAAAATATTGCGTATGAGAAAAATATCATATTTTCTCCATATTAAAGTTAACTTAACACCATCAGATACAGGTGCCTGCCAAACAGTTCGGCTGTGAACAATGGCAACTACTACATACAGAACGTACCAAACATACAGAACGTACAAAACATGCCAAACATACCAAATATACCGGTGCCGTCGATGATGCCGCCGATGCAGCCGATACTGCCGCAGATATACCCACGATATCCTCTACAACACCACGTCGAAAACTATGTACCACGTTAGTATTATCATTACTTCTACTTCAGCAATCAATACAATAATACATTTCTTATAAATATAAGTCATTAAACAAAAATCAAATGCTTGGTTATGCGGTAGAGGTTTTAATTAAATATTAACAACATTATTTTCATGTGTTTTATGTACAGCGATGGACGATTTTTTTTCATATATTTTAAATATTGCAAACATATGTATAGGAAGATTTATTTCCAATATTCAATGACTCATACAGATACAATGCGTCACAGTTATGTTTGTTTCTATTTTAGTTTACACTGTAATGAGAAAATCATATCAGTAATCTGGCAAATCATAAAAGTTATTTTCAACCTTTATCTGTCTCATTGCTCTAGTTAGCTTGTTCTAAAAATGTTAATTATATTATATATAAATATGTTATATATACATATAATCAAATTGATGTTTATTTTAGCAGTGCAACCCATACCAGCACAACCGCTGCCACAGGAAATGATCCCAAACCCAGAGTATGCTCCGGACAACCCGCGTCCTGAATGCATTCAACAAACGTAATTATTTAACTTATTACAGTAACACAAATTAATGAGAAAATTAAATATTTCGGATGGATAGATAATGAATACCGGCTATTTTCATGCAAAAACTACTAAACTGATTGCTCATAATACTTATCACTTGAGCAGATTGTACGTTTAAATAAAAGACGAAGTTTTTATTTTGTTTAGTCGACTTCTAAGACTCACAAATCTATCTAGTGTCAAATAAAAATAATATTTTTGTTCAACTAATAATATATTGTAGATTTAATGCTCGAAAACAATATATCCTTAAACATAATAACGTGTAGGTTAAATAAATAGTAACGTTTTTGTAGGAATTATGCATCCGCCCTAGTGCCAAACCAGGCTCCCGTGCCTATAAATCAAAAAGGGCTGATGATACCACTAACAGAGCGGCCATACTACCCTCGCTACGTGACGATTCACGAAGAGCCGTCAAACAATCTACAGTACGTTAGGACGGAGTACGTCAGTCCTGTATATCAAGGACCCAACAACGCCGGCCCTGTAGCTAGCTATCAGGAACAGAGTTTACCCATGCCAAATATGTTCGTGCCGGTGCAACGCGAACCTCAAAGAAATATCAGCCCGTACGCCTTTGATGATCGTAAGTTGTGACATACATTGAGTATTTTGTATGAAAGTTAATTTAGTCATTGTAAAAGGTCTAATACCAAATTACTTTTTTTTAACTATGTGGTTGTTTTATGTTAAAGGTATTAGACTGTATGCTTAATACCTGCAAAAACATTATATGTAATAACTGTTATCACAAAATTACCCAATTATATTTCTCTTTTTCAAAATTCAACTAAAATAATTACACAAAATTTTATGGGTATATCGTCATTTTTTTACTTAAGCGCCAATACTCTAAGGCAAATTGAATAGAATTACGACGATTCTAATTATTGACGAGCTATTTTTGAATTGTGACAGAATGATGAGTGAATTATTATCGTTTTAAAGTTAATAACGAATAATAATCTTTGAATTTCAGCCATATCATCAGAGTTACTGCCGGAGTATCGTGTGAAGACGGGTTATACGCCAAGAGAACTTAACATCGAGCCCACCTGGCCGCCTGCAAACAACGTAAGTAATAACTATTATGTCAACTAGCTCTCATACTTAATCATTGCATTCAATTTGTCTTTACATAAGATCACCAATACCTTTATTGTAACAATTTGGCTTAACGGCAAACAAAACCATTTGTTATTAATAAGGCTGTAAAAAATTATGCCATTACGTTTGTATTTTAATTATTTCTGTACAAAGACAAAGTTGTGATTTTTGCAGCTTAGTATAGATTAGGTGTCTGGGTTGGCAGAATATACTTTTTATTAAAAAAAAATTTCCAGTATTGGAACAATTTTTAACAAATATAAGATTTTTGTGATACATTTAATTAATTTAGCTACAAAATGTATTTTTATGAAAGATGTAAAGGTTATATATGATTGTATATAAAAAATATTTTACAGGTATTTAATTTTGATCCAATGAGGAATGCATTACCACACTGTCCAACTACTGCAGAAGATGTAAGTTATCTAATATAGTATAGGAAATAATTATATATGTATACATACATTCCAGTATTCTTTAATTTTATATATACGATCAAAATCCAAATTGAAGTCCTATTACATAGATTAATAATAATTTTATGAAGGGACTATATTAATATTTTATTATCACAGTGATTATAAATCACAAATTTAGATAAACTAAATATGTATTAGTTTATATTAAATAACTTCAATACTACACTAGTTTAGTTTCTACATTCATATATATTTTCAGATGTTCGCTGTACAGAGCGATCGTAGAGTTGTTGGTGCGGACAGACTCACCTCAGTGGCTGATAGACTGACCAACAGAGCGGATGACGTAAGATTGAATATTCCCTATATTTACTTTCAAACTATATATTTTTATATCCATCTTTATATTCTATATAAAAGAAAATCCATTATATGTAATTCTGAAACCTTAATACACGAGAGAAACCGCAAGAAAAACTAGTTAATCATAAAACTATAATCAAATATCGATTATCACACCATTAATGACATCCATAATGTATATATGCGTTTCCCTATTAAAATGATACTAAATAAATGTTAACATTAAATCTTATATGTAAAACTTATAGCAGGAACTTGAAGAGGAATTGCAAGCGTTAGAGCGTCGCATCGACACCGAGTTTAAGAGCACCGACTGAATGAGATAGTAAAGAAATAACCAAATACAAGGAGACGTGTAACAGATAGAGTTCATTGAACTCGTATATATATGATGTATGTTTTTATATGAGTATAGTTGTGTCCATATACATATTACATACTCTATGTGAGTCTAGATTGTTTAGTAGTTTACTATTGTTCTGACGGTGTTGACCGATGTTAGTGTTGTAATGGATATCCATGAACCGTAATTTATTACTTGTAGTAAGAAATGTATAGTTGACGTGAACTCCCTATATATTTTTATATATAGATCATCTGGTTATTTAAGCACTACCTACGTATTAGAATATACTCCGACTCTAAAATATAAAAAAAAATATAAATGGCTGATTTATGCTGATATATTTGATTTAATTAAGTTATTAATTAATAAATAAAGAAAATATTATCATATACATTTAATATGACTGATATGTGCTACAAAATCTGACTGTATAAATATATAGTTTTGATTTAAAAAAACGACGTTAACGACGTTAACGATGAGAGTTCGTTATAAATTTTTTATAGTTTTCACGGCAAAAAAGAAAAGTCAACTCATCAGTGCCTTGTCATAACTGTGCATTTCCTAACTACATACGGAGAGTTTCTAGTTTTTCCATACATAAACCAACGTGAATCAAAACCTGTATACACAGGACATGTAGTTTGACATTGCACAACTTGTGATAAGGCTACTAGCCAGTAGTCGACTATGACCTTATAATTTGCTTGAAATAGAACTCGATGAAAGATCTCATCAACATTAATTTATGTCTCGTATATTATTTTACTTCCATTTTGATTTTTAATTTTTTTTTCCATTTTGTTTTGATGTAAGGAAGATTTAGAATTTTAATCAATTGAAAAGGAGTCAGACAAAACGTAACTTCATATGTGATCTATCAGCTGATAAGATTTTTTTTATTATAACATTTTTAAATTTAGTTACATTTATAGACATTGCTTGTGGCATTCGTAAAAAAATTAAACTGATTTTTAATTTATCTGGATGGTTTCCCTTCATCAGGATTTTTACATAAATTTAAAATACATACGTGACAACAAACTATAAAAAGATGAAGTTAATAAGACTTATATGCATTGTGAATTGTTAAAATATATATTTTGACAGTTGTGTTACTTATTAGGACTAACATACTACTCTAACAACATACATATACCATATTTTTATGGTAATAGTAATATGTCTTCTATTGATTTGTACATATAAAACTACATATTTGTTTAAAATATTTCTTCTATATTTTATATTTCTATCCAACGTTGAGATTTAAGTCGTTTTTGCAATAAAAGAACATCATTAGAGAAATGATTTAAATAATTTATTTTTATGATCTTTATTTATTTCTAATGTTATTTATAGTTAATTTACCGTTTATTTTTCAATTATAACAAATTTATAAAAGCACGTGCCAAAATCATAGAGCATCACATCAAAGTAGGCGTTATATGAAAAATAATGTTATATCAATATGGCTACAAAATCTTAACCATAGTTTGTTCCGAATAGAATAATATAAACATCATATTTTTTCGACAATATATATAGAAGCCCAAACCCACACTATAAGCCAAATTAGTAACGGTTTAATAATTCCTAAAATAACGGTATGTGTTTTTAATTATTTATTCACTTAGCCAATCGGGTCGGAGTATAGTTGTAATGAATTATAGTTTACCGAAATTACTTGTTAGTCCTTTATGAATGTGATTTATTTAAGGGTAAATAGAAAATATATACTACCAAATAATATATGAGGTCCCGTAGGCGGTACGTCGCGAGTTGTTGATTATGTGACGGTAGTAACCTGTAGGTATATAGAGCGTATATTAATTTTAAGTACATACATTTGTTTTCCTACCAGAATTGTCGCAGTTACTTTTGTTCAAATTTATTTTAAAATCTTAAATTATTTAGCGTTATACCTTAGAAGAATAGTAAAATGTAATCTAAATGATACATTTAACATCCAAACAATAAATTTAGAGATAAATTTAAGATCTTACATAGTAATGTTTAAATTTAACATAAACCTTAAACAGCCGAAGCTTAAATGCAATTCGATATAATTTAGTTATTATAAATATGTGTACAAGTTTTTATTATAACAAAAGGCAGTGATGTGATAATCTGTGATTCAAAAATGTCAATGGTGACGAGATTTGTTGGTCATGAGATTTAATACATATTTTTTAAACGGAAACGTGGAAGAACAATAAAATATTTAGAATTTGTTGTTTAAAACATACAGCCAATGTTGAAGAAGTTGACTGTCAAATTATGATGTACAATTAACTGCTCTGAAAGTTGAACATCGTTTTCGTTAGACATAAAAGAGCATTTAATATTGTAATAATTATACCGTCTCTTGTGTAATTTCAAATTACGAATGTCTTTAATTCGGGTCGTGGTTCTTGCCGTCCAGTATTTGACTGTTCTTTAAAAATAATCAAATAAGGCAATTTGACCATTATTTTTTTTTAAACAACACTCAAAAGACATATTTCATTATTATTAAATAGGATATTTTTGTTATATTTTTTTTTTCTTAATGGTTGCATTTAATTTTTGTGACTCATATATAGCGATCATGTGTTGTTGTCAAAAAAAAAAGTTTTTAAATGTTATTTCGTCAGACATAATATTATTCATATTAATTTACTACCACTATTTCTTTATGAGACAGACATCGGCCTAAGGACACTGCGATTTTATACGTTTTATAGTCTGTATTAATAATAAAGATAAAACATTATTGAAACCAGGAGTTGTTTAAAAAACGAGTCTTCTCTTGTTGCTCTTCAAATAGATGGCGCTGTCCGAATCGGTGGTGCATAGACTATTGAATGTTAATTATATAAAAGTGTTTTGACTGATCGTAATTTACTTAAACAGTTTTCAAAATGTTATATAAAGGTTGTTCATGAAACACAAAATAATTATACAATTTGCCAAATCACTTTATATACTTCTGTTCTATGTTAGTCAATTCGGGAGCCGTATTTTAAGATGCATTTTTTATTAATGCCGTGTTTCATATGTAATTATATGGAAGAGTGATATATTTATATATAAATTTCAAATATATTTAACTCCCCCTTAAAGTGCACCTTTACGCTGTAAATGAATGCTTCTTTGATTTGACATTCAATATTTATATAACATATCTTTGTGCAGACATTTTCAAAACAATATATATTGTTAATTTACTTCAATCTCCCAAATTATTCCTTAGTCGGTTGGTTGTTGTAGATAAAAAATATCAAGAAATGCTGAATGTTACATGTACAATAAAATTCCAAGTAGACGTGTTTTAGTCATATTTATATGTCGTGAATCTTTGAATAGAACTAGCATCTTAAAGATGCTATGAAACAATATATATATAATATATAATGTATATATAATATATGTCTTTGAGCACTTATTTACTTGGAGATGTGTATTGGCATTAAATATTAATATCGCATTAGAGAGAAACATAATTTCATTCAAAAAATATTTTTAAATTTGTTGGAATCTATGAGGGAATTAGTTTTGAAATCTCTTTATAACTAGTGTACTGTAACAGATATCATGGGGTAATTTAGTCGTAATCGAAGCTTACGTACAAGTGACGTAAGTTTAAAGGCTATTTAGATGTACTGACCTGACTTTGGTCTAAATAGACACAAGTCTTAAACTTGGTAATGCTAGGTATGTTTATATTTTTGGTATATGGGGAGCGATATCTAAGGCTGGTGATACAACTACGTATTCTCTAGGTAGAGTGGAAAAATGTATAAATTGTTAAGGATATAATATAGATACAGCTGAGAGATTCAACTCAACGCCGTCATTTTTTTCTTTATATGTACATATGTTTTGTTACTATTTACATTAATATATATTACCACAATTGCGATTATCTTTTGTAATGATGTAGTAATATTTATTCTATTATTATTATATTTTGCAAGGACTCATTTGCTTTGTGATCTCAAGACGTCCTAAATAACTTAGATATATGTATATATGAGGCAAAATTATTGTAATTTAAAAATAACAGTAGGGGTTTTTCACTCATTCATGTTGAGGAATAATTTTAATAATATAACGTTGCCTTGTATTGCAAAAGTTGTAACATCGTCTTCACAACATGTTATTGCCAATTGATAACTAGCAGTATGTTCAGGATATTTCCCTTTTACAAAGTAATTTAGGAAGACCCACTATTATTTTTATCTTAAATGTCACCGTACCATATTAATATGTGGTCTGTTGCTTCTCTGTGCAATCGTATTACGTGCAATAAACGTTCTATCACAAAGTATGAAATGTTAAAATCTATCAAGCTTGTATACCGGAATGTAGATATGCAATTAAAAATAATATACATATGTATATATGTCCATACTACCCAAGTCTTTAACACCATTTGCTGTTTCAACTGTTCCGAGTAAAGAAGATGATGATTACATGAAATCTGTCGAATAAGTCCGTTGTTTTAAAGGAGTGGCTTGCTACGAGCAGTTTTTTTTTTTATTGTATAGTAAATACCAAATTTATTTTGGTGGTTTTTTTTTCCTAGGAAAAGTTATTTTTATTATTTATAACAAGGTCTGTTTAAAGACCCTAATATAAAAGGCATTTGATGTTTCGGGTCCATATTATAATTTGGGCCCTGTAGACTGCTTTATTAACTTTGTAAACATTGACGGGCAGGTCGCCCATCCGAGTGTACTTCGGTTAATGTTTGTGTAAACGATTTTCATAGTTTAAATCATACATAAATATTGTTATAAAATATAGTTTTGCTAATAAGTATATTTATTTTTAGCATAGGATTTGTAACATTTTTAGCGTTGGTATTTTTATAATGCTCTTGTTATAATCACATACCATGATCAAATACATTATGTTTCAAATTCAACTGATTATTGTTGTTTGGGAACATAATATATTGTATCAGAATTCTGCACATTAAAAATATATATCGTAAATTATCATCTGCAACAGAATCTAGCGCTAACTTAACTCTCATAAGCATAATGATTTAGTACTGATGTATAATGTATATTAATTTTGGAAGGATAACCAATTGTAGGACAGTACCTCGCACGCTACTTAACTCAAATAGATGATATAATTATAGATTTTAGGCCAAAATAATTTAATGTCCATAACTTCCATGTATAAAGTCGGATCATGCTGATAACATAATATTGTAATGTTAGATATGTAACGAGTGACTTGTAACTTCCTAGATCTTAATATTCATTGTTGTGATTGTACAACTCGTATCACTCGATTCTTATATTACTACTACTACTAAATGTATCGAGTATTCATTTGTATGAAGTCCGGCGTCGGGTTGCGTCTTTCAGTTTTATTTTTATATAATTTTATTGGAGGTGCGAAGCCCCCGATTGAATGTCAGTGGTTGCATTTGTTTAAGAATGCATAGATTTTGTTTACTTTTTAAACTTGTAACATAATTGTAAAGCGTTTAAAGCGCTAGTAGGTGATTATTGTCAGACGGTAACAAATATTTAACATGATTTATGAGCGAACTTTTTGTTTTCTAGAAATTAGTACATGATATATAAATTTGGTGTAAAATATCTGTTGCTTTAATAGTTGGAACGTATTTTGTGTGAATTTATAAGTCCTTGTATAAGATTACATCTGAACAGTTTCTAGTTATACAGTCGGGCTAAGTAGAGCCTATTAGAAATGCATTTCCATACGCAATAATATATTATTTGTTGCTTGAAGAGTTTTGTTTTAAATCTTTTTCTTTTATAAAATAAAATGTTTTGTGGTATATGTTTCGTTTTATTTCTTTCGTGATTTATAAGTTCGTTTTAGTGAAGATTTAATAATAAACAAACAAAAAAAATTACACAGAATGCATCTGTTTGTTAAGGTCTTTAAATTTGAAAAATTGCTGGTCTAAATATATATTAATAATACGTTATCACTGAGCAAATTTGGTGAGAATAGTAATAAATTTTGACCAAGTGTTTATCTTAAACCAAATTTTTTGTAAACCTCAACATGATACAATTTTCGTGTGACATTGTCTTAACTCATATCAAAATTTTGTTTAAATTAAACTATTATAAATACATATCTTTTTAAATAAAATCCAAATTTTACGTATAAACTTAAATAAGAAATAATTTAAAGTATATAAATTATTGAATGTCGGATTACTGATGACGCAACTTTATAAAGCTGTTCACGTCGCTTTGATAACATTTGTTGAACTAATAGCCCGAATGATTCATGAACGAAGGTGACTCACATTACAACCCCCAGCTTAAGCCCCCTTTAACAACTCTGTACCTATCGCAAACTCTCACAGTTGCTTTTAATTAGATTACTACTTATTTTAATATTCAATTATATATTCATAAATAGAAGACACAATTTCCCATCCATTATCGACTTACGAGACTGTACTTAAGAAACTTAGCAGGCGCGCTCTCTTAAATAGAAACATTAAGTTTACTTATCAACAACAATAACTGTACTTTAATTATTTTTTACTATAAAATTACGTAACGAATCTTTTATGACTTTACCAGATATAAATCGTTGGAAAGGAAAAATTTTATACCTACCTACATATTAGCAAACGGAGCTTAACATTAATTCTAGCAACAGGCAAGGGTTTCTAATGCGTTAGACGTTGTTTTACTTGTTTAAAAGTCAAAGCAAGTCACTCAACTTAGTATGATATGGAATAAGGGTTTAGAATATATAGCCTTCGAACAATAAAAAATAAAAAGTCCTCATATACATATTAGAGTAAGATAGTTAGAGTTTGCTCGCAAAATTCAATTTAATTTATTTGTATTCTTAAGGCATCTCTTTGAAGATTTACTCTTTATTATATTTTAAAAATTAAATCAATGTTTTTGGAAATATTGAAGTTTGTACATAAATATAAATCAAAAAGTGTATAGTTATAAAAAGTAAAATTTTACAAGTTCCTTTGAATCTTTAAGATGCTTAATAATGTGTACACTACTAAATGTGTACAAATACCTACTATTCCTACTAACATAATTTTAGAAAAGTTCGCAAGTTAGTTAGCGGTTATTCATATAAAATACTCTTTAAATTTAAGTTTTACAGTAACTGGATTAAGTTATAAAATTAAATACTAAATAGGATTTTATTTGAATAACTACTTGTTAAACTGTGAATTTAATAGAAGTTTAAGAAAGCAAATAAATATATTAAATGCTACTTATACTTTTTAATGACCTATTCATGGCAGCACAAGCGGATCTTAGAAAAGTCTTAAGTATTTCGTAGGGAAAATGTAAAACGAAAAACGATTAAAGAACTCACGTAAAGAGTCATCAGACAAGACCTCCTAATTGTAATTGCACGAATGCACACTTAACGAAAAGGGTTTTAATGAACTGACGATATGCGACTCAGGGGAGAAAATAAACCGCCCTTAGTCACTCCCCAAACATTTCCGACCTCCATCCAGATGTTTCAACTAAGAAGTTAGAGGCCTTATATTCTGGCCGTATACTATAAAACATAAAGTACAATAAAAAAGCCTTAAAAAATCTCCTTGCCACCAGAACATAAACTCTATTTAATCCTATTTAAGTTTCTTTTTTAATCAAAAACGGGTATATTTAGATATGTCGACCTTATCTAATGCGTGGATAAATTAACATGGATTAAGATTTTTTAGTAGGAAATACAGTTGACGAGACCAGATAAAAAAACAGTATGAAAGATTTTCCATTTTAAAAAGTCAAATAAATGTCCCGAACTTTATGCAAATGTGATAATAGATTATAAAGCTCATTTTTATATGATAACTTTAATATGGTTAATACTTAATAGTCTAAATCTTTTAATAATTTATATTTAAACAGGCTGAAGAGTATGAGATATTTATTTTAAAAATAATTGAGACTAACGTATCCATGTAAATCTAACAACATAAAAACATTCTGTACCTGGGAACAACAACAAAGGTGGTAAGTTTATTTGAAATTGAGTTTTTGAACGTGACGCACGCGCTCCCTGAATATATTAAGATTGCCGACCACTTCATTATTCAGTGCAAAATGTTAAAAGGTACGTTTGAATTTCCTAGGCTTATTAAATAAATTTATTTATATTAATAATGCTAATTATATTTTATGCTTCTTTAGAAACTTTTATTACGTATATTTATTTCTTCAATAATTATAACTTTATTGCCGAGCGAATTTAATTATTTCATTTTATTGTAAGTGATATGGGAGCTAGGTTTTTAATAAAAATTCATTTATAGAACAGTGTTATTTCAAAAAAAAAATCTTATTTGATAAAATAAATATATGATCTACCAGTACAAATATTTCTTTCTTTTAATATTTAGTGCATAGACATAAAAATAAATGGATTGTACAAAATATTCATCGTGCGTTAAAAAATTCAGACTTGTTTAATTGAAGTTTTATTAACTGTGCGTATGTTTTGTTATTGTTTTATTTAATTTGAAATATTAAAAAAATATATATTTAAATTATTTTGTGTAGATAGATATAGAGATATAAAAATTTAAAAAAACATGCACATTAAAAATATCTAATATCTACACATTTATAAAATTGTATTAACAATGTTCTAAAGACTCTAACAAGGTTAATTATTTTTTATTAATATTTCATTATTACGTATGAGCAATGATCATTGTTTACCTATTTTGGTATTATGTGTACTATTATATTTTGTATATCAATTCTAAACACCGGTCTCTTAATAAAAGAAGTTTGATTTTAAGGTCTGTGTTGCGAATTTTCATTTGATGATTTTGGTCTAAGACGCACAACAGCATAGTCCATTAGTCATAACATATTTTCATTAGTGTCATAAAAACGCTAAAACTCTACTGGTTGTTGCCCCTTTCATAATAAACAATATGTGAGTCACCCCGAAATGAGGGAGGTCGCGTGTATGAATGCACTTCTCTCTTTCCGCTGTAACTTGAACCGCCTGTCCCTCTAACACATTTACTAATTGGATTACCAGGGAAGGAACGCTTAGTGGCTGAGAGATCAGAATAAGCTGGTATCAGTAAATAGTCGGGGTTCTGTCCGATTAAAATGTATTTCGCGGCTCACGATGAATTATGTTATGATCGTTTCATTCATAAGCAAATATTTACTTTATTTAACGAATATCACTAATGGTTTTTCTTACCTTGTGGTGATTTTTCGTATAGTTATTAAAATTAATTGAAATTGTTCATTGTTATTAAACAAAACTGCTTTTTCAGCGTTAATATTGTACGATGTCCTGTACATTATCTATCTAACAGGATGTGTTATTGGATTGGACGCAGGTATATTATGTAGTTCCACATAACTAATATATTGTTGCCGAGCAATGAAAATCATATTCTTAAATATTAAATACTTATTATAGAGGTTGTTGTCCTGCGAGCCGTTCGCGGTAGAGATGCGCGGCTTCCTTGCGGCCAAGGAAAGGTGTTCTTAGATGGACCAGACTCATATGTGCTGTGGCTTAAAAATGACAGAGATTTCCTGTACAGATTTCCGAATGAAGAAACAGAACGGCGGTAATAATATAGAAACATGCACAGAAATTTAAAATACAGTATTGTATATTTTTATCAAATAATTAATTCATAATTTGTTTGTAATTTTTTAGAGTCGTCAACAGGGATAGGTTATTTGGAACTTCGTGTGAAGAAGGCACATGTTATGACGATACCTCTCTTGTATTAAAGCGAGTAAGTGAACAAGACGGTGGGATTTATCGGTGTAGAGTACACTACCAAGCGTCTCCATCTCTAGACTACGTGATCGACGTTAGGTTAGTCGGTAAGTAGAAAATAACTGAATACACATTTCATGCTGCATGAGATAATATTTCATTACCCTATTTTATTTATAGATTCTCCAGGCATTCCTAGAATTTTTAATGAAGGAGGTGAAGAAATAAAAAGAGGCTACGTAGGTCCACTCAGTTTGGGTTCGAATATGACTTTGATTTGCGAAGTTGATGATGGTGGGTATGAACTGAATTTTCTTTGATATCTTTTGCTTCTATATCTAATCAATGATGACATTTAGATCAACCCGATACACTTGTGTACTGGCGTCGTAACGGTATACTGATCGAGCGGGCGCACACGGTCCGAACTGGAGTGTTGCGTGCTGCCGTTCGTGTGCGCAACGCAACGCGAGACGAACTCGATGCGCACTATGAATGTTTGGCACAAAACGCTGATGTCACCGAACCTTTGAGTGCCAGCGTCGTGGTTAAAATGTATCGTGAGTAGCTTGACTACAATACCTAAAGCTTTGTTAAAAGATCTTTAGCGTCTTCTAATTTCGTTATAAATGACTAAAATCATTATACTTAACTTTCTCTGACATCCCATCAATACATCCGATAGTAGACATACTTATATATATAACAAAACGATGGATTTCAAAACAGAAGTACTGAAAATTAAAAAGGAGACATAAGTAGGTAAAGATCTCGTAAAGTATAGGTAAATAATAAGGACTAAAATAAAATGGTTTCGCAGTTCCGCCACTTAGCGTTGAAATACGTCTCAACAACAATTTCGACTTCGAAGCCGGTCATCCCAGAGTGGTAGACTGCGTGATTATCGGATGCGTACCACCACCCGCAATTACGTGGCACCTTGGCGAACAATTACTACGGCCTAATGTGCACAAAGTACGTTTTGCTATAAAAAATTGTCTCGTTTTAATGTTTACAAAAAATAAATATATTTTTTCTTATTTAGGAACTTCATGACGGCAACTATACGGTATCTTCCCTGACATTAGCGCCTTCTTTGCGTGACTCCAAACATGATTTAGTTTGTCGAGCTCACAATTCACATTTACCAACCTCTGTGTTCGAAGACAAAGTTACTTTAAACGTTGGGTGTAAGTTATATAAATTGCACTCTTAAGAAAACTGTCATATTGCATTTGGTATTTGGTTTATTACATGTAAATACTATTTTTAATTTTAATTCAATCTTTCTTATATGTAGATCGTCCTCTCTGTCTAAATAATCGAGAAGAGACCGTTGGAGCGCTGGTTCAGGACGCAGAGACAGTTAGCTGTGTAGTGGAAGCATCGCCTGAGCCGCTACAGTTTAGCTGGACCTTTGCTGATTCCCGAGTATTATACACCAGTGTTAAGGTTATTGATCTTATTTATCAACATGCCAACAGTTATTATTATAAAAATTCGATATACTTCTCCAACAACTGGCAAAACCATTATTTACTTCAGATCCATTGCTACAGTTTCATGAGAATGAAATTTAGTATTAATTTGTATATGCTGTTATTTATATAATAAAATATTCCTTTACCTAATATATGTATAAAGTATTAACTTGATAATTAATTTGCAGAAGGTATCAGGGCATCACAATAGGTATTCATCAACACTAACATGGCTCCCAAGAGAAACAGATATAGGCCTTCTTTTATGCCGAGCGACAAATTCATTTGGAGAGCAAAAACGACCATGCTCATACAGCATAGTACCTGGTGGTCCACCGCACGCCCCTGAATGTGTCGTATTGAGATCTTACCCCCATTCTGTACGAGTACAATGTCAGAAAGGTAATTTTAGTTATTGTAAAGAGACCTACTCCTTAAATCTTTTGAAATATTTATTTTAATAAATAATTAGTAAGGCAGTGACATGTTGATTATTTTTTTAAAGTAGAAGACAATATAATATGCAAATATTTTTAATATATTTACACAAAAATATTGACAGGTTGGGATGGCGGCAGACAACAAACCATTCATTTGGAGCTCCTCGGTATGGACGGTACGGTCTTCCACAACCTATCTAATGCAGCTGGGCATTTCCTTTTACCAGACATTGAAGATGACAGAAACTTGACAGCACTTGTGTATGCCAGTAGTCCAAGAGGAAGGAGTAAAACAAGAACTGTGCATTTACAAACAATAACTCCTCTAAGTCCCTCAGGTCCGTATAACGAACGAAACTGTTAAAAAATATGGAAAATTTTTAAAGTTATTATCGTCGTAGGCTACTTGTGTTTAAAATAACAAAGACAATATATAATAATTGTAGCTGTGGCAGAAACAGTTCCTCTTTATTCCTGGACGCGATGGATGGAAGTGACCGCAGGGGCGATAGCCGTCACCGCAGCCATTGCAGCATCAATTATCTGTATTAAACTAATGAAGACCAAACGAGAGAACATGGAAATGAATCCAGATTTAGTTTCCAGGACCGATGGTAATGTATTTATTTTTCTGTAGGTAGTACTACTACTACTCTCGTCAACTGTCGGTTATTATTTTGACACAATATTGTTTTATGTGATCGTTAGAGCATAGAATAAGTCTGGACTGTTTAAACGTTAAAGGAAAGTACGCCATATTAATAAATTTAACAAGAACACGCAAATAAAATAAGATATCCTTTAATAAGTATGCCGGATGCAAAGAAATAGTTAAAAGAAATGGATGCAAGTAAATGACTAACACCAATAGCTTTTCTTCAGTTTTAATACACTTGAGACATATTTCAATGTTTTAAACGTATAATTATTTACATTGTTTCGCTTCACAAAGGTTCATTCCATCGAGAGCCAGACTTTGCACGTGAAGAGCGGGTGCTGGGAACAACTAATATAACCGTTAACCAGTTAGCTTCTTGTCAGAACGTAAGTAAATGGCGTTTATACGTCACAATGTAAACATTTTGTCAAAGTATACAATATGATCGTTAATATAAACTATAAACGTCAAGTGTTTTGTTATACTCAAATCTTTAAAATGGGCGTGTCTTATTTACTTTGTCATTAACAGACTTAGTTACATATAAGGAAACATGAAAGTTTTGCATTTGCTAGCTATGTGATGATGTCTAAATAAAAGAGTACATTTAAAATATGTTAATTTTTATTATAAGCAAACTGTCTTACCATTAAATATTTGACGTGTAACGTTTTGTAAACCACTAAAAATAAATATTCTATACCAAATGAATGTGTTAATAATTTTGTGCTTATGAATTTTCCAGCAATATTCTGCTTCACCAGTGCCTGCTTGTCGCGTGCTGGTTGGATGCGCTGCTCAAGACTCATGTCCAGCATCACAGCATTCTTACTATGTCTAAAACTATAAGTACCACTATTCATAAATAATGTCTTTAGAGCACAAATCAATAAATTATCAATTAATTATCGTCGCTTAACAATAAATTGTGACTGCTAATTTTGTGTACTAGAAGCAAAGTATTTATTAATCAACACTCTAGTCAAACTAGTCATTTATTATTTTAGTTAGATAGAGTAAGGGCTAAAGTTTAGCTATTATCTCCGTACTCCAAAAAAAGCTTCGACATTTGTCTATAAATATTTTTTTTGTAACATAAAAAAATTAAAAGAATCTTACTACCAAAATAAATTTGGTATATTTTATATTGTTCTTAAAAAAACATGTGTAATCCTGCGGAAGAATAATTAAGAGCCTTATGGTACTCATCCTTGCATTTATTAAAGTGTAACGAAAATATATACATACACGCTAGTATAGGGATATAATTAATTCAATACAACACATAAAATGTTTGGCTTTCTTTATAGTTAATATCTTGAACAGTCAAGATCAATGATGTACATACATTAAATTGTTCGCATTCAGTTGTTTTTAGATATATTTAAGTACCTAATATATGTTAGATTTAGCTAATAAAATTACTAAAGCCGTATACATCTAATGCATGTTTTAATGGTTTACCTTTACTTGGTATAATATAATATGTATAATGAAATTAATTCACCAAATAGATGACATATGAATCTTCTATATATATAAAAATGGATTGCTGTTCCTTAGTCTCGCTAAAACTCGAGAACAGCTGAACGGATTTATCTTATCTTAGTCTTGAAATGTTTGTGGAGGTTCAGGGAAGGTATAAAAGGTGAGAAATATTGGAATAATTGCCGGAAAAACCCTAAAAACAGCCCTTTTCTATTTCCCATACAAACGCTTTTTTGACATTACATTTGACAACTGACTAATATGTCAATCATTCTGTTTGATTGAAACAGGAAAAACCTGATTATTTATGGCCTCTAAGACGGAATAGAGTTCGCCCGGTCAGCTATACATATATTACTAATGACGAAATTAACGCGGACGAAGTCGCGGGCAAAAACTAGTCACTTTATATAAATAATCTTCTATATATATAAAAATGGATTGCTGTTCCTTAGTCTCGCTAAAACTCGAGAATGGCTGAACGGATTTATCTTATCTTAGTCTTGAAATGTTCGTGGAGGGTCAGGGAAGGTATAAAAGGTGAGAAAAATTGGAATAATTGCCGGGAAAACCCTAAAAACAGCCCTTTTCTATTTCCCATACAAACGCTTTTTTTGACATTAGATTTGACAACTAACTAATATGTCAATCAATCATTCTGTTTGATTGAAACAGGAAAAACCTGATTATTTATGTCCTCTAAGACGGAATAGAGTTCGCCCGGTCAGCTATACATGTATTACTAATGACGAAACTAACGCGGACGAAGTCGCGGGCAAAAACTAGTATTCTATAAAATCACACATCATGGAGTAAATTTCTTATTATAATTGTATGAGCAGAATTATGTTTTTTTAAAGCTTGGTTGTAACTTGTACGAGATTGATTTATATCAAAACAGATTAATACAAGGTTCTTATTTAGAACTCTTACCATAAGTTTGCATCATCACACAACAAACTGAAAGTTTCTAGTTTTTCATTCATAATTCTTCACAGGTGATAGTATCAATGCTGAGATATCAATGAAATACTGAAAACGCTCAGTTCATAGTCGGACAATGCGAACTTGTCTTAAGGATACTGGTTTAAAACAGCGTCAGCAATTAACCGTTATTACGGATGTCATTTGATCGATACATCAAATTGTATTTACGAAGCTTTTGTGGATATTTTTATATGTACGCCCGCAGATCTTCTATAAGACGGATTACTTATTCTTAAGTTATACCAACAAAGAGTCATATTGCCCAACTATTACGAATGTTTTTCCAACGTATAACGTTCGCTCGCCACTCACAAAGATGTAGCGATATCAGTGGAATTTAATTTTTAAAGTTTTACTTAACAGATGTTGATTAACGTATTGATATTACTAAGACTACTTACTAAGAAATGTTTCGTTGATGATAGTACTGGAAAATGTCGAACCGTATGAGATATTATACAACAATTTCAAACGTAACATCACAATCGAAATATATGAATAGATCTCTAATTGATTATATAATCCGATCTTCAAATGTTTTACATAATAACTAATTAGGTATATTAAACTTGATTAATTCCAAAAACTCCTATCAGTATTTAATATTTATTACTTCGTCGAAAGTGTTTCTATTGAAGACGATATTAAAACAAAAATATCAATTTTGTCAATTATTTCTTATTAAATTCCATTGTTATATAACACGTTTAAAACCAGTAGGTGAAAGGGGTTGACGTCTATACCGAGTCTGCAAGTCTTTTGTAACGTAATACGTAACAGACAATTAATATATTTATTAACTAAGGACTTAAATTGGGTTTAAAACACAAAACTAGAATGATAAAATATAAAATAGATTTGTTTCACTGTTCGTTTATATTTCAATTACAATTTGACTTACTTTTATTTATTCGCTTACAATCGATTTGAAAAGAGTATTTAGAATATTCAGATCGTAATTATTTCATTTAGCTTTGGAATATATTCCGCGTTCGCTCGTAACTTGCTGCGTTCGTTGCGAGAGGGGAGACCTCTTTCGAGAAGTACAGCGGGAAACCAGTTACCTCCCGACGGCGTGGCGTGCGCGTGAGTGATATACATAGTGCTGTGTTGTGTTAAACAATGTATATTATTTATTAAGGTGAGTAAGCGACCAGAATCTTTTAGTAGAAATGACACATTCTACATAAACTCTCTATTAAATCTGAACTTAAATTTTATAAGCTTGCAAAACTGCGCCGTCCCTTAAGCTTTGTTCGATTTCTAATTCCTAATTTAAGAATCTGGTGTAAACCAGCACGTTAGAAAGTATGAACTTACACTTCAATATTTAATACAAATAAATCTGCAACAGTTTAACATTGTTTTGGTTTTTATTTAACTTATTAATGTTGCGTTTTAATATTAGCACAATTACTTTTACGTAATGAAAAATTTGCGTTGATGTTAAGATTTACTTTTATAATAAAAATGTAGCAAAAGGAATTATAAAAGTTAGAAACAGGTTATGTGTTTCTATTTCACTCTTTTATTAACAAATTTTTTGGTGAGAAACATGAAGGTGAAGGTCAAAGACATTCGCAGACGGGTAATAAAACTATAAACACTATTGAAAAACTATACAAAATGTTAAGGTGACGATTTACAAAAGACTCTGATGAAGCGGTGTGAAGATAAAGAACGGAATTTTCTCTTTTAGCGTCGTTTTTGGAGCATGACCCATTACTGTTGATGGTTCAGACCGTGATCGTTTTAAACACAACAGTGTAAGATGTTTATAAAAACATCTATTATGTTTATACATTAAAATAACAAAAAAAAATTCGAACATACATCATAATCGGAAACTAAAGCACATTTAATTTCACAGAAACATACTTAGCAGCTTACGTGTGGTTTGATACAAAAACAAAATTTTAAATTATTATCCAATTACCTTTTATACAAAATACTAATGATATAAAACAGGTATAATTGTTTGAAAGGTTTTTGTTGATTTACAGATATGTCTTTCTTGAGGCTTTATCCAAAAAATCTTAGACATCTTTTTGTAGAGTAGTTTAAAAGAGACAATAAAGTGTTTCCATTCACTCGCGTAATGTTTTACGAGTGTATAACAATTATCCTGATAAACATAGTAATAATAATATTATAAAGCCAACTGGTCTCTTAGTTTACCTGTTTGGTTGGTTCAACTAATCTCAGGAATTACTTGCCTGATTTATTTGACAAATTGCTTCAGTGTTTGGAGGTAGAGTAATCAAGGGACGACAAATCACAGCGAATCAGACTAAATGAAATTAAATTGTTTTAAAATGATGCTTTGTTAAATATTCCAGCTTATATGGATAGTAAAAAACAATTCATAGATACTTACATATTATAAGACCAAGTACCTACTCCCAAACGTTACTAAGTTCGAGTCTGAATGTATAACATATCTTTAATGTATGTAGAATTAACAAATATTTTCAACTTATAAAATAATAATAACTATAAAATATAATACTGGAACCAATGACAACCTATTAAAATACATGTTTTCAATGTGAAGATAGTGAAACTTTAATATGAATAATGTTTAGGTACAACTACTGTTTTATAGAAAGTATTAATACCACAAACAAAGATTTTGGGAACCGACCATTCTCTACAATATAATGCAATAAAAATAACCGTTTTAGGTATAAAAGTTAAGAATATGGAGAAGTTCCTAATACACGCCATTTCCATAAATCATCATTTCATCATAAAAATCAATAATAAACCAAATTAGACATACAGAAAGTATTAATAATTAAAAATAATAACGAAATATGTGACATAAAATGGTCATAACGCATTTTATAAATATTCATATGCGTTCACATATAGATAGTAGGGTATACTATATAAAATATTACTTAAATTCACTTATATCAATAAGTACAACTACAATTAAGTACATGTAAATTTAATGAAATTTTTCAGATTTAATGACGCGTTGAAGTCTTTTTAAGCCCATAACACATTAATTTGACTCACATTAGGTAAATTCATAAATAATAATCAATCTAAAAGCGAGATGATTGGCATTCCAATTTCCCCTGAGCTCGGAAAAAATAGGATCAATTGTTTCATTTGACAATAGAAAGAAACTACTGTCTGTGCTTAGAATAGTGATTTGAATATGTCAATTATTGACAACAAAGTTTTAAGCCTTCAATGAGAACATGCACGTCATTATACCTAATATATATTATCAAAATAACAACCAAAAAGTTGTATGTACGTTCCTTTGTATTTAATAAGGAAGATTGAAGAATAGATCCATAAAGTTATTTTTCTAATAAAGATGACGGATTACGAGCGCATCAAGGCTAGCTGCCTCCAGCGCGGCCAGCTATGGGAGGACCCTGACTTCCCCGCCATCCAGCCATCCGTGTTCTACCATCAGGTGCCACCATTCAAGTTTGAGTGGAAGCGCGCCAAAGTAAGTAGATCTATTCCACTACTTTTTAAAAACCCATAATATATAAATCTTATACATTCTCTGATGCAAGACAATATGATTCATAAATAATCGTAGAAACTGCATTAATACATCACATTGTAAACATTTATCGAATTTCGTGATAAGATTCAAAAGCAAAAAACTTTAGTAAAAGTTCTTATATGGTAGCTTTTGATAAATGCCAAATGTGTATGAATGATTAAATAACTAGGCCACTAAATTACTTTCACCTTCCTTCCTTTTCACAAATATTCGTAATATAGGTATATCATTAATTTGGAATGCGATGTGAAATCAACAAAATTTAAACAAGAATATCGACAAAAATATTCAAAATAAATTATTTAATATCAGTAAAGCTTTGTTTTATAATTTAAGAAAGCTTTGATGTTGTTTAAATAATTAATTATATAATTTTAAATACTTAGATTATAGAGTTGTTAACCTGAGCTGTTACAAACAGATTAAGTAGGGATTGGTTGGAACAGCTGCCAACGATTTATAAAATATCTGTGATTAGTAATTCCAGTCGCATTTAGTGAAGGAAAGAGTACTGCGATCTGGTACTACCGTTACTCGTGTCGTGCAAAGCGTTTAAAGTTCAATTCTTAAACTAAAACATTATAAAATATTAACAACGCGTTTTACATTAATGTGTCGTTATGAACGGGACTTGTTCTAGCTTTTTAGAAATATTTGTATAAATAAATATAGATATTACGGACATTGAAAAACATGTCAACTAAATAGTTGTATGACTTCATCGCCAACATTCTACAAAATTTGACAATAAATAAAAATAAAAGGACCGTTGCCTAATACGTTTTAGCTTTTTATGAAAGTAATCAAGGTTATTGTCAGTGACCTTCACAAATTGTCGCGAGACGCACGCGAATAAAGCAGTCATAAAAAATATTTTTTTACTTCAATTGTAATATTGAAAATTGGATTTAGTGTGATATATTTGTATGAGTCGATGGTATATTTTTCTTTGCGATCCTTTTTCATTTAATAAAAATTCAATTTATAGTTTCACAATAAACAATTTTTTTTTTCAAGTAAACACGCAACGGCAATTTCTACCAACCTACTTGTTTATACAGCGATGGCATAGTGAACATAGACTTTTATAATATCTCACCGACATAACGGCGGATACAGAATACCTACATAGCTAATTTTATTCTAGTTGACAGTTGTCACATCAACAATCGTCTTTGGTCATAATATCGTTACTTGTTAAACAAGGCCGTCAAGCACCTACACATATGAGCAACAACACTATGCAACCGCTTACAAGCTGTTAATAAAAAATATAACGCAACTAAACGTAGGAAGATAACGATCAATTGAATTAAATTGAATTTTCAAAAATCCCCAATTTTTATTGATGAATAAAACTTTGAACTTCAAAGTTTTATTCATTTAAACTTCAAAAACTTGACAACATTTGCAATGGTACAGTTAGGAATTTGATCCGACAAAAGGATCTTGCTCAACGTGTTTCATAATTATTTGCAGGAACTATACCAGAATCCAAAGTTCATATTGGACAACAGTGACAGCTTCGACATAGTTACGGGCAGACTTGGTAAGTAACTATCTCGATCGTAGCACACTATTCGAAGCGTTGACAGTTTTCCAGTAATAAATTTTCAAACTAAGTATATAGTTTTAACGAAGTTTATTTAATGTGAAACGTGAATGTGTTTGTATGTAGTATAACGATAAAATCGTGTACAATTTTTTTCAGTGAACGCAAACTATAGTTTTTGAACTCAATCATTCGCTTTGCACATATGTTTGTAAATTCAAGTTATGGATGAATGAACTTGAAAACTATGAAAATAACAAAACAAATAGAAAGAGCAATTATTTCAACAGATTTTATAAATGTAATTTGTTCATAAAATAAGCCGGTTATTTCAATTAATGATATTTGCCACTCGACATAATTTCCTTGTTCAAAGTAGGTACTGTTCTATTTTATTGTTTAATATTATATTTGTATGCATAAATTCATAATAATAATTATTATGCATTATTACTTACCGGTAATATAATATTACTGAAGTAATATCATGTATTTTAATTCCGTGCTGTGCGAATTTAATAATAAAAACTGCAGTTCTTTTTAAATTACATATTTATATTGCTATATGTCTTTTATAACATGTGTTTTTTAATTAATGTTAAAAAAAAAGGTTTTTCAATACAGCGAATTATATTGTACGATCTAAATTCAATTAGCGAATATTGTAAAGCAAACTATATTTATTGCATGTTAATTATTTAAGTACGTAGACCGTGAGAAGAAACGCTTAACGGAACAGAATCGGTATTGTACAACACATAAACTTGTATTTCAAATCGCAATGTTTTTGTTTTGTATTAACTGTTATATATTTCATCATAAAATTCATCAAACAGTTATAAGTAATTGTGATAAATCAAATAATATGGTGTTACTGTTGTCTCGAGTTACGGTATATTATACGGCCATAAATACTTGATAATGTCGTCATTATAATTTATAACCAATATATTTAATAAAGTTTGTTAACAATATTGAAATTAAATTGTTTTGGATGACGACATATAACACGAAAAATAAGTAATAATATTTTATAACATTGAATTGAGAAAAAAAATATCTAATAAATTAAGGCGAATAAGGCAATGCAATGCAAGGTTTACCGTGTTTCATTGAAAAGCAAAGCCAATATATGTACTATTAAATGGTATAGATTTTATGCCCGTTTCCCTTGTAGATATTCTATGCTTTATATTCTTTAAGTACTAAAGTTTGCAAGACTTTGCGAAGGGATTATTTGACGAACCTACTTATAATATATACTGTGCAGTGTGCAGTATCAGAAAGCAAAATATGATTATTTAAAAACAATAACTTATATTCCAGGAGATAAATGGCTTCTATCGTGTATAGGAGTGCTATACCTGTGTAAAGGGCTCTTCTACAGAGTGGTTCCAGCCGATCAACAAATTGATTCTAACTACGCAGGTGTTTTCAGGTATGTGGATGTTTCTGAATGATACCTATTACCTAATAGTTATTCAATTTTAATTGAGTTTTTAAAAGGTAAACATAATTATAAACTTATTCACTAACATACTCATGACATTCTTAAGGTTTCGTCTTTGGTGGTGTGGACAATGGGTTGAAGTTCTTGTTGACGATAGATTACCTACGGTTAACGGAAAATTAGCTTTCATGCATTGCAGTCACTCTGAGCAATTGTGGCCGGCACTACTTGAAAAGGCGTATGCAAAGTAAGTTAACTTTTTGTCAGACTAAAAACTTTTGTCATAGTGTCAAAGAATGAACAAGTGAGATCTGATACTTACGCGAGTATTCATTTAAATGAAACTAAAATTTTCGGAGTAGGTACGCGTTATTTTATTATTTTTAAAACTATATACCCCGATGTTTCGGTTACTTCGCAGCAACGGTATTCACGGGCAGACGAGATGTGTCTGTGACAAATAATAAAATAACACGTAGTGATCCGAAAATATTAGTTTCATTTAAAGGATGAACAAATTGTGAAACTATCTAACGTCTATTTTTAGGACATTCCGTAATAAGTTGTAACTAAAACTTTGGTATTTTATTAATAAAATATTCTACAGAATGCATGGGTCGTACGAAGCTCTAAAATACGGTAACTTACTAGATGGACTGGCAGATCTTACTGGAGGAATCACAGAGTCCTTGAATATTTCCGATCTAGCCGATGCCACAGCTCTACACAACTTAATGAAGACTACGAGTGTTGTTACAGCTTACCGTTTACCTAATGTAAATAAAATAATAATTTTAAAACTAAAGTGAAAATTAATATATAAGACAAACCAAAAGACCATGTACAATTTCAATGTATTGTTTTACTATTTTCAGGCAGCCACACATTCTGTTAAAAGCATTGAATCTGGAATGAATTACAGACTTTACAACGTAGAAAGGGTAATCACAAATTCAGGGTAAAAATGATTGAGTTAATCATGAAAACATAATTTTTATGTATTTTGTAGGTAGACACTTCAGATGGTCCTGTATACTTAGTGCGATTAGGACGACCATTAACACCTGGAGACACGCACATTACCCATTTTGTTTTAGACCAAGCCACGTGTGTATATTTTATTTGCATGAATCTTATTTAAATAGACGCAGAATCATGACACGGTGATTCACTTTTAGATGGACCCATTCTATTCCTCTACACGAACGTCAACGGTTGACATCTATAACAAAAGGTTTCTGGATGCTTTACAATGACTTTACTTCAATGTTTTCACGTGTAGAAATTGTACATCTTGATCTAGAGACGAGTAAAGCGGAAGCATCTCTCTCAGATAAAAACAAATGGCTAGTTAAAAGTCATCAAGGAAGGTGGAGGAAAGGCGTCACTGCTGGTGGTTGTAGAAATCACGTTAGTAAGTAATCTTATTAAATTAGTGATACAATTACGAAACAACACTTCAATTATTATGTTGTATTTCACCTTGGTTTCAGATCTGTTTCATATGAACCCACAAATACAAATTGTATTAAATGATCCTGACACGGTTATTATATCACTCAACCAGCATAGTATTATGGAACCTAAAGTTATAGGATTCAGCATTTACAAAATACCTAAGAGCTTAACAGAAACAGCATCATCACTTTTTTTTAAGAAAACTAAAAGTTCTATTAATTCCCAATACACGAACAGTAGGCAAGTTAGTGAACGGTGTGTATCGAATTTTAAAACCTAGCCACAATTTGGCGAACAGTGATCATACAATTATATTTGATAAACTCACCCGCCATCATAAAACTTACATTTATCCATGGTTTTGCAGATGTCACTTAGAACCAGGCGCATACTTAGTAATACCCACTACTTTCGAACCCAGACAGGAAGCAAATTTTTCATTAAGAGTATATTCTGTAAAACAACTAAAACTGAAAGTATTAGATTGTGCCCCGCAGATGTTAAAAGCAGCCATTTTAAAAGCACCTCCTGGATTCGAATCTAGTAGTTTCACACAATATGAGTCACAGTTTCTTCAGCTGGCTGATGAACACAAAACTATAAATGCTTTTGAACTTCAAGAATTATTAGAAAAATGCTTACCAAATGATTACATAAAGAGCTGTGCAACAATCGAAACATGTAGACAAATCGTCTTATCATTAGAAGTATCCTTTTAAACCAAAGTAGACTTAATGACTACCTAATTGTATTTTAATATCTTTTTTTTTTTCCACAAAATTATTGCTCTCGTCGATTTTATACACACTACTTAATATATTAAATATTTTATTTATTTGTTATTTCCTAAACATGCGATTCAGAAAGATGGCTCTGGTCGTATAACATTATCTGATTTCAAAGATCTCATATGCAGCCTGAAGCACTGGCAGATTGTATTCCGAGCTCACGCGCCAGAGAAAATGAGCGTTCTCAAGATTGAAAGGTTTCGAGATGCACTTCGTGATGTCGGCTTTGTAATACCAGAACGAGCATTGTCATTACTTGTATTAAAATACATGAGAAAAGATGGCATGCTGAGGTTTGGAGACTTTGTATCTGCAGTAGTTCTTCTCCATAGAGCGTTTCGTAAGTTCATAAGTATTATTTCTGTCAATCATAGGAAGTGAAATTCATAATTCTCATGTTTTAGCATTGTCTATATAAAAGCCGAATGAGTTTTAATTAATGAAGCAAACAAACAAGTAGACAGAAAAGAAACACCATAGGTACAATTTCGATTTACTGATGCATTAAGCCACACAAGTCAGAAAAGAAAACCATAGCAGATATTCAATTAGTTGTTCCTAACCCAGAATATATATTTACTCGATTCCTTTAGGTACATGCGTCTAATATTACAAGTATTTATTTGATTAATTGACTTCATATAACATTTGATCCCAAACTATTGGTATTAAATTGCATAAAGATAATAATGATAGGACAAAAAACTAGTTTGCTTCATACAACATGACTATAATATTTCAGATATGTTCTTCAGTAACTGCTCCACGAGTACATACAAAGTAAATTTATCTTTCGCCGAGGTGGGTAAAACACAAAACTAGCGCTTTAAGATACCCTTTCTTCACCTGTACCTTGGACTTACTTATCTTAGACACCAGATTCTTTTACATTGTTTTCACTGTTCACATTTAAGTAAAATATAAGTAATTGTTAGAGTTTAAATTAACATTTTTGTTTCAGTGGCTGAAGTCGGCTTTGACATGTTGATATTGGGCTGAAAATACATGTAAATAAGAAATTGAAAATAGATCATGGACAAAATAAGTGTTGTAACAAGTTATTATAAAAAAACCATATATGTATTTTATACTTATACTTTCATTTACCTACTCCTAATTATTATAAGTCATTTTCTTTTTATATCTAACAGAATGGCTTATTGTAAATAAAGATACCTATATAATATTTCTTTACACTAAGTAATGATATTTAATTTTAATCAGATATAAATACTAAAAACTTCAGGAATAGTGTAGATTCATTTAATATTCATAACCCACAAGTATTTATCAATACTTAAGTAATTAATAAATTAGGGGACACGACGTAAAATATGTTGACGAATAGTTTTTATTTATAATTTAATCGTAATGACATTAAATTTTATATTTTACGTTCACATTTTCATCTCAGTTCCAAACGTTTAAATTTATTATAAGCTCAAAATATGCATGTATAATATATTTTCAAAGATAACCTATAAACGTGTAACCACTTAAACCACAGGATTTCTTATTTTTGATATACTTACTTTTTATGAAAAGAGTTATTAAAATTTTAACATTATTTTTAAGCCAAGAATATTGTAAGAAATATGATTGTTTTAACTTGTAACGATCTCGATTTAATGAATAATATACCTACTAAATTATGTATTTTATTTTGTTTAATATGTATTGATTAAGATACAAGTTAATTTATAAGTTTCTTTTTTGATTGTATTAAATAATTATAATTTGTTCCACCGAAAAACAATATTATGAAATCTTAATGATTGTTGAAATAAGTTCATTAAAATTAAATACATTTATTCAAATGCTCTGTAAACAATTCATTAAAAAAAATTTAAAACCTACTCCTGAAATTTATATTCCATTTAGAACCACAATGATGGCATTCAATGTAATAATTATATTCAATAAATATTGATGTTTAATCTTTCTCCTGTGATTCCCAAAAAGACTAACATAATAATTGACGACATAAGATGTTAAAACTTCTACCCAAAATAAACACATGTACCTTACGAGCATGTTACAAAAATTTTAAAAGATTATAAATCATTTTCCAGTTGAATCCAATCTTACATCTGGCTGAACTGTAGCCCTCTCTCTATCTTTTACAGCAGTTCAAATAAATCTTTCTCAGTAACTCATTTTCTCTTAATTTACAGATTAACAAGTGTTAGTCATAAATAGCAATGAAAGGAACATTTAGAAAAAGGAAATCATGAGATATATTCAATTCATTTATTTGCTATTCTTATAACTACTTTGACTAGACCTATCTTCAACTACTTGATTCAACAAAACATTATCTTTATTTCAGTATTCTAAGGGAAGTAATAAGTATCTTTAAGATAATCACAATCTACTGTAAAAAGAATGAATCTGAAGTATAATAATAATAATGCAAGAAACAAAAAATTTAAAGTAGTTAAAAAGCTCCTTACTCTTAAAACTAATATGAAATCATACATATTAAATATTTAAGCTTAAGATATATAAATCTGTTGTAAAAAAGGGCATTTAATAATTTTATAAACCTGGAAAGTTTTATAAAATTATTAAATGAAAATTTATAAGTCAGTGATATCTTGCACATAATACACATTTTCAATACAGTACAAATAAGACAAATAAAATTATAATACAGTGGATTTCATTAATAACGACCTCGGTTGTAACGACCTTTCGGTTATAGCGACGTCGAACTTACGTCCCTAGAATTTGAAGCATACTTTCGTATAAATCCATTCGGCAATAGCGACTCCGGATATAACGCCTAATTCGGGTATAACGACTTGTTTTTATGAACTATTTGGGACAGATTCCTAGAAATTCATTGCGGATATTGAGACGGAGTCGGCAAAGGCGCAAAGACTCATTCATCAACTTTAACTATTAAGCTTGTATTATGTAGGAATGTAAACAAAGGATAAGAATCTTTTGTTTACAATGGCAGATGGTCAAGTGATTTGTTTCTGTGTAGGATTACTTAGCACGTGCATGAAGTTAAAATTATGAATCAGTTACGTATCAATTTCCAGTGAGTAAACATCGTTTCTTAAACTTGTGAACATGGCTCCTAGACGTACATTTACTGTTAAAGAAAAAGTGGATATCATTTCGAGACTGGTCACCTGCGTATTTTTGGTAGTACAATTATGGTACATGTGCCAAAACAAAAGAGATTGAAATGGGACAGAAAGGCTGAAAAATGTATCCTTGTCGGCTATTCCAATGATGTCAAAGGGTACAGAATTTACAACCCGAACTCCAATGTCATCACTACCAGTAGAGATGTTATAGTATTGGAAAAGATAGAGAAAGAGAATAATGTTCTTGAGGTACAGGAAAATTATTCAGATGATGTGAATATAGTTCCAGTAGGGGAAGATTTGACACTTCAGGAAGATTCACATGAACAATCAGAGAGCTTGAACATGGATGACAGTGGTGAATTGTATGTACCTTGCGAAGATGAAACAGACATGACATGACAGTGAAGACTCCATAATACTCAACAATGTCAACACAATAAGTGGTCCTCGGCGTAGACAGCAGCCAGACAGATTTGGATTTGCAAGTGGTTGCACAGAAGATGACCAAATGTTCACAGGCGAGATATCGTTGCAAGAAGCCTTGGAAGGACCTGAGAAAGCACAGTGGCTAGCGGCAGTGCAGGATGAGCTACAGTCGTTCGAGAAAAATAGTGCGTGGGAACTCGTTGATGTTCCAAAAGATGGTACTATAGTGCAGTGCTAGTGGGTGTTGCGAAAAAAGTATGATAGTGGAAACAATGTGCGTTACCGTGCTCGTCTAGTTGCAAAGGGCTTCACCCAAAAACATGGTGTGGACTATACTGAAACATTTTCGCCTGTAGTGAGACATACAACTCTTAGACTATTATTTGCATTGTCTGTAAAGCTAGGTCTAGATGTCACCCATTTAGATGTTAAGACTGCATTCTTAAATGGTGATTTAGAGGAAACCATTTATATGAAAATGCCAGATTGTTATAATAGTAGTAGTTCAGTTAGTAAAGTATTAAAACTTAAAAAGGCCATTTATGGACTTAAACAGGCCTCTAGAGCCTGGAATAAAAAGGTAGATAATTGTTTGATCAGTAATGGTTACAAAAGGTCAAAAATAGAGCCATGTATGTATATAAAAGGATAATGACAAATGTAAGACCATTGTAACAGTCTATGTCGATGATTTCTTTATATTTTCTAATGATAAAACTGAAACTAAGAGCTTGAAACAGATTTTATCTAATAAGTTTAGCATTAAAGACTTAGGTGAAGTTAAACTATGTCTTGGAATGAATGTAACCTTCAACAAAGATAAAGGATATGTAACTTTGAGCCAGGAAACTTATATTGATCAATTATTAAGTAAATTTAATTTAAGTGATTGTAAGGTTGTTGATACACCTATGGAGGTCAAATTAAATGTATGCAAAGGTGAAATAGGTGTAAATAATTGTGTGCCTTATCAACAACTTATTGGAAGTTTGATGTACCTGTCAGTGTTAACTAGACCAGATATTAGTTATTCTATAAGTTTTTTGAGTCAATTTAATAACTGCCACACTAAACAGCATTGGGAATATGCAAAGAGAGTATTAAGGTATCTTAAGAGAACTAAATCTTATGGTATAAAATATTGTGAAGATGGTAACTCAGAAATAAGAGGCTATGTAGATGCTGATTGGGCTTCTAACTCTGAAGATAGGAGATCATATACTGGGATGTGTTTTTTGTTATCTGATGGTGTAATATCATGGGAATGCAGGAAACAGAAATGTGTAGCTCTCTCCAGTACAGAATCAGAGTATATTGGTCTGTCTGAGGCATGTAGAGAAGCATTATATCTTAAGGAATTGCAATATGAAATAACCAATAAGATGTATACAATTAGCATATTCAATGATAACCAAGGTGCACAGAAGCTGTGTGCAAACCCAGTCTTTCACAAACGTACTGAGCATATTGACATCAAATATCATTTTTGTCGTGATTTAGTAAATATTAGTTAAAGTGCTGTATGTGCCAACAGCTGATATGCCAGCTGATATTTTAACGAAGAGTTTATGTTCAGCTAAGCATTATAAATGTATGTTGCTTCTTGGCGTAGTTTGTTTAGATTAAAATTATATTTATCTGTAATAGTGGATATTGCGATAAGTAGGGGTGTTATTTTATATCTATTTTGTATCGACAATATCACTCATATATATATACCAGTAGCGCCATCTATTTTCTTTGTATGTAATCTGTGTGTCGAATGTCAGATATGAAATAAAGTTCAGTTCGTATCCATGATTCAAGCGTTGTTTTATTAGAAAAATGGTGAAAACAATGTTGATCTGTGTAAAGAATTTGGGGTTTCTCATTCTACAATATCAACGATGTGGAAAAACCGCGCTAAAATTATGCACTGTTTTCAATCAAAATCCCTGAAAATAAAGAAAAATCGTAATCCAACTCATCAAGATATTGAAAATGTACTTCTACTGTGGTTTAAAGCACAGAGAAGCCAAAATGTACCTATAAGCGGTCCTCTTTTGCAAGAGAAAGTTAATCATTTTGCCAGACAGCTTGGGAAAACAGACTTTAAATGTTCAGAAAGCTGGATTTAGGGGAACACGGGGTAATGAGAGCGGTCGGGCAATGAGAGCTACGGTGATTGAACGGAATGTAGGCACGTTTGCGCGATCGTAAGCACTCGGCTGCCTTCGTCAACACTCGGTAAACTTCACTTGACGCGCTCGAACCGTTAGTGCCATTCGTTTAGTCACGAGAGACGGTTGAGTGTTCTTCGCTTCACGCTTACAAAAAATTGCCGATTGCCAGCATCAAGGTAAGCATGAAATTATATTCTTATTTTATTGTATTTATGCTTATTATATCCCTAGATTCATTTACTATTAAGTCTAATTAGTTGGATTGCGATTGAGAATAGAATTACATATATATATTATTACTTTTCAAAATGGTGGTCGGCGGCTAATGGTAGCCTAGCTAGGCTCTCATTACCCGACATAGCTACCATTACCCCGTAGTAGTTATTAATGAAATGCCTTGGTTTTTTTTTGTTTTAGATGCCACGTAAAAGGACTCGTACAACCACAAAAGCTTCTTGGACAGTGGATTCATTAGAAAATGCAGTATCTGTCCTCAAAAGAGGAGGCATTTCGGTGTACAAAGTATCTCAACAAACAGGTATTCCTTACAGCACTCTAAAGAAGAGGTACAATTTAGCGAAAGCTGGCGGTAGTAGCTACAAACACTCTCCTAAGCTGGGAAGATCCACTGTATTTAACGTTGCCCAAGAAGAAATACTGGCTAACCATCTTCGGACTATGTCTAATAAATTTTATGGTTTAACAAGAGAACAGTTTCGCAAAGTATGTTACAGTGTAGCTAAACAACTAGGTATTGAGAAACGATTTAACCAAGACAATCAAACTGCAGGAAAAGATTGGCTGGCTGGATTTTTGCAGCGTCATCCAGACTTAAGTATTAGAAAGCCTGAAGCCATCAGTATTAACCGAATTCTCGGATTTAACAAGACTGAGATAACGCTTTTTTTCAATAACTTGGAAAAATTGATGGAGCAACATAGATTTGAACCTCAAATGATTTACAATGTAGACGAGACTGGTATAACGACTGTCCAAGAGACTGAAAAAATTATAGCTCCCAAAGGACAAAAACGTGTCGGGTCTGTAACGTCATGGGAAAGAGGTAAGACAGTCACAGTAATATGTGCTATGAGTGCAGCTGGATCTTTCGTTCCTCCGCTTTTCATATTTCCCCGGCAACGTCACTCACCACAGCTGGAAAAAGATGGACCAGTGGGAGCCGTTTATACATGTTCACATAATGGCTGGACTAACGAAAAGATATTTGTTTTATGGCTTCGTCATTTTATTAAACATGCCAAACCTGCTGCTGAAACACCCGTATTGCTAATATTGGATAATCACAATAGTCATGCTACTCTCGAAGCTTGGGAATTGGCAAAAGAGAACCATGTCATAATGCTAACCATTCCTCCACATTCATCTCACCGTCTACAACCCCTTGACGTTGCATTTTATTCCCCACTTAAAAGAGCTTATAACAAAGAGTGCAACTTGTATATAAAATCAAGAAATTTGATAAAAATTACTCCATACGACATTGCTGGACTGTTTAATAAAGCTTATACTAGAGTTGCTTCTATAGAAAAAGGAGTATCGAGCTTTAAAGCTACAGGTATATTCCCTATGAATCCTGGAGTTTTTTGTGATGATGACTTCATTAATGAGGAATCCAGATCAGCTGTGCCTGAGGCTGACGCTCAACAGCAGCCAACTAGTGTCACTCCTATTCCATCAACATCAAATCAGGCTGAGCAACCACATGCTAGCCCTGCAACAAGTCCATCTATTTTTTGTGATCTGCAAATTGAAACGGAAATTATTCAAAGGGAAGCTGCTGTAACTCCAGTTTCTATTCCATCGACATCATCACACACTATCAGACCTATCGCAACTCCGCCCAATATTGACTTTGCTAATGTTGTCTCCATTGTCAGCCCACTGCCCCAACAACTCATCTCTCAAAAACAAAAACCGTTGAAGAACAAACAGCATTCTGAAATAATAACAAGCACTCCAATGAAAGCAGTATTTGAAGAAAAGAAGAGAAAAAGAACTGAAAAGGAGAATAAGATAAAGACAATTAAGAAAAATAAAGGAAACTGTGATAAAGAAAATTGTGTCAAGGGAAAATGTGCCAAAGGAAAATGTATTAAGAAGAAACATACCAAAGATAAAGAGATTAAAAGCAAGAAGACTACAACCAGAAACACAAGGATCAGAAAGGCAACAAAATATTTGTTTAAAAGTGATGATGAAAACTCATCTCTTGACCAAATCGACGAAAATGCTATCTGCGATGATGAGTCAGAATATTCTGAAGAGGAGAATTTATGTGCAATTTGTTTAGATCTTGGAAAAAATGGAGAGATGTGGTACCGATGCAGAAGTTGCGGAAACTGGGCCCACAAAGAGTGTACTGGTAGTGATAGTCCAGATACTTATATTTGTGCATTTTGTTTGGATCCGTAAATCAGGATCATTTGTTTTCCATTAATAATTTCATATTTTATCTCCGTTTTGTTTGAATTTGTTTTCATTTTAATTTGTGTTACAAATAGTTTCATTTTATTAATAATTATAATAACTAAGATCTCATTTATAGTGCGTTTTGTTAATTTTTTTTTAAGAGTAATTATAATGGCTCCCATTTCCCATATGATCGTTAAATGGGCTCTCATTAGCCGCATTCGTCGGGTAATAGGAGCGACTGACTTTTTTTGTAAAACTGTCATTGTACCCTAATACATGTCTGTAGTTGATTATAACTATAATTATTGTATTCTCTTATAATAAAGGTAAGAGTTTATAATAAAAAAATACAAGAATTTTGAGTAATGTGCTTTTTATTACAACTTTCCCTTAGTAGGCTCCCATTTCCCTGTTCTCCCTTACAGATTTAGACAACGTCATGATATAGTGGTCGGTAAAGTTTGTGGAGAAGCCGCTAGTGTATCGCAAAACGACTGTGATAATTGGTTGAAAACAGTTTTACCAAAATTAACTGAAGGATATACAGACAGTCAAATATGGAACGCTGATGAGACAGGATTATTTTTTAAATTGACTCCCGATAGAACGCTAAAATTCAAAGGAGAAAAATGTACAGGAGGGAAACTATCAAAAGATAGAATAACGGTGCTTGTTGCTTCAAGTATGGAAGGTGAAAAACGTAAATTGCTGGTTATAGGTAAGGCGAAAAAACCAAGCTGTTTCAAGAATGTTAAAACTTTGCCAGTTGATTACGAAGCCAACAAAAAGGCGTGGATGACATCAGAAATTTTAAAAAAGTTTTATGGAAATGGGACTCTGAGCTAAGAAGACACAATAAAAAAATCATCTTATTTATTGACAATTGTCCAGCTCACCCACACATTCAAAAATTGACTAACATAAAACTGGCATTTCTACCACCAAACACTACGTCAGTTATTCAACCTATCGATCAAGGTATTATTAAGACTCTTAAAAGCCATTATCGAAAGCTTCTTGTCGAGAAAATGGTAAATGACAATGAAAACAGCTCAACTCCTTTTGCCGTCAATATTCTGGACGGCATTGAAATGTTAACAACAGCATGGGCACGAGTTACTGCAGATACAATAAAAAAATGTTTTTCACATGCTGGGTTTGGTAAATTTTCTACCATTAATACAAATGATGAAGATTCTGATGATGTAATGGATAACTTGCCATTGGCAAGATTATCATCAGCGGAACCAACAGTTACGGATTGGGAAACGTATGTGAATATTGATGATCAAGTTATCACTACTGATAACTTGACGGATAATGAAATTATTGAGTCTGTACTTCAAACTCAAGAACAGGAGCATGAAGAAGAGGATTGCAATGTAAACGAGATTCCAACAATTAGAGATGCATTATGTGCTATTACAACGCTCAAAAAGTACTGTTTATTTGGAGAAGCCAGTAATAATTAAGATGTAGAGGGAATTATGAAAATGGAATATATCTTACAGCATGCACAAAAGTCTAAACTTAAGCAGTGCACTATAATTCGTTTTTTTAATAAAAGCCTTGTATAATATAAATAAGTGATAAATAAATAACTACGTATGTATATATACATAATGTACGTGATTTTTTATTATTTCGGATATAGAGACCTCCGGATATAGCGACAACACTAAAGTGGTCCCTCCGCCGTTGTTATAACCGAAATCCACTGTACATTTTAAATTATATATAAATGTTACAATTTGCTATTATCATTCCTTACTAATTTAAATTTAGTAAATAAGGAATACTATCTACCATCTCCCTTTTCATTGTTAGAAGCTTCATTTTCATTATCTTCTTCTTCAATAGAAGCTGCTTTATGCAGTTCATAAAGTTGTACTAATTGTTCATCAGTCATATAATCCAACATTTGCGGGTCCAAATATTTTCCAATACCTTTTCCCTTTGCTTGACTGAGAGGCTTCATTTGCTTAGCTATATTAATTGCATAATCCTAAAATATAATATTAGGTAGTAAGATAACTAGTTCATTATTTTTCTCTGAGAATAATTGTGATTTTACTTACAGTCCACTCATTCAAAAATATCTTTGCTTCATCAGGAGTGCAATTTTTGTGGCGTTTGAATTCTTCTCTTGCGTAATTGTCGCCAAGAATTCTTAATTCATCCGGCAAAGCTCTATGTACCCGGAATATAAGTTTGTAAAGTCTTCGAACTCTAGATACATGTTCTATCATTGCCATTTTAAAATAGTGTGATTAAAAATATGAACTATTTTGATTTCGCTCCCAAACTTAGTAATATTCAATAAATTTATGTCTATACATTTATTACCTTCGATATAGCTTTGCACTGATTTGTTGATAAAATACTTTAAACTAACCAAACATTCTAAAAGTTTAGTTTTAAAATTATTTTGTAAAATGTCATTTTTCGGATGCAGATAGTATTTCAATATCAAACAACAGATTATAAAAACCATTCTTGTTTCTATATAAGAGAAGACATGTTCATTATTTTATTAATTTGTTTTCTAGTGATTTTATAGCTATTTAGAATATCATCAATCAAAGTGATATTATTAACTTAAACAGTGTGTTCATTATACTGGTATAATTATAACTTCTTTGGTGTTATTAATAAATATACGCGTAACGATTTATATCTTCATATTTTAAAAATTTTACCATTTCAAAAACCTAATACTTACACATAAAATCGTTTATTTCTAGTTAACAGACTGAAATAATAATAGGTTGGGGAAAAAGAAATCCATTATTTTTTCGGTATAGGGCTGTAGTGATCGATATCTCGTAAATTATCGATCAAACAATTTCAAATTTATGCTCGTTGTCAAGGTAACAATTCGCACTAAAAGAATTCGTTTGCAGTTTTTTGTTTTGTCCATTCAGCTCTGAGTTACACGGCGTTAAAGATGGAAGTCAACAAAGAGAAAATTCGGTACATTTTACAGTTTTTCTTTGATAAGGGCGAAAATGCAAGTCAGGCGGCTGAAAATGTGAATAGTGTTTATGGTCCCGATACTGTAACAGCTTATTACGCGCAATTTTGATTTCGTCGATTCCGTTCGGGTATTTTTGACGTTAAGGATGTCCCTCGCACAGGCAGGCCCGTCGTCGAAAATGTTGACAGAGTCACTGAAATCATCGAAGAGGACCGGCATGTTAGTAGTCGTAGCATCGCCCAGGAGTTAAAGATCGACCACAAAACAGTTTTAAACCATTTGCACAAAGCTGGGTTTAAAAAAAAACTTGATGTTTGGGTGCCACACCAATTAACACCAAAAAACATGATGGATCGAATTTCCATCTGCGAAGCCTTGGCCAAACGTAATGAAATCGACCCATTTCTTAAACGGATGGTGACTGGGGATGAGAAATGGGTCACATACGACAACGCGGTGATCAAAACGCGGTGAAGCAGCTCAGACGGTGGCCAATATGGCCAAACATTAAATTCAGACATCTATTGTCAACAACTGGACCGTCTGAAGCGAGCAATTGACCAGAAACGGCCAGAATTGGCCAACAGAAGAGGTGTCGTGTTCCATCAGGACAACGCCAGGCCACACACTTCTATAGTGACTCGTCAGAAACTCCAGGAGCTTGGTTGGGAAGTTTTGATGCATCCACCATACAGTCCAGACCTCGCACCAAGCAATTACCATCTTTTTCTTGCATTGCAAAACTTTTTTAGTGATAAGAAATTGGCATCAAGAGAAGAGTGTGAAAATCAATTGCTGGAGTTTTTCGCTAATAAGGACCAAGACTTTTATGAGAGAGGCATAATGAAGCTACCATTAAAATGGCAACAAATTATAGAACAAAATGGTGCATATTTGACCTAAATCGGACAATGCAAAACATGTTAAATAAAGTTTTGAAGTTCACATATAAATAATGGATTTCTTTTCCCCCAACCTATTTATTTCCCATTTTTCTCTCGATATTTATTCAGATTTGACCTAAAGACAACAAACAACTTGAGACTAAGAAAATAGAAAATCTTATTTCGTATCTGATATATAATTGAAAACTTGTGAGTAAAGAAAACATTATTGTGTAGCCATTGCCTTTATTCAGTGTATTCATTAGTGGTAGGTTGTAAGAACATCAGACCAAGATCTAAATAACAACCATTATGTGTCCATCCATTTTGAAACTTTATAACATGCAAAATTTACAATACAAGAATTTCAGACAGGACCATCATCATCATCATCACCCTAGCGTTTGTCCCGGTTGTTCGTCCCGCCCAGGGCGGGAGAACCCAGGGTCCGCTTTCCCACTCAGTTTCCTCCACTTAGCCCGGTCTTCGGCATCCTTCTTGTGGAGTCCATTGGCACGCATGTCATCTTGCACGACATCAAGCCAACGTCTTTTGGGCCTTCCTCTACCCCTAATCGATTCTTATAATAGTTTATAGGTACACAAATCTAGCCATTTTCCTATATCATGAAGTGTTACATTATAAACTAATTTACGACAAGTAATCTTTATTAATAAGTTCCATTTACAAAAATAATGTTAGCACAGTCCAAAGTCTAGTACCAAAAATACGAGTACATAAATGATGAAAGTATATTATTTTTGCCATAAAATTATTGTTTTAGCAATAAATTATTTAAAACTAGTAAATTATATTTTTTCTTGAATAAAAGGATGAGCAAGACAATGATTGACAGAAGCCCGTTTTGATGGGTCCAGCATTAACATCCTTTCAAGTAGGTCTTTAAGTTGAGTTATTTTCTTTGCCTCTGGAGCTGGCAGTCGGTGGTGAGGAGGAGCCAACTCAGTTTGTAAATCTCTTGTAGGTTTTATGCTTGACATTATAACAACTTTTTCCTAAAAAAAATACAATATTATTTTGATTAATCACAATTAAAAATCCTATTAAATTCTAATGTCTTAGAAGTTTTGTTTAAAACTTACTCTTTCTGTAATCTTGTCCAATTCATGATACAAAAAGTTACAATTGCTATCAAAATGTTGCTCTTTAAAATGCCCCTTCTTAATAATCTTATTTGGTATCTTTCCTTTCAAATCCATAAAATATTTTAACATTTCATTATTTGATTTGCCACTGAACATAATTTTCCCCGTAGACAACTCATATATGGTACAAGCGGTTGACCACATATCAATACCATGGTCATAAGGGACTCCAAGAATGATTTCTGGAGAACGATAGAATCTCGAAACTAGATATGGCGTGATTTCATTGTCCGATACATGTGAAGCAGCACCGAAATCGCACAACTTTAATATTAGCTTACTCTCATTCACCAAAATATTGTCAGGCTTGATATCTGAAATGTAACATTTTATAAAAAATACTTCTACCAATGCATATTTAATACATCTCGTTTAAAGTATTTTTCATAAAACTTACCAGCATGTAATATACCAGTCTTTTTCAATAGTTTTAATGCCAACAACATTTGTTGGGTATAGCTCCTAACAGCTTTGATATGAATACCACTATTTTTTCCATACTTCTTGAGCACTTCTCTCAGATTCATTGAAAGAGGTTCCATTACCATGCACAAATGACGTTTATGGAAAAAGTGACGAAATAAACGTAAGCAATGAAATTTGTCCTCTGGATCTGAGTCATTGAGTCGTTTCAAAATTTCCAATTCCCGCAAACCAGTTTTGTGCCTGTTCAGAAATAAAGAACAGATAAATGAAGATTGAAACCAAAAACACATCCAAAATTTGTTAATAAAAACTAATAACTTACATGATCTCATTATTCCTGATTATTTTGACTGCAACATCAGTATTACCGCGAGCTTGGTCTCTTGCTCTTACAACATTAGAAAAGACTCCCTGTCCTGTGTACCCATAAACTGTATATCTGTTATCCAGTGTTTCTCCAATTCGTACTCTGAAAGAAACAATCAATTAAAATCAAAAATTGTTTTAAAATTTAAATAAGGAGCAATTATAACAAACATTTTACCTATAATAACCTTCGGCGTCATCCCAGTTATCAGTAAGTGATGGATTTTCCATAGTATTTTTACTCCTCGGTTTTCCTGCTGTGGGTGTCTGTAATTGTAAGACAAATAAATATAATCATGTCACTAAATATACTATAAATTGCCCACATACTATTTTATAATAAAATGTGGTTGAATATATAAAAAAGAGATCAAAACCTTAAAACTCACATCAACACTGTCAAAATTATCTTGATCTGCAAACATATCCCACTCGCTTCCTTTCCGGGATTTCTCCAATTTAATACTTGTCTTGGACTCATTTTCGATGTTCCTTATCAAAGTACTTGTGTTACTTTTTTCATTTTTTACCTCCCCTTCCATTTTATTGAGAACATTCACATTTCCAGTGAGTGTTTCTTTGGTAATCTTTTCTGGTATAGCCACCGATGTTTTTTGATTTGTGTCAGTTAAAGATGTTTTGGTATCTATATTTTGATCTGATGTTGAGTTTACCTTGTTTTTGCTTTCTAGTCTCTGAAAACGACATTCCGTAAAACTAAGTAGGAAATCTTATTAGGCAATCAATACAAATAATTCTGAAAAGCATAAACAAATATCTATTTATCAGTATCAGTAAATATATTAAGAATTTTGACTTTTCTTGAGATAATGATACTAAAAGTTATAGTTAATATGATGAGAAATCTGCAATTATCAAAGCTAAACTGGTTTCGAGACCATTATTATATATACCTTGAGTAACTGTTCTCTTTGCTTCCTTCTCCTTTCAATGATTTGTTCTTCAGTTTCTTCTTCATCGTCGGTGTTGATTGATATGTTAAGCTCTTCATCGCTAGAACTGGGTACTATTTGAGTTACTTCATTTGTAGAATTCTAAAAGAACAAATTTTACTAAAATATTTTTTACTTAATTTTATTTACTTAGTAATTAAATTTATAATTATATTATATTACATATTAAAGAAAATTTATTGTAAGTTCGTTAAACATATGGTAAGAGGGCTTCACTTACTCTGCGTTTCTCCCTATGATCAGTTTTATAATTTTTGTCTCGGGACCGACCTCTATATCTTTCCCTACTACGGTCACGTGACTTTCTATCACGGTCTGAGTGCCTTCTGTCATATCTTGAAATTGGGGAACGGTCTCTTGACCTCCGGCTACGAATGGAATCTCGTTCCCTTCTCCTAAATTCAGAAGAGCGACGTTCTCTCTCTCTTTCTCTCTCTCTCTTCCTTTCCCTTTCTCTTTCACGCTCGCGATCTAATCTATCCTTTTCTCGATCTCTTTCTTTTTCTCTCTCCCGTTCCCTTTCTCTATCACGTTCACGATCTCTCTCTCGTTCCCTTTCTTTTTCGCGCTCTTTTTCTTTTTCTCTTTCTCTCTCCCGCTCACGTTCACGTTCTCTATCTGATTCGGCTTTACGTCGATCACGTTCCTTCTTTTCGCGATATTCTCTTTCTTCTAATCTCTTTTCCATCTCTTTTCGACTTTCTCTATTGATTATTTCTCTTAAATCTTCTTCTTGACGTTTTAACTTAATTTTTTCAAGCTCCGAAGGTCTCTGCTTAGTGCTTTTACTTTTAGTTTTTTTGTGATCAGAAGAGGAATCTTTTTTCTTTTTGGAAACGGGTTCTTTCGATTCTTCATCGATACAGATCACATCATCATTTGTGTTTTTCTTATGACGAATATCTTCGTCGCTTTTGTCTGAATTATAGGCAGTTAAACGTGCTTGCAACATTTCTTTTTGTTTCATCAATTCTTCAAGATTAAGATCATCTTCAATTATTGTAAGTTCTGGACTAGCACAATCGTCTTGATAATTTTCAGCTTCAGAATTAGAAGATAAAATTTCTAAAGTGTCGTCAACTTTCTTTGTATTTCTACTACTACTACGAGACTGGTCAGCATTAGTATTGCCATTTTTCGTTTTAGTATTCTTCGCACTATCAGCCGAGGCAATTTCCAAAGAAGATTCTTTGTTTGCAGGCTTACATCTTTTAGATTTTTTAATTAACTCCTCTACATCAGAAAGTGACGTTTCACTCTCTGGCTTTGGACTTTTTTGCTTTTCCTTTTTGGATTTCTTTCTTTTTTTATAGCCTTTTTCAGTGTCTTCATCCACTGGTCTTTTACGTTTTTTGTGTTTCTTACTTTTCTTTTTCTTCTTACTTTCGTCTTCTTTTGTGTTACCGTTAGTAGATTTTTCCACATCAAGATTACTTCTGAAATCAATAGGAAATATTAAAGAATATACTTACAGGGCAATGTGAAGCAACTGGCTCCTTATTTTTCCCATAAACAATGCATTGTTCAATTCTGTAATATTATAATACTATAAGTGTTATTAATAAAATTATGTAACTCAGTAACATAATTATAAAACAAACCTTGGTTGTATAGGTGGAAAATTCAAAAGCTCAATGCATATATTTAAAGAAAAATCAGAGCCAAACATAATAATGTTGAATATCTGAACTAACTTATCATTGAAATTAGTAAGAAGATAAATTAAAATGTAATGAAATTAAACGTTTGACAATAATGTTGAATGACAGTTTTCTATCAAAGAAATATTTTTTCATATAAAAGGAGGATCTTTCATAATTACAAAACAGGATCTATAAGATAGGCTGTTTAAAATGTTTTGACAAAAAAATCTTGCTTAAAAAACCAACATTAAAATTAAGGAAAGGGAATTAGCTATTGTGCATAAAAAGTACAAAATTATCTATCATATACACTTACTCTTTTCCCATTTCCTATGTATATGGGTAGACTGCAGGAATATCTGTAACTAAAATAGTTCTATTTAAGTTTATACAAATATTTTAATATAATTAGTTTGAATTAATGTACATATTGTTATATTAAGGTAACAAATCGAGAGTTCTTCTTTAGTGCATCAGTTCGTCGGATAACAATGAACTAAGGCAGTTATTTTAGTTAGCTGCTTTTTTAACAGTATTGAATAAAAAAATAAACCTACATAATTTTAATTTAAGTTGGTTATAATTTTGTTGTATATCTAAAATGGTCATATAACAAATGCACCATGGAATCAGAAAAGGTGTATGTAGTGCAGAGTTATGTTAAAAGATACTAAAAATACCCTTATCAAAATGGCTTTTGACCACTCACACAGAGATGAACATTAAAATTTAATATGATTCTTTTTCATATTGTAATATAACAATAAGAGTGCTTCGTTTTAACATTTCTGCACTGGCCACTCAAAAGGACTTAAAATAAAGGAAAGAGAAGTCTCAACAGCCACAAAACTACTAATGACAATGAGAAACAATTATTACTCTAATTCACTAGAAATATCTGATTCAATATTTTAATTATCATAAAAATGTTTCTAAGGAGCATTCTAGAGTTTAAACAATTTTGCATGTGCGCAACATTTCGTCTAATTGTTTGCATCCCTAGCAAATTATATTTTTGAATGATAAACTATAGTAATTCGTGACAATTTAATACCTCGGCAGAGAGTAATAATATATGTTAATTCAAGCAATCATGACCACACATAGTTACAATTTTTTGTCACAAAATGAACATTTAAAAGTGGGGTTGTTGTATATTATCATTTTTCATACCAATCATGTAAACAAAATATCGCGGCAAAATTGTTCACTACATAAGGGGCTATTACACAAAACTAAAAAATCTTTATTTACTTAATCGGTGTTTGTTGAGAAATACAAGACAATATTTAAAACTGAGCGAAGGTAATATTTTATTATAACGTGACATTACCAATCAAACCTCCATAGAAAATAGAAAGACATTTTTTACGCGTCCTTTAATGTTTTTGATTGGTTGGCAAAGGTTTACGAAGTAAATCCTGTAGTTTAATAAAATTATTTAAAGGATTGAAATTGTAATATTTAAATGATGTTTTTTGTTTTATTTAACAATTTTTCTGTTGTAGTATTTAATAATGCTAATGGTTTTAAGTAGTAGTCAAATACATTAATCGAATCCTAAAACTTATTATCGCACATAGTTTAAAATAATCACAATTTATTTCTGTGAATATTTCACAGAAAATGGGTAATTATTTATTTCGTGTGAATAATGTTAATATTTTCGTTTGTAAATGACATTACAATCTGTGGTTAATATTGCAGTTTGCACCATGAATGCAAGTGTCATGTGAGACTAGTAGATTTGTATTGTTTTCTTGTCGGGAAAAAAATTTGTTTATTTTATCAAAAATGTGTTTGTTCAAAAATTAAAGCGAAAATAAGTGCTTTAAAAATTTTCATGAATGGTCAGTTAGTATTTGTATAGAAGTCGCTGAAGTCATTTCATTAAAAAAATATATGAGATCGATACTTTTTAATGAAATCGACAGTGAATATATCTTATGGACAAACTATTATACTATGAGTTGAATTGCAATGTCTAAAAGAATGCGATTTCACTGTGACGAGGAATGGGGAGAGATTATTACGTTTCAAATTAATGAAGAAACTGGCGAACCAGCAATCATCAACAATATTGTGAACTTCACATTCAATCATGAAGAAAATACAATAACCTGCAGTTCTTTTAACTTACAAGACCGAAACCTTCGAAATTACAAAAAAATCAACACACTTAAGAAACAAATTACTAATGGAACAATTTTAACTGGTCCAAAGATGTTTCTATTGATAGCAACATTCATGTTTATTCCAAGCTTTATGTCTGCAATTTTGATCTTACTTGAAACATTCTTGCACATCGGTTGTCACATAAAAAACAAATATTTAGAAGATCTAAATGTTAATAACCTTAGTCCTTTCCATTTTATATTCAGTATATTTTGTTGTTTATGTAGGAAAAATGATAAGTCCTTAAAAATTGAACGGATTCAAAATAAAAAACATCACCTCTATGATCATTTTAAAGATGTAAACATTTCCTTTTATTTAAATAAAATTGGAAATGTAAAGTCTTGAAAATGTAGTAATTAATATATAAATGAACAAAATTTTGTTTAGATTATAATGTATGTGAGCCGATGACAAAGCTTAGGATTATTTAATGTAATAACATTGGTACAACTACAATTATTTATTCATATATTCAATAAGATATGTGATTTTTGTTTGGAGTTTTTATAATTTCAAAAATTGTGAATATAAACCTATGCAGTATGATGTATAGATAGATAGATTACATTGTGTATTAATAAAAATGTAAATAAATATAAATATGTAATTTTTCCATTGCGATTCTTGTATCAACAATATAAACATATAAATATTATGGTTATATACTATAATGAAAGATGATTTTATTTAAAACAATAACTGCTCTTTCTAAAATATGTATGTATCATAGATTAATACTAAGAAATAATATGTAGGTTTAAATTAATTTAGTTTACTCTGTCATATAAAAGCAGATGTGTGTAAATTAATGTATATTTAGATTGTCTTAAATCACTTGTAGGGCTAGTTATGTAATTATAAGATGTACACTGCTGTTTTGCAATCACCAAGTGTGCCTTTGTGAAACATAGTTTTTAACATGCTATGGTAGTGAAATCTAATATTTGTAGCTTTTTGCTTAGTTTGCTATCGGACACTTACCATTGTATATAATATTCCCCTGTTTTGCTATCAATCTATCCATGCTTTTTAGATTTTAAAGTATTTCTTTGAGTAGGCTCATACTAAATTGCTGTTAGGAAGTTATTTACCATAGTATTATCATAAGGGACTATGTAAATTACAGAAGTAGTGAAGACCTTTTGCAATGTGAATCATTTACATGTAATCATCATCTTTACTGTTTAATTGAATTCAAATAATACATTAACCCAATTTGTGGTTAATGGAAACAAATATTAATATTAACGAATTGTAATTTTCTGTACATAGGTATATAACCTCCTAAAATAAATAATTTCCATGTCTTGTGGTGTCATTTTGGGTTATCCTTATAAGTGTTATAGAATAAGGTTTATTAAGTTGTAATGTAGTTGACAAAAAAAGTTTACTAAATGTTTTAGCTGTTACTAACTAAACAAATGCAAAAAATAACATGTTTTACTAGCATCAAAAGCGTTGGGTACTTGAAATTCCTTCAGAGGAAAAGAGAATACAAAATATTAAATGTGTATTTTAAAAAGCGACTGCATCTCGCATGGGCGAAATTTAATGGTTGTTTTGTTGACAATTTCATTTTAATTTTGTTTTCTTATCTTTTGTCTATCTTTTTTGCAAAAATTATTATTCATTATTCTGCTATAGCGAATTAAAATACTACATATATTATTGCACTTTGAACGCATGGAAAGGTAATATTTTACTATTTTTTAGTTTCTACTTATATAAATCAATGCAAATTATTTAACGTAATGTAAGAAAATATATTTTCTTGTTTCAATAAATATACAAAATTTCTAATTAATTATATAAAAAGAAATTGTATTTATCCAGTCGTTAAGTAGTGGCTTGCAAACACAGCAGGGCAGATAAATGTCATTGGATTTTTTATTGGGTGATTACTTTGATGATGTATGTCTGAAACAAATTGTTGCAATAAAGAGGTACATACAGAGCGCCGCCGCTTCCGCCGTTTAATCTTCTAAACGTAATTATTTAAAAACTTTGTTAAAGAATTCTAAACTTTCTTACGACTTATTTATTACTTACTTATAAATTAAAAAATACGAGGAATTTTTGTTTATGGAAATACCTATTACATATTGGTTTAACTCTAAACAATTTACAATTATGTTTCGCGTTGGAAATCCTTTTTTATATTTTAAGACGCCTGCTGATGGTTTTTACTATTAAACTGGTCAATTTTTACATTCATCCGTAATTTTTAGTCAATGTCAAAAATTAAATAATTTAGTGTAAATTATATTTTTAATATTGGGAATTTATATTATTATACAGTTTATCTCACTGATAAATCAATTCAATTGATCTGTAGTATCAATAAAGTGTGAATATCATCTACAATACAAAAACAAGTTGAGTACCTAGGCTTCGGTGTCCCCATAAGGTTATACAATTTTTATCAATTAGTAGAGATGAATTGCGATCTGTGACTAATTAGGTATATAACATTTTCAGAGTGAGTTTTATAATGTTTTTTAATACCAATATCTGGTTATTAGAAAATTGTTTAACCTGGTAAAATAAGTTTTGGTCAAAACTAACCTAAATTTCAAAACTGTTTCTTCAATGTAAAATACATGTCTTGACTTGCCAAGTATTAATCAATTGTCACCGCCACTTCACGGTCCAGTTTCAAACAATTTATTAATATATGTATTCAATAAACTATGTAGTCTTATTTGTGAAATACCTTAACTTTAATAACAAGTCTGTGTCAATTAATCGTCTGATGATTTACCAACATATGATTGAAGTAGTGATTAGTTAGTTTTAAATATTTTTGAAATAGAACAAATAGTAATAAAATAAATTGGGACTATTTGCTTTAACCAAAGAGAAATTGATTTTAGAATGTTTCATTAACTGTACAAATACTTATTATAGCTGATGTTTAAGAGGTTCATGTGTTTATTTTTGTCAATTACGGTATTCCATACCTTCCACACGGCGAACTCTGTTTTTTAATAAACGTCTTCTGGAGCTTTGGCGAAATTGCCCAAAAATTGTCGAAAGGGTCATAATGCATCATAAAAAAATCACTTTACAGGTTATTAGTCTAGGTTAGATATGTTGTAATACTTTATTTTCAAAGTCATTTTCATATTGCAGAAGTTACTGCAATATAAAATAGGTAGTAGAGACAGAAAACTCCATCTGCTGTCTAAATAAAAACTGCATATACACTGTACTTGTAACACTTAAAAATGGGAATGTTGATGAGTTCTGATTACTTTAAAATATTTCATTATTGTTACACATAAATTTTTTTTATAGCAATCATACATAAACACTAAATATTGATTTTCTCTTCAATCTATATATGTATATATAAATGAATTGCTGTCGTTAGTCTCATTAAAACTCGAGAACGGCTGAACGGATTTATCTTATCTTAGTCTTGAAATGTTCGTGGAGGTTCAGGGAAGGTTTAAAAGCTGAAAAAAATTGATCCATTTCTGGGAAAACCCTAAAAACAGCCCTTTTCTATTTCCCATACAAACGTTTTTTTGACATTAAATTTGACAACTAACTAATATGTTAATCATTCTGTCGCACTTCAGAATACGGAGTTTTATGGCTTGAAGGTAAACTCCAAAAAAATAAATAAACATTATTTCTTTATTGATTGAGGCAGTACGAGGTCTGCCTTATCAGCTAGTACAATATAGATTTTTGTGTCAAACAGAGACAATAGTGGACAATAAGTTGATAGATAACAATTAAACATAATAAATTTTAAGCTTATAAATCAACAAATGCACTTATTTATACATAGGAGTTTTATTTATTATATAAAATACACAAAACATTTTCTTTATCGATCAAACCTTTTTATAATGTCAATGTAAGGTCAATTAAAGAACAAAGTGGTTTGTATAAAATTTTGCTATTTTTATTCATAGCACAAAAATCAACTTTGCAACATATCAACATTCAATTATTCTTTGATTTGAATATTATGTGCAAAGGGCACAGATAAGATCCTGTCGTCCAAATAAGCATGTAAAGAAGTGAAGCATGACAAGCAGATAATTTTTAATTAAACATTACACTTTTCATCTTGCCTAATTTATGAAACTTGATAATCCTTCTTTGATTGGTTATCCATGGCAATCATTGATCTCAAATTACATATTCAATATGCATAAATGTATCAAAAAAGTATTTGTCTCACTTACATAATTTTTTAAATACCTTTAAAAAGAAATGATTTTTTTAACTTACTATTTAATATACAATCTTTATTTTCTTCTTGTTTCATGCCAAAATATCACAAAGTATAGAATAGTGATAAATTTAAATCGCTTTAGTTACAAGAATATTTGCTGACATCTGCAAAATATTAATATATGTAATACATATGGTCATAAGCCAATTTACACCAAGGATTGGTCTTATTTAACATCAAATTATTTACTTAAAACACACAAAATATGCATTTGTAATTGTTGTTCCAAAAAAATTATTCACAGTCAATATAATAAAGAGTGATCACTAGAAATCATAACTCTTTAAAAATTTCAAAATATGTAATTGAATATAATATCATTTATCTGCTTTAACAATTTTACTATGTCAGCTTAATGACATTATCACACTACACACTATCTACTGAGAGCATTTATATAACTTATACCATACAGTAGGTATTATTAATTCATAATTAGATGAGAAAACTGAAATAGTGTTGCAGATATTCTCCTATGTAAACTGTTCATTTGACTGCTATCTTGAAATCAATTGAATCATTTGAAATAAAATTATAAATAATTTATGTATGTATCTCCAATGTTGTAATTATGAACCAAATTTAAATGTTGTAGGTACTTGTGCAGGAACCGTAAATGAGTAACCTGAAACAATTTAGCAAGATTTACTCATATGGTAAAATATTAGTACTTATGTGGTTTTATAATTGTACAAGAAATATATATTTTTGTTTATGATTTTTCCTAGGGAAAGTAGTAAGTGTTAAAACCTTCAAAAGGGAATTTTAATATTAGAATATTTCCTTTGTAATTTAGAGTAATTCTACTTATTAAAGGAGTAAAAAGTAAAGGTTTTGCTATTTATTTATAATATTATTTTGAATCCTACATTAGGTTTCCAAATGCTAAACACTCTAAAATATCTATATAACTAGTATTGTAGAAATGACACTTATTATAACTCATTATATATTTAACAATACAAAATAAATATACATGAATTCTTACCGCCACTTTGTTCAATACGTTTACTATCTTGTTGTGCCTTGCGTTGGTCAGCTAGTACAAAAACTGCATGTAATTGTTTCCTCTGTTCTTCAGTCAGAACACTTGTCAGAGCGTGATACAATGTAGGCTCATTGGTTGATAGCGCTATAAAAATACAAATTCTATGCTATAACCAAACAATCTATTCAGAGAATATAATTTTGATATTAAATAGCCTCTATTTCAACAAGATTAATTATGTGGTACTCAAAGTTCTCACAACATGGTAGAAGAGCTAAAAATACTTTTTTTAATACCTGTCAATGTGTTTTTGAATTTTATGTATTCATCCACAGTACAATCTTTCTCATCTAGTGGTGTTGTGTAACATTCAATAGCAGTCTCATCAGGCTCATAGCTTTCATCGTCCTTAAATTAAACAAAACAGTAGTTAACAAACAACTAGAAAAATCATACATTAAACAAATAGAACATATAAATAGATTTACATCGTCACTCTCATATTCTTCTATTTTCGCAGTAAGGTTGACACCCTGTTGGCTGCTATTCTTTGTCGCCATTCGTGCGAGATTTTCAAGATACTCGTTTGTCATTTGATCAACGTCGTCATCGTCACTTGAAAGAACTTCTGAAGAGGAAATAAAAAATATTAAAAGTTAAATTTTAATTCATTTATTTCTTTATGTATTGCAAATATTACTACTATCTCTTTCAGAAATCATTACGTATTATATTAAGGTAATAATAATAGATTGTCAAATATCTCCCTTCCGCTTTTTTGCTCGTTATTCCATGCTTTATAAAAAGTGTTACAGTTATCGGATTTAGTTCAAATATACGCCGTTTTGTTCGATAATCTGTTTCCATCTAGACGGCAACTTCATAATACCTCCCTCGTAGAAGCCCCCCTTTTTATTTGCGAAAAACTCGGACAGCCACTTTTGACTAGCCTCTTTTGAGTTTAACTTTACACCACCAAGGGCATTCGCCATGGACAGGAACAGGTGGTAATCACTTGGCGCTATGTCCGGGCTATATGGTGGATACAATAAAACTTCCCATCCGAGCTCCCGTAGCTCCTGATGAGTCATCAAAGAAGTGTGTGGTCTGGCGTTGTCCTGGTGGAACACTACACCCTTCCTGTTGGCCAATTCTAGACGCTTCTGGTCGATCGCCTGCTTCAAGCGGTCCAGTTGTTCGCAGTAGATGGTAGAATTAAGCGTCTGGCTATATGGGAGCAGCTGATAGTGGATGATTCCCTTCCAATCCCACCAAACACACAGCAAAACTTTCCTGGACGTCAATCATGCGGCACCCAAACATCAATTTTTTTTGTAACCAGCTTTCTGCAGATGGTTTAAAATGGTTTGGTGACTAACCCCCATCTCCTGGGAGATGTCACGAGATGCCACATGCCGGTCTAACTTGATGTATTCCATGATTTGATCGGTATTTATCCTCATAGTTCTTCCGCCGGCTGCCTTATCCTGGCTCTGAATCGTCGAAACCATTCCTCCGCGGTTCGAAGTGATAGAGTACTATCCCTCAAAACATCATTAATCTCACGGAACGTTTCTCGAGCGGATTTGCCTTTAACGAAGGAAAACTTTAAAAAAGCGCGAATTTCGGCCTTAGTGAACTCCATGTTTTCACGTCTATAACTGTTGAACGCAATATCTAAACTAATCATGCATAGCATTGTTCTGTAGGTTATGTATACCTTTACCTTTATAAATACCTTTCAAACTATGTATAGTATTCCCAGATACGAGCTCTGTAGCGCTTTGTGCATTGCCGCGAAATAAAAAGACAAAAAGGCGGAAGGGAGATATTTGACAACCTATTTTTCTTGTATTATATCAAAATAGCCAATAGCAAAAGATATTTTTTTTTAAATAAGGAAAAAACTGATGATTAAATGTTAAAGAGCGCAGTTAGAGCACTTTAAAAATCAATAGATATAGCTATCATTCTGATGTTAATTTAATCTAATACGAAATAATGATATTTAAATAAATGTTTGTCTTGTCTAGCTTAATTATTAACAAACCTTCATCTTCTTCCTCATCATTTTCTTCAGACGACGTGTCTTCGTCAGCTTCGGCTCTCGCTTCGTATGCTCTCTTGAGACCATCAAACAACACCAAACACGAGGACAATAATTTTGGTATTACCTCGTCTAGATTCGGTCTCTGGGGGCCCATCTCAAGTAAAGTGCAAATGCCCAAAACGCACAGCTTCCGGTCGTGCAATCTAAAAAATATCAAATATAAGTTGATATTTTTAAATTGAATACAATTAATGTTAATAAAAACATTTCATACCCCATAAAACAGTCTGTGTCGTGTATCCATTGTTTTATGAAGTGTTGAGTAATTGATGCATTAGGCACAGACTCTTGGAGTTTTTCCAGAATCGTAAACAGGAGGTGAGGATTGCAGTATAAAATGGCAATAAGCACCTGTCAGAACAAAACAAACTGTTAACTGTTGTAATACTTTACAACCACCGCATTAAGTGCTACAAATACTTCAACTAACCTGCAGTAGCATCGTTCTAAGTTCTGAAGTCTTAACTTTCCTTGTAAGTCTGCTAAGAACTAATTCAACAAATGATGGTAAACAATTATCTATTTTACCAGAACATTGTAAGACTATTACTTCTAGAAGTTTTGCTGCATATATTTCAGATTCATCTTCTGCGTCAGAATTTAGGACCTGGTGAATGAAATATTATGTTACATATATATATTTAAAAAAACATTACTTTTAGCTTCGCTTTGCTATAAATACTTTCATTTCGCGGAACGCCATTAACGGTACATAAAAAAATGTATATACAACACCTATAAATTGTACAGTGGTTTTAAAATTTTGTTAAGAAATAGATTTTCTCAAATCATATGTATGAGTAAAAATATAGTGACGACAACACAACATGTGGTGCTAAAACAAACGCGTGAGCTATATTTACATTCTTGTTAGTTTACATCATGAATAAATACCAAGGCAAGCCTTTATCTTTTTACGACGTAAGGAGTATCAAAATTTAACCTAATTGTTCGTTTGAAACGATTTAAATATATTTTTTTGAAATATAATTTTGTTATCCAATATTAATTAATGTATTTTTGTATTCTTCTTGATATAATACAGATTTTTTATTGTTAATTTTTTAAACGTCATAATGTAAATTAATTGTATTCGCATTAGCAAAGCCACATAAAATATCAATATAAAACCAGAATATTGTTACTTTTGTACATATAACATACAAATTTTTGCAACATATATTAAAGATGTGTTTTCTGCCATACACAAGTATAAACATAGCGGTCTACAATTGCTACATTGTTACAAATTCGCGTAGAACATCTTAATAAGAATTTATCAAGTATTCAGGTTTTTTCTCCATATTCAGGAATGGTGGAGATAATTTTTGTAACAAGTAATAGTTTGGTTGTAATTTTTATCTTACATGAAGTTTAATTCAATATTTCATTCCCGTTTTTAAATTCGCAGTATATGAAAATATTTTTTCTGACTTCATTAACTAATTATCTTACTATATATATATATATATGTCTCTTCTTGTAAAAGTGAAAACAACATTAATAATTAAAAATAACCATTAAAAACTTACCACTTTAACCATATTGAACATAGCTAATATGTGATTTTCATTGGAGAGAAAAGCATTTGTGTCAACGGTGATATAATTGTGCAATACTGGCATCATGTCTGTGAAGTAGTCAAAACCTTCTTTCTCAAACACCTGATACAACATCTCAAGAACTGTCCATAAATCTTTTGATATTGATTTTGCAGTTAAATTGCACAATAGAGTCATAGCTTCTTCATAATATTCTGAAAAAAATAAAAAAGAAACAGGATACGTATTATAATTTTTTTAAATTAGAATTTTATTATATTTTTATGGACATGTAATGGTACCTATAATATTGTGATGTAAAATATGTCCCACTACGCGAAGAACTGTACTTTCTAGCTGCAACATAATTTCTGGGTTATCTTCCATTACTGTGAGTACAGCTTGCATAGTGTTAAGAAGACCCATTGCTGTGATAGCCTTTTCGTCTGTTCCAGAATCTGTCTCAATAACTTTACTAAATGTAGTTGCTAAGTGATCTGTGATCTCATAGGCCATTGGCATTAATTGTTCTGTGTACAAAGGTACAATTTTTTGTAGAACATTAGCAATGTTGTCATTTTCTGTTTCACGAATTACATTTAGAAGCTCTGTGGTGACAGCTTTAACTTGAGGTTCTAGTAATTTATGGACTTTGTTCTGTGATGTCAGTAACATTTGTATGGCTATAGCTGCCTCAACTTTCACAGGCAGTTCAGTATCATTGAGGAAAGCATTAACTGTGAGACGGACAACTTCTACCAACAGCATTTCACTCTTGAAACGGATACTTGAGAAGCAGTGAAGCACCCAGCAAGCTCTGGCCCTCATGTAACCCAACTGACTATGAAACTCAGGAATAACAAATTCACTGAGGAGTGGGTCAATTTCTTCATTATAAAACTTTTTCTTTATAAGGATATCAACAAGTGTTCCCACCATGTGTAAAGCACCATCTTTTTGGCGGGGTCCATATTCACCATTCTGGTTTCTTAGGACTTGCATACATAAATGCATTGTTTCTTCCAACATATCTTTTCTCTTTTTACAACATGATATGAGTAATGTCTGTGCTGCTGTTACAGGAGAAACAAAATCTTCGAATATATCTGGAATAATTAATGTAACAACAATTAATAAAAATGTTTACAATTATAATAATATTAATTACAAATTATTTATTAATTGTAATAACATTAATTTTAAATTTCATACCAAATTTGATACGTATATATTCATGGGGATCAGAGAACCATAACTCTTCATCAGCTTCAGAGTAGGACATAAGTGGAAATAGCACATCCTTGATAATAGCAAACATGTGAGGCTTCAGTAACTTCCAAGAATGTGCGTGACTTATGCTGTGGACAATTACAACATAATTGTGTTATAACAGAATTATAATATAACTATAATTTAAATTTCATTAATCCATTAAAATAATACATTCCTTTTAAAATAGAATTCATTTTTAATGAACAATAAAAGAAATCAATCCTTTAAACATAAAAGCAGAAAAAATATTTAGTATATTTACTTTTGCTCTTGTATAAATCAAGATGACACTGCATATTATATAAAATAATAATGTTGATTAACTTTCACAGAACATACCACTGGTCAATATAGCTAATTGTCTGCTGCAGTACTCGTGGTGACACATAGATTTTGTTTCTGTACTGATCCAGAACTCTGAGAAGAACCTCTAATATTCCACCAGTGAAAGTAGTCAAGTACCACTCTGCAAACTGAACATATTCATCTCGAACATTTACTGGGCTTCCATATCTATGCAGAAAAGAAATAATAATCAGATTAAAATTTACACACTTTTACTTTATATGTTTATTCAGCATGGATGAAATCTAGTACTTTTGAGTTTCCTATAAAAGAAAATATTATAAATAAAAAATTAAATACCTTTCAAATAAACGATAAAGGGTATGAACTGCCCATTTCTTGCATTTCCACCAAGGAAGTTCCATGCGTTCATCCTCATCAACTTGCAAAGTATGTTCTGGGACAGGCTGCTCCATTACAGATCGGAGAACTTCCATCCATTTTGTGAATATTTCTTTTGTGATTAAACCCAGTGGTAAATTGAACTGTAATCATTCAAAAAAGTATAAAAAAGTTATCAAACAATTTTTAAAAACAATTTTGATTTTTTTTATTTACCTTTATTAGACCATAGAAACACTTAAGTATTTGTTTTTGTATAGTAACCGATTCTGGAGATTGATCAGCCTGGAGATTGACAATGAGGTTATACATCATAGGTAATAAAAGGTTCATAGCCTCAATAAGAGGGACCCTTTTGTCAGCGGTATGATATTCATAGCATTTTATTAGTTGGTACAAACATAAGAGAGCACCCATCCAACTGTTTGGCTCATGATTTTGTAGGTAAATATGTATTTTATCAACAATTTGAGTCCAGCGTGATGGGAAGTCATGTTTAATGATGGTCTTGAGGCATACACAGAGCTGAACTTTGATTATATCAGGTGCCTGAACTATGGCATCTACAATGATATCCCTTATCATGGCTCTGTCCTGTTCGTGAATACTAAATGGTATTGGCTCTCCATCTTCTGCCTCTTTCTCTAACCATCCTGAGGTTACCAAATTCTTCAGATATACAACTCCAGCTTGACGGACAGGAATTGTAACCTCATTTAGCATAACAACTTGCAGCAAAGAGGGAGCAAATCCAATTATTTTATGGATCTAAAATAAAAATTATTAAGCATACATATAAATTTCAAATGCTCTAGGTTTTATGATTAAAATTTTCTTTAGGAAGACTATGAATCTGGTATATTTTTATTTGATATTAGTCATTTTAAATTCACTTCAAAAGAAATTTATTCCGATGAAATTAAGATATTTTGGCGGAAACGAAATATTTGTTTGTAACATATTTTTGTATTCTAATGCCAACAGACAAACATTTTCACTGTATTTTCAAGGAATTATTTTATATTCTTAGTATTAATTGAATAAGCATTGTAAAGTAGGGAGTCGAGTCGAGAATCTTCCAGGTTATAAATGTTTAATGTTAAGTAGGTAGTTTTACAACCAACAAGTAAATAACTAATATTAAAATACCAGCGCGGCATGTTCATAATCGACATGATTATGATATCACTTAAAATAATGAATTCTATTGGTTGTAGATGAACCGTGTAATTCGGAAGCATTGTCAATTTTGCGAGCATGTGGATGACAAAATAAAAACTGACCTGGGAAAGTTGTTCTTCTGCTTGTTGCCTCTGATTAGGATCAATAGTAGCTCGCAAAATTTCCGTCAGCTTTCTGGTGTCCATGTTTTCGTATATAACATTAAACTTTTTAATAAATTATATTTTAACAAAGGGCATGAGCCGCCACCGCCGGGCGTGGATAGAAAAGACAGTTTGTCTTTGGTACGATTACAAGATAGGTCACGTGACATGGTAGAAAAATTATTAAGTCCTTTTACATGTGAGATTTTAAAAAAGTTGAAAAGGTATATTTACAATATCTAAATAAATGGTATTTGAAAAATATTCACATGAATTATTTTTTTGAACTATTGTGTTATAGAATTGATAAATATTTTTGCTAATCCTCAACGATTCGGGATTTTTATAAATTCCTAAAGCAATATTCGAAAACACTGCATTATGCCGTGTTTTAACTTATTTTTTTAATGTAAATTTTTTCTAATTTACTTTTAACTACGCAATTTATTTTATTTAAAAAGATTGCACTTTTTTATATTACTTCACCATTTTATTTGGGAACAAAAGATAAGTTCTGAAAAAGCTCCAAAGCTGTTTTTACAAAAGGTCTAAGTAAAAGCTTGCACGCAAATGAATCCATAATGTTATAAAATAAAGTTTTATTAATTTCTTAGAGTTGTTTAAAACTTAATAAAAAAAAAAAAATAAGAAATTGTTAACCTACAACAAAAACAGACTAAAAATCGATTAAAAATTATAAGTAAAAAGAAATTAATTACTGAAGCCATAGCTAAGGGAAAAAATATAATATAAGAATTGAAAAGTAATATGTACACAGATATCTAAACAGCAGATTAATTTTCAATATACATGTCTGTTTGTACTTTGTACCTATTTCATTAATTGCTTTTATATTGTTCTGTGCCATTAATTAAATACAAAAAAAATAATCTATGACAATCATTTTACATCGTTAAGTTGGTATCTTTTTCTGTCAAATGTCCAACTTTTAGATATCTAGTGGTACATAGTACATGCCTACTGGCTGCTAGTGTCAGGAGCAGCACTATACAAAACATTCATTATATCTATATGTAACAGATGAAACTGTGTCTATTTGTGTGTGCATATATTACTAGTAAATATTCTTCTGTATTATAATAACAATGATTACTCGATGAAACTCATGGTAGTTGCACTGTACGACATTATGATCGCGACGTCAACTTTTCAGTTATTTGTAATCTAAAACAGATGTTTTTAAAATGGTTTAGACACAAATGTCTGCGTAAAAAATAAAGGTGTGGTTTGCAGTAAACAAAATATAAATAATTTTATTCTAAAAATGAGATTTAATAAGCAGGAATTAAGTGCTCTAGCATCTTTAACATCGCAAAGTTATGATAAAGAAGGTGTAATGGTGCTAAAAGAAAAACAAGACGGCTTCTTTCGTCGCTCGGAAGGTAAGTAATAATTATATTTTCTTTAGTCTTTTACTCTTCTGAGCCAATAAATTTTAGTCTTAAAATCTCATGTTGTTGGCGATTAATAGAAAAGATATAAATTATGAAACTATGTTCACATCTTTTACGTTTCCAGGTTGTTCTATTCGTTGGTTTCGTCTTAAGGGCAATTTACTATTTTATTTGAAAGGTCCAGAACCTTGGTATGAATCAGTAGGATTTATTGTGTTAGGCCAACATAAAATCCATATACAGACTCAAGATGAAAATGGTTACTGGCCATTTCATTTGGGTAAGGCATTCCTGTCAAATCAGTTTTAAATTTTATTTCTAAATTGTATATACATACATATATGTCTGTTCTTTTAATCTAGTTTGGGAGAATGGTATTTGCTATAGATTGGCAACATTTCATGAATCAGAGCGCACATTATGGCTAAAGGCTATTCACATGGCCCCTTATGATGTAATATGTTCACAAGCTGTTGCGCTTCGAGAAAAACTAAACAGAATAAGAGCTATTACAGACATAACAACATACAGGTTGCAGAAAGGAATTGTTTTAGGTAACTTTCATTAATCAATATTACAAAACTCTTGCCTACTAACATTAATAAAAGAGAAATAATATATATTACAATTGGTACTTTAGTTATTAAAATTCAATATTTAATTAATGTATTTATACGGCAGATATGAATGAAGTGCCCTTATGTGAGTTGGCTTTATCCTGTGATAATCTTCTGTGTGATGCCTATGGGTGTGCACCCTCTCCAGTTATTGTTATTTATGTTAAATATTCCAAAGGGCTTTGTGTGAAGTATGGCACAACTGAAATAGTAGATGTTAGTATGCAATACTTTTTGAAATACTATCATTATATGTTTTGAGTCATGTAAATTTACTAAGAAATAATGAAATGTTATTCATCAGTCATGCAGCAACCCATGTTTCTCCAAGACAATACTATTTCGAGCTAGTGATGGACTGTCAAGAGATGCTGTAGTGAAAATAGTTGTGTATGATGTCAAAGAAAGGGTATCAGAAACATCAGTTCTAATGGGTTTCACATCATTACAACTAAGCACTATACAGGTAGTATATCTTTTTTAAAAACAACATTAAATATTTTCTAATTGCATTATTATTATTTTTGAATATTAGATTATAATCCTCTTACTTGTAAATCATAATATTATTGGATTAGTAATGTTATTTTTCTATGGCTTTACCCATATCAAATGGCAATAAAATTATTATATTATAAAATAAAATGCAATAAAATTATATGATATACATATCTTATGATATTACCCTCTTGTTTATCAGGAAGCCCAGAGACTAAGGGTGGCATTAATGACAAGAGAAAATAAAACAGTTGGTTTTGTTACAATAAATGGATGGAGTTTAGAACCATCTTACATAGGCACAAGTCCAAATCATACAAATGATAAAAATTGCATAGACATACCACAAAAATTGCTATGTCATCGCCGTTCTCAGTCTTTACCTCCAAGGTTAGGCTTGAAATTAAAGTTTCCGTCATATGGAAACCTTTTAAAGCAGAATTTCGTCAACAGTCACCAAGTTACATACAGATTTCATTCTGGGCTAGGAGGCGATATCACTGTGCATGAAATAATGGCTGAACCAAAGCTATGCTATCAAATTCCAATACAGCTACTGTAAGTTTATATAAATTTTTCCTTATACTGCATATAACATTACATATTTATTTAAACTGTATTTTATATGGTTGCATGAAAACTTATCTGTTAAAGAGACATTTATATTCAACGAGAAAAGGAGCTTTTGGAGGAATTGTTATCAGTTGGAAATATTTGTGGGCATTGGCAAACAAGACAATTAGATTTGGCTGGCACCCATGTCTCTCTATTGAAGCACTACTGTCATTCAAAGAGGTGCTTGCAACAAGCCGAACACGCATATTTCAAAGCCAGTTCTAGAAAGGGTAAGTAATAAATTGAAATTATTTCAAATAGTTAAAAAAATATGTAAAAAAAGAGTACACTAATACTATTTCAATAGTTTTGTTAAGCATTCTTTTATATTCATGGTTTGCAAGAGATATGAATATTCCTGTTTTTGTAGATGATTCTAGTTTGGAATTTGCACCAACAAATTTGCATCTGCAACGGATGTGGGTGTACAATGACACTCTGAATAAAACAGGTTTTCATGACGTCATCACTGCTGGAGCATTTGCTGCTCACACTCACAAAGCAGAGAGAACTGGTGGTCTTATAAGGTATCAGTAAAATAATTCAAATTAGTATCGAAAATAAAAAAATAATGTTATAGTAAAATTTAAACACGTAATTATTTATTAGACTAGTTCAACAAGTTAAGGACATAAGCAACACGAAAGCGGCTGCTAATTATGCGGCTGCGAATAAAATCCAGGCTGAATATGATAATGTGATTGCTTTATTGCGTCTGAGAGATGAAATTATGTCCGATATTGACAGGATAATAGTACTTTTACAAGCCAATCAGAGGGATAAAGTTATACATGTAACTGAAGGTTTGTTTTTTTAAGTAATTAGAGTACAAGTGACCTCTTGTAGCTACTATTCTCTAGTTTTTTTAGTTTAATTGTTGCCACATGACTTTATTACATTTTACAGTCATTTTACTTTTATTTATAGGGACAGATTAGTATTCTTAAGAAACGAACAATTTTCTGTGTTACAGTTATAAAGGCCAAAGTTAAAAGCATGTTGGCACTGTGGGAACCGGGTGTGGTTGAAGAATCTTTAGCAATCATAGGATGGCCTAAACACAATTGTGAAGATACTGAAAATCAAGTAAGATAAAATAGTAATTTTAAACATGAACAATAAAATAGTAATTTTAAACATGAAAGATTCAGCAAATCCTTAATGTTTTGGAATTGATTACATTTTATACTTATTTAAATAGGTTTAATCATTTATTGAAGAAAATGTAAAAGTATTATTGTCATAATATCAGGAAGAAGTAAGAGTATAACGACAAGACCTGACTATAAATACTAATATTATGGTATTATAAGTACATAGTATTTTCATATATTTGTGAAAATATTTTGCTTGGGTTTATAAGCTAATACTTTTTTGACTTCACTATTACCATTGTTATTCAGAATTTAGTACTAGTTTCGTTTTTAAGGTAACAATTTGTGGTTATTAAGAAGATTTAATTTAGAAAGTTTGTGTCCATGGATTATATAGATTTTAGTTCTAGTTAAATACCTAAAACTTTAATTTTAAATGGTGTAATATGAACACAGCATAATATTATGAAGAGAAGTTATAAATCTTTTGAAAGAAATAAAAAAGAGATCTAGATTTATTTAATCAGTATCTCTAAACCGCACTAGTGTATACGGCGATATGAGAAATTAGACATGGGAAGTCCATTAAAAAGTTTAGAATAAAATTTAACTACTTGGTGTGAGCACCTTTTCTACATTCTATTCTTTTTTCTACCTTCCAAACTAAATTGGGACCAAGACGTCTGTAAACATAGTTCCTATACTCATGAGATGAGAATGTACCTTAGTCCGATAATATAACTAAAAGGTTAATTATACCAAAGAGCGACAAGACCGAGGAAAAAGGTTCAATGTAATATTGGAGGAAAGATTAATGATCGCTCGTGGTATTTTACGGCCTTAACATTTACTCAAAGCTCCTATGTCCGACATATACAACTGTAGCAAACTCTATGTAAAAGACAACTTATATCTAATCGTGATGTTTCGTGATCATTTATTGGGTACACACAATGGCGATAGTTAAACTCCACGTTTTGAGAATGCCAGAACGTTTAATATTATGTAGCATTTAACATTATTTGGAAAAAGTAAATTAAATAATATTAAGCCTTGATTTTTTCAAATATTTGAGTGAATGAATAAATTTCAGCTTTTAAAATTAAGTCAAAACTATTTTTGCCATACTGATGCAAACATGACTTTGATATCAAATGAAATTTGTTATTTATTTGATAACAAAATGTTTTCAATTAGCCGTCTTTAATAATGAGTTAATGGAGCAGTTACTTATGACATTGTTTACCAAAGTTATAACATTTCATTGATACGAGGTCAATATTTTAATGCGCGAAACAGTACATAGTTCTAGTAGATAACAAAGACACTGGTGCAAGTGTAGTATTAAGTTACTGTTTACATTAAAAAAGAAGGTTGGAAATATGTATGATATTTACCTAAAAGAAGGTTGGAAATATGATATTTACTAATACAGACTTCATCTAAAGACTTGTAAAAAAAATTATTTAGCATTTTTACTATTTGTTTCAGACATTACTAACAATTCTTCGTTTAACTGAACAACTGAATATGTTTGATGCTAATTCCGATTGCGAGAACTTTGACGCGTCTTCTAGTTCGAGTTCCAAGGACACCTCACCGACCATCGACGTGGTATCATTCCCCACAGGCCTGCATAACATAAGCAACAGCAATCCAAAATTGGATACAAAGAACAACCACTTTGAATTGCAATTCTTTAACGATTACTTCAACAGCGAGGAACGTAATAAATTGAACCATTCGTTCAGATCGGTTCGGTCACCAACGAAACCGAAATTGAATGATGCTCACAGTTTTTCATTCGATTCTAACCGACCAAGGCATGGTAGTTTGAGGCATGATTTTAAGAGTACGGCATCATTGGAACAAGTTTCATACAGATGCCTGATGGAAAGTTTGAGCGGGATGGATAAGAAAAAGGTTGGTCTATTCTAAGTATTTTTTTAATGTCTGAGGGTGACTATACTATGTTGTTGATGTTAAAGGATTATTTAACACAAAACCTGGGAGGTATCTTTGTTTCTCGTTTGCCATTGGTCTAAAATACAGGTTTTATACGTTGGTTTCCTATATTAAGGGTACATAACGTGAAAGTTTCGTCGAAATGTTTTCAGTACTTAGCTATATTTTATGGCTAGCAATTTAATTGTTTTCAATGAAATATATATACATTTGGTAAAATGGACTCTAAATATTGAAAACATGATTCCTTTTATAAAAATGTCACTTATAAGCGCTATAACACCTTCGTTAGTTTCAACAAATTTAATAATACATATAAATAGAATAATTGTTTCAAATTCTAAAATTTTTATATAAGATGCGTATTTCAAGCGAATAAATAATTATATAATAATAACAATATATTTAAATGCTTTCATTCTGACAATAATTTTAATCTCGGAATATTATTCTTGGCTTCAGTAAAATTTATTAGCTATATGTTGCTGTAGTACAGCGTGCGAATTTCATATGCTATATATATTATACATAGCTTGTATATTTCTTCTGTTGTTGTTTCATATTCTTTATGTTGTTGCTATATATTGTGTTATTAGCGAGTTGTTGCGATTTTATAGTTGATATTTAGTTGCTGTTTGAATAAACAAACGCTGAGTTATTTAATATGATTAATATTAATACATATATTATGTGTCTTATCAGTAGTTGCTGCAATATTATGAGACATATTAATATATAATGACATATGAGACGTTTAATAGTTTATATCTTTTCATTAGCGATAATGTATCATAATGCTTCAATATTTATTAATTATTATGAGTTCCCAGCCCAGTTATTAAAATAATTCCTTTTAATATGATGTGTGTTTATATAAATTTATATCATGTTACAGAGTGGCGATGTACGGAAGGAGTCTTCATCTTTACCGAGTATAGGACAAATTGATTCAACCACTAGAGAGGGAAATCTAGCGTTCTTAAAGAGTGTATGGTCTGATGTGGAAACTGCAATGACCTTGGTGTTAGAGGCAGCTGTTAATTACACGGAGAGAGACGAAGGTAAATAAATGTTATTGTGTATTATATTATATAGTATTCTCAATACATGAATATTATTAAAAAAAGAATTTTCTATATAAATATGTATTTTATTAAAACGTTATACTTTTATTTCTTGCGTTACTATAACGTTAGTAGCAAGGAGAAATAAAAATATTTAAATATGGTATTAACTTTTTAAGCTAATCCAATTCTAGAAGTTGTATATATTTCAATTCCGCGATATTTTTCATATATTAATAAAGTTATTCATATATTTAAATTTATTTATTTGAATTTAAGTTTTATTATAAGAGGCTGGATTTGACTTTGCCGTTGCCAATTATGTATATGCGAATTCAATAAAATCGTACTAATATTACAAATGATTTTGATGTGAGGATTGTTAATTTGTGCATATTGTTCTGAATCGATTCCGATGAAATTTTCTTCTAATGTAGCTTAAATTAAGGATAACTAGAACAACATATTTTTTTCAAACATTTCTCTTAGCTCAAGTTAAGTGAGATCAACGCGAACTGCTAATGATTTACTTACAAAGTTGTACCAGTTAGCTAATGACTCAAAAGATAATGAAATTACTATTTTAGGAATAATACGCATATTTTATTATTTTTCAAAGCAAAGAACTCCCGACGGTTTCGTTTACTTTACATCAACAATATTTTTTTTTTTAAATAATAAAATACGCTTAGTAATCCGAAAACATTAGTTTCATTTAAATGAATATTCGCGTTAGTCTTGAATATTATTTCTCTGATAGTTTGCAATTTAATTCTAGATGTTACGGACGAGGATTTGGATTGTTTGAAAAATTTGAGCGAGCGTTGCAAGCTGTCAGCTGATGTGTTGTGTCGTTGGGCTCGTGTGTCTCACGCCGCGTTACGTCTGAGATGCGAGTCACCGGCTTGGGGCAAAGAGAACGCGGCGCTTCATATACGTAGAGATACCTGCTTCTCACAAGCTGTTAGTATACTTTACCATATACAGGGTGACTGGTGAATTACTATCAATATTTAAGGAGCATACTCGGTACATGATTCTCATTCGAATTATGTAAAAAAAAATAGGTACTTAATTTTTGACCAAATTTCCGTATAAATAAATAAAGTGTGTACACGTTCCAAGTGTTCCTAGTGTGGACGCGTGCGGCGGCGTGCTGATACAACAACACGCCGCCGCGCGCGTATTTGTGAGTGTGTAGTGTAGAGTAATCTGTAGGGTGTTCATACGATGCGTAATTAATTACACAACTTTTGGTTAACTTTACTTAGAAGTTTATTAATATTTATGTTATATTAATTTTTATTTCGTCATATATGATCGTCAAATATCACGTCCTCAAATATCGATAGTAATTCACCAGTCACCCTGTATATCACTAAGACGAAATGTTAATGGCGAATAATAATTTATGTAATTTGTTATCGAACCGATAACTGATAGCTAACATACAAATATGTTATAGGAGATAATAAATGTAAACAAAATTTTTAATTGAATAATTATATGTAAGAATTTGGTGCTATATAATTAAATAAATAGATTGTAGTATAAGAGCCATCTAAGTTATGTTATGTATTTTGTTTCCAGTTGTCAACCCTAACAGCTGGTCTGCTCTGCTGGTTCTGTTCAGTGCCGAGCGACACAGTCGTGAGGGTGTTGACTTCGGAACTTGGGCCTCTGTGTGAGTTTGAGGGTCTACTGAGCCTTTATTCAACCGAGAAAGCCATGTGGGGTGACATGGTGGTAGCCGTTGAAGACCTACAGACTGTTGTTTTCACTCTCACTAAAGTTGGGCACAGGTATTTATTAGAGTGATAAGTTTCTTGCTTCACCTCTGCCTTGTTAGTCCATTATCAGACCTTTATTACAATTGCAGGCAATTTTTTTTTAATACAGTTTCTTTATTAACAATTTATTTAAATTTTCCTTGTAAATTGTTAGTTTATTTGTAATATAATATTTGTCTATTAAGGAATTGTCAAATCCTAAAAAGAATTACGTAGTATTATTTATTTTCCTAATACCATAGTTCTTAATGGCATGCGTTAAACTTATAATGGATATAATTGCTTTGTTTGTTACGTATGTAATTATCTTAATTTTTGTTACATGGCAAACAAATTATTTTTACAGCAATATGTCTATACCACAAGTGTCTGGTAACAGGGGAAACATAACCGTTCAAATACCAGTGTCGGATTCATTGTACAATAAATTTACTAATAAAGAGGTAATTCTTAATCTTATATTTATATTGGATTGTTAATTATATTAATAATTTTATATAACTTACAGCATTTGAGCTTCACAATCACAGCTGTGTTTTTCAATATTGGTATCAACGAAAAAGCCACATTGGCGGAGGCCCTCGGAGAAACAACACCTCAATATCACTCTAATAACGATAACCTTGATCGACTTTTCAAATATTATTACAAGTACAACAAGATTTTCCCCACCGATCCTACAGCACCTAACAGAGGTATTTTCTTTGTTAAAAACATATCATAATTTCATTTTAATGTACCCTTAATGTAATTGAACTGTATTAACATTCAGCGTCGTCGAGAACAAAACCATTGGAAGAAGTTATGGAGAACCTAAGAATTTCTGTACATAAGAAAATACCAAAGAATGTAGAAGTACTTCATCTAGCTGCTTTGGCAACGAGACTTATGAATGGTCAGTTACATTTTATATTACAATCCTCGATTTTGTTATCTTAAATGATTATTGCTCATTTTATTGCTTTAAACTCAGTCATTCTTTAGTAGATGCTATTTAATTGCAATTTTATTAGTAAAACACACATAAATTTAAATGTATGTATATGTATATATGTTGTCAGGTATAAGATTCACGTCGTGTAAGAGCGCCAAGGACAGGACTGGAATGTCAGTGACATTGGAACAATGTTCTGTGTTGGCATCTGAGTATCATCTCGCTGAGCACGAGATGAAGAAAGCATTGAGCATTATGAGAAGGTACATATAGATTATGATTTAAAGTTATTCTTCATGTTATTTAGTATTAAATTTCTATATAGTGCACTTTAAATTATGGTCCATGAGTTATTGATTGATTGATTTTTGAAATATCAACTAGGCTAATACATGTACAATAGCTGAGATGAAATTTATGGGCTATTGTTATTAGATACTATGTTTATGGATATAAATTAAGAATAAACCTGGGAGTTCTTCAAAATAATAATAAACGGTTAAAGTAATTAACAAAAACTAAAATCGAACTTATTAATAATGTTAGTATAAAAAATGACAAACTTGTTCGTTCAGAGCCAGGGGCACTGAAGATAACTTGTATTTATATTAAATAAGTGTTAAAAGTTCGTGTATATATGTAAACGGACTTTATTAACAAGGAGTGTTAAATTTCTTATAGTTTTCACAGAACAGTAGTCATTCCACGAAAATATCAAACAAAAAAAATATAAAAAAAAAATATAATTTTAGGTTTTAAGCTATTAAAATGTGAAATTATGTGATTTACTTAGATTATGTGTTGTTTCACAATACAATGAATATTATTATTTCCATGTGAAGCGAGGGATGTCGTCGGGAAAATACATACAAAAATATAGGTGTACGGAAATACGCGTTCACTAAGAAGCAAATGATGGCGCTTCCTGAGGAATACAGACCACCGACCGGCAGTTACGGGTCGTCGCAGACTTAGGATGGTAACATCTCAGTAGCTACGGAAGTCGCAGACAAAAGGCTAAACTGTCTCATGTTTATATGATAACGCTGTAGCGAATTAAACATATTCTAAACAATATTCAGTAGTTGAACGGTATACAATAGTTATTGTTGTATTAATTTAAAAATAATATAATCAATTATTCTTTTTACATATATTTGTCGGTAGTTGTTGGTCGGTAGTACAGTCTATATTAACGTAGTGATTATTACATACAAATGTCATATGCTAGTGGCATTGTATTTAGTTTTTACTGTCATTTGTAATCGATGACATACCTCTTCTATACCCACAATGTCTATGAAAGTTATTTGTAATATGAAATTAATATATTTTATTACATAACTTATAGTATAGTATTCTATATAATATGTGATTTTTATAATTCGACTTGATGCCAAACACGATACATTCTTCTAGTAATATATCGCTAGAAATTATCGATTTATTAATAATTTAATTCTATTTGAAAAAATAGATGATTATTATTTTATTTCAGTGAAAAACAAGAAACATTAAAAGAAGTTTTTTGTTGCTAAATATTTTTCTGTTATAAATTAATAAATATTGTGGATGTTGGTTTATTAAGGTGATGACTAACAGTGAGGTTTTATAATGAAATTTATTAGATCTGCCTTGGACACAGACTTCAATGTGACAGTTAACATTTATTAAATAATTATTCATTTTTTGTTCATACATCAAACTTAAGTTTGATTTCTCTTATTAAAGAATACAATATTTTTGTTGACTTTTGACAATTGTGTAAAATATTTACATAATCCAGTACAATATCAGTTGGCTTATTATATATAAGAAATATTATATTATATATAAGAATAATAACCACAGAATAGAATTTGATGTATTTTTAAGAAATTTATTGGATATATTTATATTATTATAGATAAAGTTAGATATACATTAGTTAGACCCAGAAAAAAATGGGGTCGTTTGATTTGTAATTTCATTTAGCTAGGTGGCGCATTTTATTTATAGTGGTTTTTCAGTAAGAGAAAACATGGGTCACTAAAAATAATTTCTTCTCAATGTGGGCAGTAGACAAAAAAAGTTTTTAAACACCTGAGTTAGACGGTATTGCGACACCAATGAGGTCGTATTTAATATTGTGAAAACATAAAAAAATATGCATTAAATCAATGGATTTATAATTTATGACTACTTTTTAACAAATTCTTAATTAATGTAAAGTAAAAAAAAAATTGGTTGAATAAGCTTATGCATATGAGATTTGTGATTTTTTAATAGGAAAAAACTAAATATACCCGCTTATGATTTAATTAAAATAAATCACTCATATCTTTCTTACAACTTGCAAACAAATCACAAGAAGTTTATGTTAGACTATTAACACAATATCTTATTAAAAATAATTAAACTAAAATAAACTTCTGCCACAATTTTGATAAGATATCAGTATTATGCGAAAGAATGTAAAATAAGTCGTATAAAACTTGCTCTGAATGGTTGCCAATAATGTTTTGAAACTGTTAAACAAAACCTAACAAATTTTTTTTGTTAAAATCTACTTCTATTCTTTAGTTATTATTCTCAAATATCTGATTTTGTAATAAGAAAGTACTTAAATTGTATAATCTCTATATAATTTTGAAATATATATAATTTTATATATTAAAATGTTGTATAACGCTTCAATCTTATAGATACCTTCCAACTTTATGCCAAGAATAGATACTTTAAAACGATAATAATGTAATAGTAGTTATAAGCTATTCAGCACAATTGAAATATCATTTTGAAATACAAAATCATATATCATACAAAAAAGTATGAGTGAAAATATACAATATATATAATGGTATGTCATTTTGGTTGAAATTTATATTAAGTTGAAGAAATCCCAACGTTCTAAAAAGTATGACATTTTTTTAAGAAGTACATAAAATTACTGTTAGTTATTATTCTAATACTTGTTAATTCATATCTATAAAATCTCTTAATCAGAGTATTGTATTTTAATTGGCATAATCTGTGTTTAATAATATACGTGTGCCATATACATACATTTAGTTTGTAAGTGTAAGCATTCGATGTCACAAAAATTGTTACGTTTTATTTGCTTAGGAACAATGTGAGTTTCTTGACGACGAAAATAATCCAAAACCAGTTCTTCCAGAGTAGTTGTGCCAAAATAAAATATTTATTATACATTACAATTGTAACTACACTATTTTCGTTATAAATTCTGCCCAAAAAGATATTATTTATTAAGTAGAGCTATAAAGATTTTCATGTAAAATTTCCTCGATGGTGAAAGTGTCAAATGTATTGGAACCGTATACCCATAGTTTAGTAAGAAACATAGTACTTAGTACATATTGAACTATATATACCCCTAATTTATTTAAGAAACCTTAATTTATAATATTCTATATTATTATTGTCTACCGTGACAATTATTTTTAACATTAATTGTAAGGTATGCTACTTAAGAATTATATATTCCGTTTTTACATAGAGGAAAATGTGTATGAATATATAAAAATAATCTCAGGAAAGAATACAACGATTGAGAGGACATTCGGTATTTAGAGAATTTTTTTAGTGCCATCTTGTAGAGTTTCTATACACTAAATAAATGTGTGAATATAATATACTAACTTACTTAGTTGCAAACTCAAATTGTGACAAACATTTTCTAGACGTATATTTAAATTTCAAGTACTTGTAAACTTTAGTCTGTTTACGTTCATCTAGTATATCTTCTATCTTATGTATATTTAAATAAAATATCACTTCAAAATATTTAATACCTCGAGTTTGTTTAAAATATTATTTTAGGTCTTTTATGAACCACATTTGGTTTGGTAGTGCTTTGACAAATTTTCATTAATACAGAATTTTTAATAAACAATAATGAGAAATCGTAAACAATCACCAAGACAAATTTCTCAAAATAAAATATTCTTTATTTTACTGTAAACATGATCTCATTTTATAGTAAATCTAATGACTTTTGTTTTCATTTTGGGTCACTTTTTTCACCTTTTAGTTTTCCTGATAAGTGGTTATTTATATTTTTGTTTTCTATTTTACTTACGAATTCCAAACATTGTGTTCCCAAACAATGTAACAATCTACGTATTTTTGTTTTAAATATTAGTATATAAATATAGATACATTTAAATTTAAATGTTTTAAAACTGAAAAACAATGTATTCTTAAAAGGTATATGAATAATAGGTATTTGTATATGTTTTATAATTTGTAAGCGGATTCGGTATCGGTGATTGCTAACGTGAGGAGCAAACCAAATGTGATAGGAGTTAGGACCATTGCAGTGGTTTATCTGTGGCTTACGACGCACTAAGGAGCATTTTTACTTTAAAATCGGTCAAAATTATTTAGTACTTTTATTTTATTGGAAATGAATAAAAATACGTATTTGATCAAAGAAAACATATATTTTTTTATAAAAATGACTAAACTAAAAATAATAATAAAAAATTACAACATTATTGTATTCTAATAAATCTTAGTCTGATTCATCAGAGTAAGCAAGACTTGTTGATTGGTCTACTTCTGAATCCAGTTCTTCCGGCTCGAACAACTCAATAGTTTCTCTCATGAAAGGCTGGCTTTTGCTCGGGTTAAGTTTCCGTAAACAACTTATAAATGGATCTGATGTGAGCAGCAGTCTGTTGAGGACATCTTCATTACACACTATTCTCGAAAACTTTCGGGCATAATTTTGCCGGTATGAGCGGTGGTGCTTATTACGGGCTTCCGCGGCCTCTTCAGATAGTTGTCCAATGGGAAGGATGGCATATTTTATAACAGTTGTGCCGTGCACTAATATTTTGTGAAGAGTTGGCGTCATTGGATGCCAACCATAAAGTTTGACATACATTTTTGCAGTGTCCTTACAAAACTCGCCAAACTTATCTACATTTATTTTGTGGCCAGATGATATTGCTTCCAAAATCACTTTTAGTTTAATTATAAATTCCTTATTTATGCCAGTGATTTCAGCAGCTAGATCAGGATCGGCGAAGAATCTTCTAGACGTGTTGCCTGAATTCGAATTTCCGAAACCAACTTTTGGCATATCTATTATAAGGCCAGTCTTTTCTCTATAATGCTTTTGAATTTTTTCTTTTGTTTCTTTAACCACAGCCTTTTCTTTTGCAGTTCGGGCTTGCCATTTTTGCAGAGGAAGCTTGTAAGCTATGTGTAAAACCGTTTCGAAGAAACGGATTCTTGCATGAAGAATTGACAATCCGAATCTTAATGATTGAGGATCCTCTGCATTTAAATTTTCGAGATCATTAAAAGCTTTGGACGTTTTGCCACATATGTAACATCTCATAGTGGATGACGTGGAAGTAGCTGCGTTGCAAATTTTTGCATCAACCATGGTTGGGAGTAATGTATGTCGCACGAAAGTGCCTCTATTATGATTTTCTATTTCAGTTCTTACTAGTTGTTTGGTTTGGTCTTCTACATATTTTATTTCATCATTTGTTATATCTACTGTTTCGTGGAGAAATCGAATCCGGATTGGCCGACAAAACCGAGTAGATGATGGTGTCGGATTTTGCCATAAAGTCTTCATTTTCTTTCCGATATGTGACTGTAATCTCAAGGGTACCAATGAACTTTGAAATATATGAGAGTCATCATGAGAGCTGTCTAAAAACTTTTGTTGGTAGGTAGTTTGATGAGAGCCATCACAACCCCATTTTGAAATGAGCTCCAGATTTTTCAATTCTTTTGTTGTACAGTTTTGGAGTACATTTTCAAGATAAAGACAAAGTCTCTTAGCTGTGTGATCCAGTAAGTCTTGGAGCACAACTTCTACACAAGTCTCCGTTACTCGAATTGCCTCTGGTTTTGGATAGCAGAGTTTTTTTGCTTCTCTAATAAGGGTTTAACAAGGGAATATACCTTTAGTTGATTTGTGCTGTAACTCCCATTGTTTCCTTCTAAAGCCACCTTCGATGAAAATGCGCAAAGCTTCATCAGATGTGTACTTTTTTATTTTTGGTTCTTGAGTAGTATTAATTACTTTTCTGTACCGCTTCGCTCTTGTTGGTGAAGATGTTGCATCTTTTATAAGTTTCGAAGCCGCAGCATTTCCTGACACATTTTGACTGACGCTAGCAGCAAAAGTAAGCACTTCAACAGGTACCTCCTCACGAAGTTGTTTTGTTTTCCGTCTTTTACTGCGATCAGTCAGTTCTTGGAAGTCCTTGCTTGGGCGCCCTGGCTTGGTGTTTTGCTTCCATGTATGTACTGGTATTGAATTACTAAGCCATCTTTCGTTCTTTTTCATAAATCTGTCTTCAATATAATTGCACGATACCCATCTCTTTTTTAAATCTGATTTAAAATGTCTTAAATCGTGACCTAAGGTTTGAAACTCGTTCCGGGGACATTTCATCATTTCTCGGAGCTTATTTTCCATAAATGATACTTTATCATCTAAGTTTTTAGCAGGACTCTCTTTAAAAATCATATACAAAGATTTCCGAGACGTCTGAATGACATTTGATGTCGAATCTGCAAAGAAACGACGACATTGTAAATTAGCTAAACAATAAAAAAAACCCTTAATATTATTTTAAAAGTACATTTATTTTAAGTGGTGGAAAGATGTGGAAAAAGTTTTTAGTGTTCTAGCATGGTGAAACTCTATATTTTACTACAAAATAGTAATGATTACCCGATCTAACCCGGTACTATTACAAAAGTACTAATTAGTAAAAAAAACATACACAATATTAATTACTTTTCTCTTATGATGATTATCGTTCTAAAGTACATAAAAGTCAATCGTTTCAAAGATAATATTCATTTTTATTAAGTACATACCTTGAGCTTCAGATTCCATAGCTAAAACTTTCCACAATCTACTGCAAACCACCTTTAACACCACGTGCAAATTCGGGAACAATAGAACGTATCGAACAAATAGACGAGTGTACTACACAGCGACTAGATTCCGACTAACTTACCGGGAAGCGCTCAAAGAATTGGTCCTAGATAAGACTGGTTTATGACAGTACCATTATTCAGTTGCCATAAAACGCTAACTTAGGCGATATTCGCAGAAATTTGTAATTGTTACTTTTGTCCGGTTTTGAAAACAAAATGCTCGTTAGTGCGACGGTGAATTGGTATGTAGTTATTGTTAACATTGTATTGTTTAGAGCTGATTGTAATTAGTGTTGTAAATTACCTTGTCAGCAGAGTGATTTGAATTTCATATCCTGTTTAGAAATATTTCGTTGAAGTAATTTGATGGAATCCATTGTTCGTTTTAATCTTTAGTTTGCATTTTAATGATTAATAATTAATTGCTCATAGTCCACAGTGAAACCGACGTCTCTTGTGTAGTTTTTTTCGATTGCAATATTTTTTTTTCTTTATTGAAGTAAGTTATTATATGCATAATATTAACAAGTTTGTCGTGTCATGAGATAATTTATTTTTATATATGTATTTCTTTAAAACACATTAATTGTATAACGTTTTTTGTAAACGTCTTTATTGTGTTTTTATTTTTAATATATTCGAATTTAATTTAACGTTCATAATATTTTTATTCAAGTAATTTGACATATATAATTCCTTATATAATATTGCAGATATCTCAAATGAGGATCATATGTACATCACAATTTTCTTTTATTAATTTAGCTTTGTCAACAAGAATGGATTTTAGGACTTAAAATTTATGTACTTATTTATGCGTCGTCTTCCTCAATTATTTCCCATATCTATTTTCTGATACTTAAAATGTTTTTTGTTTCTATATTTAGGCTGTGAGTAAATTCTATTTTTAACTTTTGATTATTACTTATTAATAAATTATTATGTTGCATTTCTTTAATGTTGTTTTATTGTGCTCAAGTTTCACCCTTATATGTCTCTAACGTAAATATTGAGTCCAAGACTTTTCTCAGAAGTAAAATAAGATTCATTTCACTTAATTAAAAATGCTCCGAGATAGTTTTGAGTAATTTTATGTAAGATAAATATAGGAATTTTTCACAACTGACAATGTTTCAAAATTCATGTGTTATAAAGTGTTTTAACAGTAATGGACTAATTTAGGACAGCAAATAACTTATTTCAATTTCATATAAAGTTGCCTTCTCTAAAGGCACCTAGATTAATACATAAATAATCAAAATATTTTTAAAGTTTTTTCATGAGTGATATTTTTGATAAATTAAAACGTGGCTGCTTAAATATGAACACAAAATACATTGTAATTAATTTGGGTTGTGTAGGACCCACTGGTCCACTATGTGTGGATATGTCAACACTGGCTCACTACTACCCTGACTAGGGCGCGGGCGCACACAACTGTTCTACTCCGCGCTAAACGTCAGACTGACAAGCGACGCCGACGCCTCTAGCGGGGTACGTGAGACAGTGTATTATCTATATTCTATTGTATAGATACATACACTACATCTATTCCTTTCTCACAGTTTTTATTAATTTAATCAATATAACACTTATATCTTTAATTTGTCAATTAACATATATTTATAAACTACGTTATTTCACTCATTAATTATCTTCATTTAGCATATTTCATTTTAACACGATTTCCATTTTCCTTCTACCCGTTTCAGGTGTATTATGTTCCTTCTTAGGCTTTGCCCTGTCCCTTCATTTCTTACTGTTACGTCTCCAGCCGTAGCAGTCTCTATTACATGCGGTGTCACATTAAAAGTTGTTGATAATTTGTTAGCCTTTTCAATTTTTTTCACATATACTTTCTCACCTACTATTAATTCCGGGTCTTCTGCTCCTCTTTTTCTATCACTATACTTTTTTCTTTTTGCAATTTGTCTCGATCTCTAACTTCCGAGTCATCTTCTTCGTCATTGATATCTTTAAACATGGGGATTTTATCTTTATTCTTTCTTTTAAAAAAGAGGTCAGATGGTGTCTTTCCGGTCACTGAGTGAGGAGTTGAATTAAGTATACATCATCAGATATTCATATAGAGTATCTCTCATATCTCTTTTTTCGATTGCGATATCACTCCAGGGTTCAGATGAAAGTTCCCGACGTTTCATGGGAGCTGGATGGTTCGGTAAACTAACGAGAGTACAACTTTTGCAGCTTTTTACTGTCAACTCAACGTCCTTATCGATTCTAGGCCACCAGACCTTTGATCTGAGCCGACCCTTCATGGCCACAATTCCTGGGTGGCCCTCATGAGCTGCAAGTAGTACCTGTTATCGCAAATTGTGGGGTATGACTATGTATTTTGTTTCCTCGCAACAAAATGTTTTCATTACAACAGAGTTTGTCCGCGAATATTTTATATTGTTTCACAGATTCATCCCACTGATTATTAAAAATTCCACTCTTAACCTTAATGATTTCATTATCTGTTTCTGATTCCTTTATTATTTGTTTCATAGAGATTGCACAAGATATTGCAAGTTCGAAAATTTGATGAACGTGGACTCGTGATCCGTTCTCAATGACATAAATAGTACTGCGTTGTATTTTACCATTAGTTTTTATTTCAGCTTCAAAAGATCCTTTAACCTCTAAAGGAGTTTTACTGCCATAAGGCAAAAATATTTTGTTCGGTTCTTTGACTAGTTTGCAACAACGAATCTTATTTTCCTTCAAGTACTCCCAGGTTTTTCCAGACATCAAATTAAGCTTACACCCGGAATCAATTAACATATCCTAACTTACTCCACCTATCTCACATTTTATCGTTGCATCATCATTTAAATTAAATATGTATTGAGTATTTTCATCTTCGAGTTAATTTACGGTAGTTTCTTTCCGTTGTCATTTGTTATAATTTATATCTCCGTCATGCTTTTGTTCTAATTTTCTCTTTGGTTCATATTTTTTCGTCTTACAGCGTCTTTGAAAATGACCTAATTTTCCACAGCCATTGCACTTTTGATCTTTTGCAGGGCATGGAAGTCCTCGGGAAAAATGAATTGAAGTGCCACACCTAGTGCACTTAGAGGTCCTTCTTTCCCAATTTTCCTGTTTTCCTTGTCTTTCAAAATTTGTTTTCCCCTTGTTATTGCTTTTTATTGCATTTACTTCACTATTCTAAGATTTCTCTTTTTGTTCATAGCTTTCCAGTTGATAATTAACAACTTCTAAAGTATTAGCTACTGTAATGACCTTGTCTAACGTTATGTCGTCTTCCATTGTCAACATTTTTTTGCGTTATTCTGATGACAGACTTTTTCAATTATTTGGTCAATTATGTGCTCATCTGGTTTATCAAATTTACATTTTACTGCTTGATCCCTAAGTTTGACAAGAAATTTTTCAAAACCCTCACCAGCTTCTTGTTTTATCTGACGGAAAATATATCTTTCATACGTTTTATTCTGTTTCGGAAGAAAATATTCATCCAATTTATTAATACCTAATTTGAAAACATCAACGTCATCTCCCGATGTGGCACTTGCTCCAGGTAAATTATAAAATATTTCTTGGAGTGCCGTTTCTCCAAGTCCTAGCAATATTGCTCTCTTCTTAACAGGGGTAGTGATATCAGCCGCTTCTAATTAAATGTGCAGTGCTCGCCTCCATCTTTCCCATTTCAAACCGACCAAGGCGTTATCGCCTTCAAGGTCCAATTTTTCGGGTGGTGGTAGTTGCTGACTTGTCATAATGGGTCTTATTGAGACAACCTGAAAACACATGAATCCATGTGGCAGTCAAAACACTCCCAATTTAATGAAAGTCTATTCTTTTTAATTCAATTTAATGACAATCTCTATTAAAATACTTTCAATCTAATGAAAGGCTTATCATATTAAATTCAATTCAATGAATTTCCTTTTCTATATACTTTTAATTTAATAAAAATCTTCATGATAAATCCAATTCAATGGATTTCCTTTTCAAACACTTTCAATTTAATAAAGTCTATTAATTTTATTTCCTTTCTACATACTTCTAATTTGATAGAAGTCTATTCTCATTAAATTCCATTAAATGAATTTCCTTTCAAATACTTCTAATTGAATAGAAGTCTATTTATATTAAATTCAATCTTTTGGTTTACTGGTGAACCCTGCCAAATCTCAAGCAATGATCATAGGTAGCAGCAGGCTAAGAAGTAAAATTGACTGGCCATCTGTGCCCTGTATCAAATATGCTGGGGTTCCAATAGCCCATTGTGAAAGTGTAAAAAACTTGGGCCTGATCATTGACTGCAACATGTCTTGGACTTCTCATCTCAACGATGTTAGTAAGCGTATGCATTTCACGTTTCACTCTCTCAAACGTCTCCAATATTTTCTCCCTTTCAACACCAAAATTATGCTCGCTCAATCTCTTCTTCTCCCTATTCTCGACTACGCTGATGTTTGCTTTCTGGATGTGATAGAGGAGCAGCTTAATAAGTTAGAGCGCTTACAAAATCTAGCTATTCGTTTTATTTTCGGGCTACGTAAGTTCGACCATGTTTACTTCTTCCGCGCTCAACTTAAATGGCTGCCTATTCGATTTCGCCGTGATATGCACATCCTTTCAGTCCTATTCAATATTCTTACCAACCCTAATACTCCTGAATACCTCAGCTCTCGCCTTAACCTGCTTCCTCCTTCGACCCGCTCCAGGCGTTCTTGCGTCACTACGATGCGTGATGTGCCTCGGAGTAACAGTAAATTTCGACTTCGGTCGTTCACAGTACGATTTCCGCTACTATGGAACAAACTTCCTAAATTCATACAGGACAGTACTTCTATTTATATATTCAAAAAACGCTTAAGACAGCATTTCCTGGCCCAAGTTTACCCTTATTCATAAACTGATTTCTTCATATATGTATTTATGTATTACATTGTTTTTACGTATATATGTATATGTTGATAT